AGCTGCCAGCTCTAATGCGCTGAAATGCTGTCATTCCTCTCCCAGGCTGTTAACAAGGAGGCACAGGGGACTGCTCTGCACAGCATCTCCTCTGCTGTGTTTGGGGCAGGGAAGGAGATAAAGCTGCTGTGCTGCAAGAGAAAGGGCTGCCCAAGGTAGTGCTGGGGGACCCCCCTCTGCAGAAAGCGACCTCCGACAGGGAGGTGGCACCACGTGGGGTGTTTTGAGTGAACACATCAAAGAGCGAGGCCGGCAGAGATGGAAACACCCAAGGACAAGGCAGCCTTGTTCTGCCAACCTTCTCTGCCATTACCAAAGAGACAGAGGGACATTGCCCCAGCACAGATAACCAGGTAAGGAGGAACAAGAGCTCTGTGCTAGAAGCAGTTTATGAAGGGGAACCAATTACGTGGAGTCAAGTCTTTGCTTCCTTACAAGCGTTCTTTGTTCTTATCATGGCTTCCTCCCTCAATTTAGCCTTCTCTTTCCCAAACCTAATTCACTATTTTTAGTCTTGGAGCTTTCCAGATGGTCTCTGTTTCTTGACTGCAAAATGCTGGAGATCGTCAGGCAGCTCCAAGTGCTTCCCCTGACATTACTGGCAGAGCAGATCTTCTCTCCCTGTGTCAGCTACGGGTGAACAAAATGAATTTTGTGAAGTTCATGAACACCTGTGGAGCTGCAGACAGGAGGGCAGATGAAAATAATTGCAGATAACAGGAACAAATTTGCTTTGGTGCCTGCTAGCTTTGCACCAAGAGGTAGATTCAGCTTTTCAAGACACAGGTAAGAAGCAGTCTTCCCTTTCTCCCACTCCTGTTCCTTTCCAAGCTACAGTTTCACTTGGAAGAAAGTGAGAAGGCCAAGAGACTTTCTCTGAAAGATGATGGTACAACAAAGGCAACATTTCAATGGGGGACATGTAAAGAAAGGGATCTGTCTCCCAGCTCTTTTTACTCCTTGCCTTTTCCATCATAGAACCAACTCTCAGAGATCATCATTAAAAAGAACAACAATAACAACCCAGCCCCATCAGTTCTTGTGAATTCTGAAGGTCACCAATGTCACCATCAGTTATAATGACACACATCACTCCCCTCTTCACACAAATGGGTTTACAACCTGTTTAAAGGCTAGTGCCTCTTGGAGTACTTCACCCCTTTTGCCACCTCCTCTCTCCACACACGTATTCTACTCCAGCAGCAGCTGCTGGAAGAAATGATGAATTCCATTATTTCTCATCCAAAACATCTTTGCAGTATATGGGAGAAGCACTGAAGGCTGCAGGCTCGTTAGCACAGGATTTGTATTGCCACCTTTTATTTCATTCACCTTCCCAAATTAGGTGAAGCACGGCTGCCCCAAACCTGTGATTTCTGTTTAATTAAAATGCAGGTAGTGGAGTCTCCAGAACTCCAGAGCCCACCACACAATCAGGTAGTGACAGCGACCTGGTAGAATAATGCTCTTGATATAGTGGCTGCTCTAACAGAGTCTTAATTTCAGTCGGGCAGAACAGCACCTCTGGTAGCAGCTGCGTTTCAGGCTGGGATGAATATCAGTACCCAGCCTCTCGCTGAACACTCACTGCCTTCCCAATCAAAGCCAGCATCCCTGACAGCTGAACTGTTAAATGAATTAACAAGGCAAAAAGGGGGCTTGCCAGCGGGGCTGCGACTCCCTTCCTAATTTCTGCAAGTGGTGGCTTTCAATTTTTCTGTCATTTGTCAGGAGATGCACATGGTTCCCTAATGAGCAGGGCAGAGCTGCAGCCAGCTCGAAAAAGGCAGCGTTAGAGGATCTTCTGGTCCATGGAGGAGAGGGAGCCAGATGCTTGAGGCAGGTGGGGGAAGGACGTGGGCTCTGTTCAGACTGAACAGGCAGCGCGTCCTTCCAGCTGCACTGAGCTCAAGGACTCGCAGCCTGCTCTCCCAACATGGGGAAGAACTGCTCTCCACACCACACTGGTCTCCACACTCCACACCAGTGAGCTCTGCCAACATCCAGGCAGAACTCAAAATGGAGCCTTTGGTGGGGCTTTGATCTTATGGGCTGCTACAAAAAGGTTTTGCTCCACCTGTAGAATAAGAAAACAAAAACACCACCAATCCCCCCCCCCAAAATATCCACACCACTTGCATTCAGCTTCCCTATTCCCCAGGCAAGTCAGGATATGGAGGTCTGTTACTCATACCTGGCCCATTCCCTGCCAGCAGGTTGTTCTCTCCCAAAACTTCCACCTGCCCATCAGTCAGAGGCAAGGAAGAACTGAGCACTCAGGCTGCCCGAAGAGGATGTTCTTTTGGCTGGGGTACAGCTCAACAGGACTTAAGGGTTGGAGAGAAACTCCCCATTTGGGTATTTTTTGCTCATCTAATTGAAAAAATTTGCAGAAGGTTGGTTTTAATGGCTGTTTCTTCTCCAAGTTTTTCAGGTGGATCCATTGCCTGCTGGAATTTTTATTACAAAAATCCAGACACAATGACAAGAAAATCTTCAAATCTAACAGGGGAAAGCACCAGAAGGATGGAAGGAATCACAGATACTTCTCCTTCTACATCACTCATCTGGCTGCACCAGACATTGAAGCTGAACAGCACATCAACCACTAGCAACATCAATACCCAAGAGAAATGGGTATTTTGACTGAGCTGGCCTAAGCCCAGCACATTTCCCCAAAGGCATGTGCTGTATATTCCTTTTTACGACCAAGAGAGGAATGTTCTTGCACCTCCCAGAATTACTGCAACACCTGTGGCAGAATGAAGCACCATTTAACAGCACTGGGACATCAGTTATCTGGGAGCTTCAGACCAGGGACTGGTCACCGTCAGTCACTTTGTGCCCAGTGCTATGCCTGTGTCAGCACTTGTTGTTTACTGGGAAGCTTTCCTCTATTTTTAACCTGGATGCCCCATTGCTGGAGCTGAGCAGATCCATTTTTTCCCGAGCTAGCTGCTTAACTGCCTTTACCATGGGTAAGAACATTGAGCAAACAATAACAACAAAAACTTGTATTTCCACAGCACACTTTGACTCAAAGGTGTCACAAATCAATTTAAAACTTAAATTGCAGTACCAGCTCCAATCACTTTACTCACAGTATAAATCACAACCCGTTCTGGAGGTGGAAGAGGCAGTTATATAACAAAGCGTAATAACTTCACACAACAGGAGTGAAAATCGGCAGGAAGATCCTACATTCATCATTTCTACCACATGAACCTGGACTGTCCCTTACCAGAGGTAAATCCAGCAACTGTAAAAAACCATCCAACTCATGCTACAACCTCAGATACACCAGTCCTGCCTGTGAAAGGAGTCCTCCTGGATATCGTGGAATGGTTTGGCTTGGAAGGGACCTTAAAGCCCATCTAGTTCCAAACCCCTGCCATGGGCAGAGGCACCTTCCACTGGACACTTGGTAGTTATGTAAATATCTCAGTTTCTTCTCAAGTTTATCTCCTCCCATTGCCCTGTTCCCTGAGTTATGATAAGGAAGACCCAGACACTGGGATTAAAAGACATGATATAACAGCATTTCCTTGTTTCCCCCAGCTGATTTGCCATGCTGTGTACATGTGTTTAAGTGCAGGCACTGGCTCCATTTGCAGCAGTGAGATATTTAGCTCTGAAACAAAAATGTATTTTGAAGCCAGATACAGTTGGCTCCACTTGGGACTTTCTTTGCTGCAGTTGCAGAAGTAAGTTGGAGCAGCAGCAAACTAGAAAAAAATGTAAATATTGCCAGCTGTCTCTCCAGAACCATGCTGCTCTGATTAATTTATGATGTTTTCAAAGAAAGATGGTGAATGTTACACCATATTTGAAATGAAAAGGTTAAGTAGAGTTTAAAAAAAATGCAGTGGAGTTTAAAAAAAATATGCTTTACTTAGTTTTGAGCAATAGAATATTTAATGGCTAATAATGAAATGAATTAGTGCTGGGTTTGATAGCTTCTACCTCCCACAGCCCTGAGACAGAGGAACAAAAGCGTAACCAGACCCGTTCTCGGCAGCAGGCTGAACAACAGGAGGGTGTGTGCTGCCTCTTCTTGTTCTGAGCTTCAAAAGATGCTGCTGCAGAAGCTGAGACCATAACTAACAACTATTTCGGTGCCAGCCTCTCTCCAGCTGGGGTCACCATAAATACGGCCCCGCCGCCGGGGCTGTGAGGAAGACATCAGCTATTGCAGTCCTGCCCTTCCCAGCTGGAGTTACTGAGAGAACAGACTCAGCTATGGATTATCTGGGCTCTGCAAAACCACCCAGAGAAACGTCTACTTAACTGTTTCGGTCTGATTTCCACCTCCAGCCTTTCACTGGAGGGATTTTAAAATGATCAAGTTACAATTCATAATGGACTCGTGCACTAAATCCACAGTAAGCAAAGGCATGAACAGACCATGACCAGTGACCATCAGCCACTGACCCCTCAGGTTCTGAAGGGGCTGCATGGTACAACAGAGTCTGCACGTTTCAGAGAGTGACCTTTATCTGTGCCTCCAAAGCCAGCATTAAACTGGACACGGTGTCTTCTTGCTTCAAGAGCATAAAAATACAGCCAGGTGTGGTGCAAGGCAATGTCTCTACACGGCGAGTTATAAAATAAAAGAACCAGCTTTCCAAGTCTCCCTTGTTTTGTAGTTTTGTTTCTTTTCCCTTGTGGCTCTCCTGTGCTCCACTTTTCACTTCTTCAACTTGAGTCAATTTTTCCCTCAAGCTAATTTGGTATGAACAGCCATCCTCCTGCAACTCCAAAAATATTTCCTTTTCTTTCTTTCAGATGCCCTTTCTCCCCTTGTTCGTGCAGACCAACTGGCTTTCCAATGGCAAGAAGCTGTCAGTGCCAACCTATTCCAGAAGAGGAGGCTACAAAAACTGTTTGTGTTTTCAAATCATCCCCTTCATGGGCAAATATTAAATATTATCTGGAGAATAGTAAAACATGCTGGTACTTTAAAAAAAAATAAAATCAACCAATTTTCCTTTTTTCCTTACCTGCTTCACCCACAAACACTTCCACTGGTGTGCTGGTAGGGCTCTCACCAATGACATTGTATGCTGTCATTAGTACTTCATATCTCTTGTATTTTTTCAACTCTGAAAAAGTAAAATATTATATATTAATATTCTATCATCATTTATAGTATATTACAGATATTTTTAAGACTCCAACATCTCTTCGTCACCATACTTCTCTCTTGGGAAACACAGCAATAGAACAGTAAAACAGTGCATCCTTCCTTAATTCACGGCAGGATTTGAATAATTATGAAAGATATTTGTGTTGAAAAGGTAAGATTTTCCAGTACTTCCTCCCAGTGTTGCTCCAATAAGAGGAATAAGGATTCCTCCTGGAATACACCCATTCCTGATGAATATCTAGCTAGAGGAACATCTCTAGGTCATTCTTAAGGACAGAAAATGGCTTTGAATGTCAACATATGGGCTCCTTTCCATCTCTACTGGTAGGATGTTCATCTAGGGAGGCATTTGGCAACTGTGCTGCTCAAGAATGCCCCAGGTGAAACAGGGTGCAGAGGAAAAACTGCAGTGGGGCATCTGGAGTCCCATTCCAAGTACTCCATGGGGATCTTTCTCCTTCCGCGTGACCACAGCCTGACCATCAACCACAAAGAGAAAGAAGAATTTGAAGGCTGGACTCCATTTGGCCACCAGGCACCAAATTCCTTTGCTGACACAGAGAAACTACTCTGCCAGATGAGGCAGGAGAGTGAGAGAAGCGTGAAAAAATCTAGAAAACCCAATTGTATGCGGGTAATTAACTGATGCAAACGAGGGTGGAGTAGAATCACGTCAACGTCATTAGGGGAGGCAGCGCCTGAGCAGTTTCAGATTTTGCATTTTCAGGATGAAAGAATCAATCCTAACAGATATATTTATCATCTACAATATTTAACAGGGAAATTAGAGTAAGAGGGCGATCAATAATATAAATTGCCCTATTTAAATGAGGTTTGAATTAAGACACGCATGGCCAGGGGTCCAAATTTCTCCCTTTGCCAATAATTTTCCCTGCTATCTATGAATCAGATAGTCTCCTTAACTCAGTGGCTGACAGTATGCCATCGGTTTGGTAAGGTTCAATGAGCCTAATTATATAAGTTTGTCTAATTTCAGTTTCAGGGAAGTGTTTACAAGAGTTGTGCTCCCATATCTGATTCTGAGTCCAGCATCATTCCCCAGTCTCGGGCATATTGTAAATGATATTTGATATATCCCTAATTTTTTGATGCGATACCACTAAACTCGGACTGCAAAACATGGAGCAAGGAAATCAGCAGTAATGGAGCTAAGTTCATAAACAAACAAAAAATAGTAGGATATATGGGATATAGTAGTGGGCAGCTTGTACAGTGAAACTTTATTTTCTGCCATGAAAAGCCACAAAGGAGATTTTAGTGTTAACTGGATGTGGAAAAAAATGGAACACATGAGAGTTCATGCATGCAACTTTCAGTGGGGATAGGGCTTCATGGTTGTTTTTTTTTTTTTAGCCCATCACAATCTGTGACTCAAAAGCCTTGGGCAAAACCTATCTAGTGAACCATCATCACCACAAAGCAACTTGCCTTTTAACTCTGTCGAATGTTATTTTATTCATTTCCAATTGAAAACACCTCTGGAGATGCACATAAATTCATTGGGCCCTCTCTAAACTGGCCTCGTACTCCATGGAATGCCTGAGCATCGCAGTGCTTGAATCATAGAACTAATGATGTGATACAGCTAAGCTCACATGGACTGCAAAATATGTAGCAAGCAAATCAAAATTCATTTAGCATCAGAAATACTGGGTTGTTACAGTCAATAATGTTTTACCTTCCCAGCAGCCACATTTTTACAACAGCTACCTACTTGCATCATCGACGTCTCTTGGTGTAGGGAAAGCAAAGGCTTAAAGAAAAAGAAACTGGAGAAAGCAGAATCATTAATCTGTGTTGATTTCTGCTGGATCCACTGAGGAGAGCCATAGGAGTTTGCCTACAGTGTATTTTGAACCATTACAAAGAGTCTCATCTAAAGGCAATGTGCACTTACGTGTTAATTCATACGTCGTTAATGCAGAGCTGCTGTTCACTGTCTTGAAGCTGCTTTGGGCTATTCAGGGTAAGCAAAGCAGAAAGCTTGTTACAGTGCAAGGAAATAGTTATTGCAAATGATGTACAGCAGAGACAGAGGCAAATGAGGCAGCACACCCATACACAGTTTAAGCTGCAGGACTATACCTTGAAGGGCAATAAAAGCACATCACTCTCGCGTAACACATCAAAAGCGCCTCGCTCACACGGGGCTGTTTCATTTCCTCCTCAAACAGAGGAACTCGCAAATACACAACACAAAAATGTTCTGACTTTTAGATTAAATAGAACAAATGAGGAAAAACGAAACGATTTCTAAGGGGCAAAACTCTCAATGGTGCATTACATCCTGATTTCTCAAGGTGCAAAATTCAAAACCTGAAGAGCTGCAGGGGAAAGACCTGGAACGTGGGCCAGAGAGTGAACGCTTACATTAGGACAGGACCTGTTTCTTTAAGTGTGAGTTAGATTTCCCACAGTTTCACTTAAAGAATTCAATATTCCTGCTGTGAGTGAATTGTAATAAGATGCTAAGCTGTGCAAAACTGCGGGTCAGTGAGGAACAGAGGTGTTCTAAGGTGAGAATTATGAGGAGAAAGAGGGAAATTTATCTGAAAATACACTTGTCTCCACCCCTTTCTCTCTCTCTCTCTTGACTCCCTGGAGAGGTACAGCTCGTTTTTTCAACTCTACAGCTATTAGGAACATTGCTGCAGGGCCAGAAGAGAAGAGGGAAAAGAGGAAACCGGTTGGTTTCACAGGCTCCCTGGCTTGTGAGAGCATCCAAAATCATTACTTCATGATAATGTACACAGTCATTCAGCTTTTGTCTGGGAAAATCCCTTATGCACCTATAAGAGCTTTACATCTCTACTCTGTCCTGGTTAAAACTGTACAGCCTGAGAAATCTCATTAGCACTGACCATGTAAGTGAGGTCACACTTAGGTGGTTACGTTATATTTAAAGCATCCACTTCTCCCACACCCTCACAAAAATTCACTCTTGCTTTTGTAGAAATCACTTTTATGGGTTCAGGGTTCATGGAAGATGATGTAAGATATTAAAATAGTCTCACTCAGCCCTATTCTGCTGCTCTTGGAGTATTATCTTATTGTGAATATTCCAGTGCCATCAAACAGGACAAAAGCTGGTCCCTCCGTGAGCACATCTCATTGCTGGACCATATCTTTCAGGCTCCTGAGTGATCACATCTCTGCCTTCCATCACCTTATTCTGCCTATTCTTCCCTCTGATTTCCTTTTTAGTCTTTGTCTAAAAAGCCTTTTCATTTTTCTATTATTCCTCTCCCTCTCCACCTTCTTTCCATGTGAGCCATAAATCCTAGTGACTAACATGGAAAGCATGCACCTAAAAATTCTTGCTCATCCTTACTGTTTTCTTCTAAAATATGGACAAGAGCTTTGAAATCGTAAAAATTCTATTTAAAATTCTCCTCAGCTGTTTTCTTACACAGTAAAAAGAAAAACAAAATGCCAATTATAAAAACTATTGAAAAAATAGCAAGAAAGAAAAAAGTTGCCAGCTGAGGAAAATAAAGTGTCTTTCTTTTGTCTAATGGTAGAACAAAGTATACCAGAGTAATCATGAACTGGAGGTAGTGCAAAGCAGGAAATCAGAGGATACCTGGGGGACAGACCATCAATTCCAGCATGCTGGCAGAGATTAGCACGGACCACTACAGTGCTGATCACACAGGATTTACTTGCCTTTTTCATCATCTTCACCCTGATTGTGTAAAACCTAAATTATCCCCAGCACTCTTAGACTTACGTGTTACTTCCATGGGGCAAGAGGGCTTATAGTGTCTGGTGTAATGACAGATTACCATTCTGGGATATCTCAGGGTCCAAACTACAGTAGGCTTACGTGTGAGCTCTGCTCGTAAAGCTGAAGGGTTCTGGATGTTTTTGGATTCTCTTCCAGGTCCAGTGTCATAATCCAGCTCCCGATAGTAGATCCGGTATCCCAATAGCAAACCATTCAGACTCTCCACTTTGGGTGGCTGAAAAACATTCATGTTCAGAACAGGCTTGTTAAGATGTGCATTGCAACAAACATCCATCACCACGGGCAGCAGCTGACGCAGGCCCTGTGTGAAGGGGGACAGTGCTCTGGTGAAAACAGACATTAATAATGTGCAGGGTGGAAGGCTGTGTAATTTGAAAAACACAAGTTAAAGGCAACTGTGATGACTCCCCTCAGCTGTGGCCATTACAAAATCCACACCTGATGTACTCCACTAAGAGCCAAGCTCCTTTCCTTCTTGCTCTGCTGAAACTTGTGGAAACTTGTGGGTAATAAAAGAGTATAAATAAGCACGTTCCTGGAAATGCAGGTTGTCAGCCACCAACAGTGGAACAGCCAAACAGTATTTCACTTCTTCTGAGATGAAAAGAAGCAGATTGTTTTGTTAAAGACAGAATTCCTTTAGTGGGTATTTCCCTTGGGGACTGATCACAGGGCATTCTTCATTTGGCATTATTTTACTGAAAGACTGATGAGAAAATAAAAAGGGATTGGTGTGTTCTGGCTTTAATTAGGAAGATGAAACTAGGTCTAATAATAACCTCGTAAAGGCATTTAGAGAGCAGTCACAGTGTGATGGGCTCTGGTGTGTTCCACACGTCCACTCCCACAGAAAAACCCAGGTCTCCTCCATAACAGCTCCGAGCAATTTGGCCATGGGCTGGCTCAGACATGAGATTTTTTTCTTCAGCAACATGCTGGGAGATGCTCAAAGACATAATACCTCAGCAAGGCTTCTTCAGCAGCCCCTCACATCCTCCTTCAGATACAGATACACAGCCAGTACACTGAAAAGGAGATTTTTGTCTGAGTGGCTTGCTTAAATAGAGACAAGCAAAGGGATTCTTCATGTTTGGGAAAAAAATTACTTTCATGAGCCTAATACAGGCTAAGAACTGCAGAGAAGAAAAGATGCCCTGAGTCATTTATCTTCTAAAGATTCTTGTACTGAAATTTAAGGGGCTGAAACTATAAATGAAAAGGATTTTAATGATGATCTCGCCTTTAATCCAGAAAGATCCCTGCCAGCCTTGAGAACTTTACTAAGGAAAAGCCTTCTGTCCATTGTGTAAAAATTAACCGCTGGTATGAAATGCTGTGACAATAGAAGGTAATACCACATGTAATTTTAATGAAGAAAGTAAGGACATTTTTACAGGAAAGGAGGAAGATCCTTGGTAATAACTTGGCTTTCTGCCTTCAGAGATGACAAGAATTTTCCATTACAATGGCAAGAGGGGAGAGACAACTGTCCTGTCTCAGAGCAAAGGACTTTGCTTTGGGTGAGGGCTGAAGGACCTAAGTACAGAGACTGCAGTTCATGGAAATGAGAAAAGAAAATTATGTGAATCAGAGTATAAGGCACATACACAGCCACCAGGAAAAGGAGCAGAAGCTGCTCCTGCAAGAAGCCACCTTCTTTTGCAGTTGTCCTGCACAGAGCCTGCTGAAAGCAACCCAAATCATCCCAAGACTTCACTTTTCTTCCTCTGCATGGGTGGAGATCTTTTATTCATCATTGTTTCATGCTTGTGCTCCATTCTTTGGAGAAGCTCTGACCACCTTTCACTACTATTTAGCATCTGCATTACAGGATGATTCTGTGAATGCAGGATTGTGAGGGAACTCAGGAATCATCAGGACTGGGACCTCACCACTGCAGAAACTCACCTGCCTGAAGTCCCTTTCACCAAGAGAACAACCTCCACCTGAGAACAAACTGATTTTTCTGCTTTCCAGTATTCCTGTTGGAAAGCTGTTTCAAGCCTCACTACTTGGGTGGTTAGAAACCCTCATTTAATTTCTAATCTAAATAATTCATAGCTAGTTTCTAACCATTTGTTCCTGTGCTAACATTGCCTTTTGGGTTAAATTGTTCTTCTCCCTGTGGGGTGTTTACTCCTGTGATGTATTTTAGAAAGGGCAATCATATTCCCTCTACGACTACATTTTACAAGGCAAATAAATCAAGCTCTTGTACAACAGCCTTTCCCAGTCTCAGACTGAGCCCCTTGTCCAAGGGACTAAGCAAACAGACCAAAGTGCCTTCTCCAGAGCTGCCCAGTGATGTTATGTCTCACAGACCAGCTGAAACACTATCCTGTGCAAGGAGATGAGATGTGGTTTAATGAAAATTACTAGTATCTCTCTCCTGATCTTTTCTTTTCTCTTTTCCAATCTTTTGACTCCCCTCTTTTGTTTTCTATATTATACTGAAGTTGCTTTAGCCCTGATGGTGCCCTCACAGAGAAGGGCTCCACAGCACAGCAGTGGCCTTGCCCCACTCTGACTTCTCCTATTTTAACTACTAATAATCTTTTTTAAATTAAAGGAAAAAAGTTGAGATGGAATATCCTACAGAACCTTAGAAGGAAAACCTTGCTGAAGCTGAGAAAGAGACTGCTATTGCCTGCCCTGCCATGTAACTGCTTAAGAGGTAAATCTTAAATTCTCGTCACAGTCTGACACTGATTTGTTGATAGCAAACAATGTTGTTTTTTATGCTATCATGTGATTCTCCATTTTTTCCTTCCTAGAAATTTGAGGCAGGAAAGCTCAGAAAATAAATGGTTTGCAAACTGTCTTTCTCCTTGCATGGAAATGAAGATTCTTTCCTGAAAAGGGTACTCTGCTAAAAGGTCAGGTCTTCCCCTTCCTATCTGTCTTCCATGGACAAAACTCTGCTTTTGATGTAATGGATTATTTAGGATTTTGTAGGAAGGCCTGAGGGATCTGCTGAAATAGGTAAAATGATTATGAGTGGCAGCCCATAATGTTGTACAGAAGTAAGAGAAACATTTTTGTGCTGTTTAAAAATAAATAAAAAAAAAAAGACCAAAATGTAAGTTTGAACAATTGTTCTCTCTAAGGTAGAAGCAGAACAGTACATGATCCTGATGTTAAGTGTAACATCCTCCAGAACATTTGAAATAACCTTGCATTATTGATACAACAGACCTCCATGGAAATTACTTATTTTCTTCCTCCTTTAAATTTAAAAATAACGGACTGATTGGACCAAGCAGCTGAAAGCCCAGATAGTGCATCTAGAGTTTGTTTTGTGAATTATTAACAGAGCTCAAAGTTAAAAATTTAGCTTTGCTTAGAAACCCACTCTCCCATTAAGCTTGACTGCTGTTTGCAGTTTACATTATTTCCTTGACACTGCTGTGAAACTTCCTCTTAATTGGTGGCTATTGTGGGACTTGAAGACTTTTGTTTATTTGAAAAATATAGTATGGTTGAATTACCAGGACCTATTAATACACATGTAGTAATGACATGTAATCGCCCACAACTCCCTTGAGATGGCTCTGGCACAACAACCCCATTTCATTTTCATGAAATAAAAAGCATCCAATTACCTAAACAACCACCTATTTCACATTAACCACACACCAATAATCAGTCAATTGGGGGAATGTTTATTTCCCTGGCCTATCCTGCCTCACATCCTCTTTGTCCTCTCTTTCTATACTTTTTTTTCCTTCACTGTGGGCTGCAGTTGTAGGTGGGGAGGCAGATTCACATCCCTCCATAATTCCTTTGGTAAAACTGCTCAACATGTCTCCTATTTGCTCAACATGCTGTAAGCAATGTTGTTGCTCAGGATTATGCTGGTGAATTCGGGCCAGTCACCCAGGAGCACAGCCAGGCATATTTTTAAAGTGCTTCTGCACAGCAACAAACAGACCCTCGTACACATATTTTTCTTCCAAAAATGAAAGGAGTCCCATCTGTACTGTAAACGCATATGTACATTTTTCACTATAATGCAATCTGTCCAAAGTTATCCTTATTATGTGTGGGGGACATTGTCTTGGGAGCAGGGTGGGCAGAGGCTTTCCAGGATAGGTTATGGATAACATGCAGTACCCCACTGGGTTCCCTCTATTAATGCCCACTCTGCAAAAAGAAGCCTCAGGCACTGGGTCACAAAATGTTCCTGCATCTCCCAGGAGGCCGGGATTGAGAGATAAAGGGAGGCAGAGGAAATGCCAATACAAAATGCAGACTTGGCATGAATAGTTCCCCGTCCAGCTCAGTGGGATCATGGAGAGCTCAAACTTTCCTTGTTTTCTCTGAAGAAGTCTTGATTCTTCTCTCTCAAAGAGCCAAAAGGGCACCTGGAGTTCCTCAGAGGTATGAATGGGATCTCAGGCACTGATCTCAGGCTTCTGATCATTTCAGCAGCAGGAGGAGGCCAGACACGATGTGAACCAAAGGGAGCTTTTGATTACCTGATTTTACCGCCGCCGCGCTCCATGGAATGTTTTCCATGTAAAGATGCACATCCATCAATATCAACAAAAGGACAGGAGAATCTGACAGGTAATGACCTTGGACACGGCTACAGAAACTCCTTTACCTCCCAAACTTCTCATGGGGCAAAAAGTAAAAGCAACTGCCAGAAATTTCTGTCCATCACTAAAATCTGTGCTAGGTCAGGAAAATAAGGAAGTAGCTGCAGTCCTTAAACTTTACTACAATAGATCCAGCTCAGGAAGATGTCCCTGGCAATGTACCATTAAGGTCAACAAGTCAAAGCAACCAAAAATCTGTTCCAGAAATATGACATTTTTTCATTTTACCTACCTGCCACTGCACAAGGACAGAGGAAGTCGTGTGGGGAGTCACTAACACAGAACTGGGTGGTTCATCTGGAACTAAACGAGGGAAAAAGGAGACAAAAACAGTTATGGCAAGAGGGTAGAATAGAGGCAGCTTTTATTTCTCAGATTCTCCTTCTTCACTGCTGAAGAAAATGTTCCATCCTAACTACTGCGTGGTGGGTCTCAAAAGCAGTGTGGTGGATATGGATATTGGAACCCGGGCAGAAGCCAGACACTTCTCCTACATCCCTTGCTCTACCTGTGGCCTTGGCAGCTTGAGCAGGAACAAGAAAAGCTGAGGGCATCAACCTGAAGGAAACTGCAGCAGCCAGTGCTCACAAACCACTGGGTGCCCGTTTGAAAGCAAGTTAAACCAGCTGTGTGAGGGCTCCAAAGTGTGAGCAAACTGCTCCCAGATTCTTAGTGAGATTTATGCCACAGTTGAGGCAAGCCCATCTCATATTTAGGAGTCTGTGTCAAACAGTCACATATTATTTTGGTTAGGGCAGCTTGATTTACCACAGGTTAACCCTTTCCTGTGCCCATGGCCTGTAGCACATACAGGCACCACAGCAGCTCAAACACAGGAGGCAAAGGCTTATCAGGAGCTGACAGCCCTCCACAGCACAATGCTCTGGTGGCAGCACCGGGTCTGCTCAGCAGAATAAATGTTGAGTTTGTTGAGGAGGTGAGAAGCTTTCACAGCGTTTCCCCATTGTATTGTGAGGAGGCCAAGCACAACTCTGGATTCACTGTAGCTAAATTCAAAGAGAATTTAAAATAAAACTTTAAATTCCGAAACAGTGAGTCAGTGCTGCCTCATTAGTGCAGTTACAGCCTGCACCGATCCCGCAGCGGCTGCGCAGGAAGGTGGAGAGTCAGGATGTCATTAAAAGGCTGCTTGGCACATTGCTCAGGTACTACATGGGTTCTTGTTTAGCTTCGGATACTCCTGAGCAGTGTCCTCTCTTATTCTGATTTCAAGATCACAGTCTTTAAACACTCCTTTGCAAAATGGTTTCCTGCTTTTATATCTTGGTGTCCTCATTCCCTGCTCTGTAAGAAATCCTGAAGAATTTCTAGCACCATGTATATAGAATCATAAAATCATTCAGGTTGGAAAAGACCACTAAGATCATTGAGTCCAACCATTAAATCAGCACTTCCAAGTTCACCTCTGAACCACGTCCCCAGGTGCCACATCTACATGTCTTTTAAATCCTTCCACGGATGGTGACTCCACTACTGCCCTGGGCAGCCAATTCCAGTGCTTGACAATCCCTTCAGTGAAGAATTTTCCCTAATATCCAATCTAAGCCTCCTCTGGTGCAACCTGAGGCCATTTCCTCATGTCCTGTCACTTGTTACTTGGGAGAAGAGATCGACCCCCACCTCACAACACCCATATATATATATATTTATATATGTATGTATCCCAGTATTACCCAATTTTCCAGGGTAACAGTACATACTGATGCTTTTTCATACTTTGCAGAGTTCCTTTCTCCATTTAAGACATCAGAGCTACTTCTGCATTCAGGCATCGACTTTATACAATCAAGGAATTAGAAGCTGATCTCTAAGGCTAAAAATAAAAGCCTTGTCAATGTCATTCACAGTTTATTAGTCCTGATCTGCAGGATTAAATGCTCATGTTTCCAGGAGCTTCATACTCTTTCTTACTTATACCTCAGCAATTTTGCCATATTGCAGACTGATGTGGATTGTGAGGGAAAACAACTGAAGAAACTTCTTCAAATGTATGCAAGGTTCTACATTTATTTTTAATGATCTCTTGTAAATTATTCAATTTCTGCAAAGATAATGGTTAGTGCAGAGTTTGGAAGCCAATCAAATGAAGTTTAATTCCATTTTGAGACTCCTGAAAGTATGATTCATTGTCAGAGGGCACAGCAGGACACTGGAGGCTGCCTGTTAATTCAGCCATATCTCATGCTACCTGTACCAACTTCCTACGAACAAACCTGCGTCGGCTGTTGATTTTCACTGCACAGTCCCAGTGGAAATCACATTGCAGTGGGTCCAGCAGACCCAGGAGCCCTGGGAAGTGCCCACCCCGTGGAGCTCCTCCTGCCTTACCATCCTGCAGCGTTGTGACCGCCTCTGTCTCCGCACTGAAGTCGCTGTCCCCGATGTCGTTGGTTGCCTTCACTCGCAGTTTGTAAGAGGTGAAGGGGTTCAAGCTGTGGAACGTAAAGAATAAGGCTGAGGGATGAAACCTTCCCACATCACCACAACTTGCCTCTACAGAGAACCTGCCCATTGCCAACCAAAGTAATTCAGCAGTTTGCCTCTTCTCTGCAGCCTCCCCCAGCTTCCTCGTGACGTGGAGGTGTTTGCACCCCTGCTGCCATCAGCATCTTCTCAGATGTCCACTGGCCTCAGTTCCCAGAAACACTCCTGGATTCACCATAGAATTGGGTGCCAGAAAACAGACATGAAGCTGCGACTCATGGAGCAGCCTATGGATGGGGCTTGTTGGGAAGGACAAGCCGTGCTGTTATTCAAGTTCTGCCTGGCTGTGCAAAACCTGGCTTTCAAGGTGCTTTGCTGAGATATCCTCAAAACTGATCCTCAGAGCATGGAGGGGGATTACAGGTGGAGGCAGGTAACATGCCCAGGGTCGGCCAGTGCACAGCAGGCGCTGGAATTCAGAGCATCAGCCTCCTGACTAATCCCTTACACCACTGCACTTGATCAGTGCATTTTGTTCCTACTGAATTTCAAATTAATGCTATTACCTGGATTATTTAATAAAGACAGCAACAACAGGTTCCCTGCAGCTCTTTTATCTATGTGGTGCTTTAAGATATGCAAAGAGTGATTTCCAGCTGACACAACCTTCACAGAGATGCTTCTGTCTTGGCTTGGCAGGGGAAGGTGAGGGGGAGGCTGCCTTTGGAGTCACAGGCAGAGGCTTGAAATGCAGAGCTGTAACTTACAGGGGATTTAGCTAATTAATTGGTAGTGTCTAGCCATCCGCTGGCAGATGTAACACTGACTGCAAACCCAAGTAAAGTTACTTGTAAGGAATGATTAAACATCAAGGATAATGCATCCTGATGGGCAGCACTCTCACATCTACGACTCTTCCGGACTTCCACAGGAAAATGCTTTTAGCAAGGAGCAGAAGAAATCTCTTTAAGCAGTGCCACCCTAATAGGACACCATTACTTACCTATAGCAACTTGAATAATGTGAATCATTGTTTCCAATCTTTTGTTTTCAGTCACGTCAATGCCAAGTCTAAATGACATAGATGGTTGCCTTGTTTTTACAGGTTTTGACTGGAAAGATACTGGCACAGGACCAGTGAGCTGTCATATACCATAGCCACTGCTGCTTTTATAACAGGCCTGAAAAATCTGTATCTGAATGATTTGAATACTTGATTCTCCTAAAGCTCACGGCTTTTTAGAAATAATCAGATTTGTACCAGCTCGTCAACAGAGGAAATGGACAGCAAAACAAGTACCTGCTCATAGACATTCAATTACTTTTGCCAATGTTACAAGGACTTTAATTACACTAGCATTGCTGAAGATATAATGAAGCCTGAATAACAAAGTTTAAACATTCTGATGCTATCTATAAACTTCAGTATGGAAAATACAGATAAAAATAGCTCTCATTTCATCTGGAAAAGCTTATATAGAGATAATTGCAATGCAGCATTCAGAGTGGATTTTAACATCAGTCAGTACTGAAAGGATTTTTAACTAGTTGTATTTTACAGAGCACTGTGTAGCTACATATGATTTAGCCTGAGTAGTGTTATCTGCGGTGCTGAGCTTCCAGGAAGGGCTTCAAAAAGATGCACTGCAGTCCAACTTTAATTAGATTTATTGCGTGACCTTCAGCAAATCTCTCAACTGCTGTTCATAACACCACCTCTAAAATGGGAGCAGTGACCTCACTTAACCTCTCTCCCTCCCAAGAAGACTGTGAAGCTGAGTGATGCTTGTTTTTGTTTCCCAACTCTTGGGAAAGTGTGGGAATTTCTATGCTAGCCTGGGATCACATGGTACCTTTCGATAATGCAGGATGTCGCCTCGTGGCTGATGGAGGAGGAGTAGGTTTGCCAGTCTCCATTGGGCAGTTCTCGCACTTGGACTGTGAAATATCGGATCGGTGAAGATCCATCACTTCCAGGGACCCACTTCAGCAGCAGACTCCGTGAGGACACATCGCTCTGGGGGGTCATCACCTGCCTGGGAGGTGCTGGTCGTTCTGCAATTAAACCATAATTCGGTACTGCTTTGAGAGGAAATTCCACATAAAATGTGACAGCCTGATCAGATTTTCATAGTGGTAATGCCACAGGAGATTGAACTTTTGGATTTGCCCCATGAAGTATACAACCATCCCATTCCTTAACCTTCTCCTGCAAAGAGGAGCACTAAAACTGATTCTTATCTCCCTGCATCAAAGGTCAGCATTGAATATACACCTTCCTAGCAGTGAACCTCAAACTTGAGGGGGGGTCTTGGCCTGGTAGGTTAAGGAAGAATCACTAGGACTGGCAGTCAAGCAAAGCAAGGCTTTCCATCTTTAATGGAACTCAGCTGTGCTTCTGGCTGCAGTTGCTCTTTTGAAAGAATTTGCCTATAAATTAGCTCACTTTTTAACCTGTTCTTACTCCTTGGTACCAGGGACTTTGTTCTCTCTGAGCTGTGTAGCATCCTCTTCCCCAGCTGCTGCCCAGTCAAGGCACAAAGGAGAGAAAGGGATGAGCTGGAACACGCTGCTGTGTTGCAGAGTCCAAGCACACACAGCTGATACTGAATTCCTGCACCAGCCCTCTCTGGCAAGGATCTGGGAACCATCAGCAGCTCCTGGTGCTGCTGCTTCCAAACCCCAGCCTGGAGCTAGTGGGGAGCTGGGGCTGGAGCACCCGCTGCAGGTCACTTCCAGAGCTTCCCAGCTCTCCCCTTCATACCCACTAACCTTGAACCTGCAAAGTCAAATCAGCCTGTGCCGAGGGAGATCCCTCCAGAGTAATTACCAGCACACCTTCTGAGATGAGCAGGGAATGGTAATGCAGGTGTAAGCATGCCAGTCCCCAACTGTTTCATTACAGATCTCCTTTCCCGTCACCACATCTCAGCACTCCATCGATTTCAATAGAGAAACTCTATAGAGTGAGGAATAATTGTTTAATTGTTTATCATGAAGATTATTGATTCTGATTAAAATGTGTGGCATGTAATAAAGCAAAAATTGATTGGAGACACCGCAGTGACTTGCTTTTGAGAAGCAATTCAATTCAACTTCATCAGCACTTGTTTCCATAAACACACCTCTGCCTGCCTGATTCCTCACAGCTCCACATGGCAAGCACTTCATTTCCCTGCCACTGCCTAAAACCATTTCCTGTGTGTTCTGGCATTTCTCTGCAGCCTGCTCTTGCTGACATCAGTGCCCAAAAACTTGTAAGCTATTAGCTGGAGGAAGCCCTGGGTGCCAGCAGCCTGCGAGCCGCAGTACAACGCAAAAGGTCAGTGCCTTACACTGACAGGCTGAGACAGGTATGCAGGTTATTCCATCCAAGGAAGTGAGTGTCATGCAGGGATTTTATAAACTTGGCTGATATGCTTTGCTGTTGTGGGCAGGTCAGATCTTGCAGTCACTCTCCCACGATTCCGTTTCCTTCCGCTGCTAATGGGAGATCTTAAAATCTTCTGTGTTGCAAGATATACTCTCTGACTGTTTGTACAAAACCATTAGTATAAAGAGTTTATTTATGGGAGTTTAGCCACAAGCAAATGCTAAGGTGAGCTGTTTGTGCAGGAATGTAAGGCTTGACTGTACCAGTCCACATGACTCTATGGACTACTTTTAATTTCTTGCTACATTTACATTTTCTAACTCAGTTCCGTCCTGAACATTGGTGTTGATTATTCTGAAGTATCACGGTGTAGATTCAAAGCACTGCAGCGGAACCTCTGGAGAACACAGCCACAATATAACTTGGGATCTGTAAATCACAGGTATCATTGTAAAATGTAAAAAATTGTATTTTCCTTATCCAAGGAATTTACAAGGACACGAGTGACCAATTTTGCTAATTTTCAAGGGAATTTTTGTGTCTATCTACCTCACTATCGAGGACTACAAGGATATCAAATGCATTTTTATTAATGGAAATAAAATATCTTTTTACTCTAGAATATTTACTGTCATATATACAAATTCAGGGTTAATTTCTTGTTAGCAGAATAGCTGCACTGGATAAACTTCTTTATCATCCCCTTATATTGTTCTTGCTGGTGTGAGAATACACATTCTTCTCCCTACACTTTATACATGGGATCACTTCAGTTAACTCTTGGTTCCATAGCATGTGTAGAGACTCAGCAGAGCTGTCCATCAAAAAGAGAAAGGGTTCATACTATACTATGACTTTCCTTCTCAAGATAACCCTAAAGCACTGATAGCAAGAAGGGATCATTGTTCCCACAGCAGAGCCGGGAGTTCTGACTTGAGCTATTGTGTATCCTCGCGCAAGGCCTGGGAAATTTGAGCACATCTTATTGAGAAGGAGAGGCTCTGAGCTTTGAGACTCCACTTTATTTGGCATGGTGGGTTTTTTTGAAGCTTCCACATGTTGGACTTTGAACTTCCCCTTTGACAGCAATCAGACAGGGGTGGAAGAAACCTTGAGCTGATAAATCTCTTTGACGGACAGTATCTTTAGCAGAGGCATTCTCAGGTTTCAAATACAGCTCCAGAGGTTCTCTCTCTGAGGACTGCACTGTTATGCACTGAGAAGGCTGCACATGACCTAGAGGGCTATGCCAGCAGGAATTTTAACTCCAACCACACAGGCCAGAAGTAGTTGAAATGCACCTCACAGGTTCTTGCTGCTGGTGGTTGAGTATCAGACCAACACCCTCTCTTCTTAGAAGTGTTAGAGGAAAACAACAAGGAAGACATTGTGGACAAATACAACGGGACATCCTTACTCTTGCCCTAAATGATTTGCAAGGTGTAGAAAGGACTTCAAACAAAAGATTGCTTAGTAGGCACATTTTAAGCACTAAAAGTAAATATAACTGGTTGTATTATAGTACAAGACTGGGGCAAGAACTAAGACCAGGCCCAGAAGCACATGTAAAAGTTCTAACAATAGTTGAAAGACACCTGAGGAGGTCTGCCCTGGTGACCTGCTGAAGTGTGCTTCTCTCTGAACAGTGATTTATAAAAATCACACAAGCTGCATGATTTTGACTTTTGAGTGAGAAGTTTTCTTAAAGATCAATATCCAGACAGCACAATGGGTCAGAGCAGCACGTCGCACAAAACCCAGTGATGCTGGTAAAGTTACCCTGGCTGCTTTTGACTTCATCAGCTCAAGGGACCAGATACATCCTTTGCAGTGAAACGTGGCATATGGTGCAAGACCAGAGGAAGACCCACCCTTCTGTTCTCCACCAACATATTCACCAAAATATCCTCTTTTAGCTCTGAATTAAAAAAAAACAAACCCAAACAAACCTTCATGAACAAGTAGAAAATGCAACTTTTCTATCTGGCAGCTCTAGAGATCTGTTCTAAAACTGGAAAAAGGAGCAGTTACTTGAGCCAAAGCATTAAAAACAAGCAATGATGCAGAGCAGATCCTGTAATACCTTACATGTCTTTCACGTTTTGATACATTTGGTATCTAAGCATCTGGTTTCATTTATAGACATGTATAAATGCTGACTTCAAGTAGATTCCCTTCAGAACAGGATTTGACCGGAGATGCAGAGTGCAAACAACCATTTTATGGCTGATGGAAGAAACAGAAAAGGTCTGGGCAATCCAGATGCAAACGCTCTGCTCGAGCGTGTGGCAGTGAAAGGCCAGAGTAATTACAGACACATTAGGTCAGGGCTGAGGTACAATGGAGGAGCTGTGGAGAAATTCTGCAACACCACTGCCTCTCATTTTGCGTTCCTTAATCAATATAATTCATCCATCACTTACTTTCTTAAGACTGCAATCTTTCTAGAAAACGAGAGAGCTGAAAAAAAGCCATCTGACTGCAAAAGGAGGCTGCATATGGCCAATATAGCAGCTGATGGAAAAATCAATTCCAACAGCCCGGCAGGTTAGAAGAACTGTGCCTCATAAAAGTCTGTCTTGCTTTCTCAAATCATGATGTTGCTATGGTTTGGGGCAGGTTTATGGGGTGAGAAGGAGGAGGTGTACAGGCTGTGGGCTGTTATTAAAACTCCCCTAAGCGCAGCTCAGGCTCCAAGGCAGGCACGGGAAGGCTCTGAACCCGCGGCTGGAAGCGTTACCTCGTTTTTCGGTGGTGATCACTGTGGCTTCCAGGGGCTCCCCCCAGCCCTGTCGGGTCTTGGCAGATGTCCTGAAGATGTAGGCTGACTCCGGGGTGAGGTCTGTGGCCGTGAACTGCCGCACTGTCGAGCCGACCTCCACCGTGGTGAACTTGTTGGGGCTGCTGCTGGCCAGGCGATAGGCGACCTGGTACCCTGCAAGCACAGCACCAGCCAGAGAGGGGGAAAGGGTGAGCTGCTTTTACCAGCAGGGACAAAAGAGCACCAGAACTATTAGTTTATCATAATTGCTTATCTGAGATCAGAAGAAAGTAATTTACTCCCTTTGCTGTTATAAAACTCTGCTCTACAGCAGATGCCATACGCTACAAGGGAAATCACACACAGCGGCGCTCACAAGGGCCTACTGAATATAACTGCCACAAAACCCATTTCACATTCCATCCTTTACACCAACAAGATGCAAAACCAGTTTAATCTTTCCTGAGCATACTGGTACCTTTTTGGAAATCAAAGGAACAAAGAGAGCTGGTGCAATATGTCACCTGGTTGAGGCGGATACAGGCAACACTCCAGTTTCATCTTTCCACCCCAGCACACGTGTGCATGTGTGTGCACCCACACTCACGGACTGTTCTGCCCTCTCACAGTTTCAGCACTGGTTCAAACTCAAGGTTCTCCAGCTGCAGCTCCAGCAGCTGGATTGCCCAAACTGTGCAGTCTTATCGACCAGTCAAGGCTTGTTCCTCCTTTCTGCACTTGCTTTTTCCTCAGCTCTCCCACACCCCTGCAACTGTGCACCAGGGCCAGAACCACCCTTCTTCTGTCATTCAGCACCGCTGCCCTTGCCCACAGTCCAAGGAGGAGCCTGCAAGCTGTGTGGTCCTGCTTCATCCATGCAGCTCTCAATAGTGAATTCTGCTGATGCCTGTGAGTGATAACCCCCGTTCCACCCTGTCTGACAATCAGGAGCTCATAGTTTAGCCCGTGTTATTAATGACTCCACTGTGCAAGGAGGGCTTCCAGGGTTCTCACGCACCACTAGCAACAACCGTCCCCCAAAGAGGGTCTGCCAAATGTTCAAATCCGTTCTGCAAACCCAGCAATTGAATCAGGTTCTCACTTCTGGAGCTCGATGGTAACTTCCAGTCCAGCAGCTGACTTCCAAAATCAATTAATACCAGAACCGATGCGGGGTTTTATTGCCCGAGCTGAATGTGTGATTAAACGCTTCATGGAGTTACACAGGGCAGAGGGCAGCCAACAAATCCAAATCAAACCAGCTGAAAACAAAACAGTCATGACATAGTTCTGCCAACCCTCTGCTCGTCTTGCGAATGACAAAAGGGACCCGCAGCACCTGAGCCATCCCTTTCTCACGGAATTAATATCCCAGCTAGAGTTTGAACTCCCACCACATTTTGGCTGTAACAAGATCAAGGAGAGCCAAACCCGGCATGCTTCATTCAGGAAGGCCAGTGCATGAAATCTGAGGGCTTTATCTTACCTATGGCTATTAGACAAAACTCAGTGACATTTATTTCCCACTGTGAATATGCAACAATTGCCACGTGTCCACTCACAGAAGAGGTCCAGAGTTCCTGCAGCTCCTGGAATGAATGCCACTGGCGTGTGGTGCACTCTGTCATAAACAGTGGAATTTAATTGGGATACAGATGGTATTAATTTTCTTGTGCTGACTCTCACAGTGCCACTGACAATGCACCACTGCATCCTTGTCCTTTCTTCTCTGGCAGCTGCTCAGGGATGTGGGGCAACAGCCATTGCTGCTTCACATGGAACAATTTGATTGCACCAACACCTTAATGATGTTTTAACTTGGTCAGCCCCGCACTGGTTAGACAGCTGGACTTAATGATCTTTGTAGGTCCCTTCCAACTGAAATAGTCTATTCTAATCTAATAAAAAAAAAGTGGCCTGACTTTTCAGAGCTCCTGAGCATGCTTAGATCCCAGCAAAGTCTGAGGGTCTTACCCTTTCAGCATTTCATTTTTCCACCTCCAAATCACCTCCTTTTATCCCTGGGACTAGCTCTTCCATTACTGGTCCAAAATATTCCACCAAAGTATTTCTGTGCCTTTAATACTGTAATATTTTGATCTTTTTTAAAGTCTACAGAAAAACAGAGAGCAATGGGAAGAAGGAACTGATACATATGATCTTTTTTGTTTATACTGATGTGAAGAATGTGGGAGTGAAAACCCCAGTGCAGGATCTTAACAAGGAGGAAAAATAGTCAAAGAAAAGCACTGGGGAAATTTTTACAGCAGCAGGAAAGATGAAGGAAAAAGCAACTAAGATGGCTAAAGAAGCTTGATAAAGGGACATAAGATGTAAAGAATAAGACCTGGAGGGAAACAGAGAATATTAAAAGAATAGAAAAGTTGATTTATCTAGTCATTAAAAGATAAGTATGATATCTGGGACATATCCTTGTCAAGCAATTTCCTCTCTTTTCTCAACCTTCGTAAAATATAACATGTAGTTAAAATGTAAAGAGGGAATAGAAAGATAACTATTTACTGCTAAATGGTGGTACTCGTGCTGGAAAGCCAATTACAAACACACTCAGATTAGGCAAAGGAACACATATCTAGGCCATTATAATATCTTACACAAGAGTGGGTCCATGGCTAGTGTAAAAACTAATTTAGCCATGAGAAAGAGGAAATCACTTGTCACAGCCTGTCTCTCTGACAGGCTCTGCAAACTCCCTTTCCATGCATCCCTGTGAAAAACAGCATCAGCTCTCACTGCCCCCTCCTACCTCTGCTGTGTTGTCTGACAGTCTGGGTAAATACCTACTTTCCTGAATATCTCAGGCAGAGTTTACACAATCAGAGCTGTCACCTTTACAGATTTCCTAAGAAAATCAACACTTCCATGGGTCTGATTTTAAGGTAGATAACCAACTTCTACACCTGAATTCATCTTGCTCTTATTGCTAGCTACAACCCACCTAAGAGACACCCAGCATTGCATTTTGATCCCCTGCATCTCCTATTAGACAGTTTGGGACAGCCAGGATACAGACTGGCATAAAAAGCATTATTTTTACTTTTTCTGAGTGGCACAGAAGACTCAGCATTTAAACTACAGCTTGGATAATAACTGGGGCTAACGCAAGATCAAAAAGATAAAATTATTAAGTTGATGAATTCAGCAACAAGGGATGGGAGAAGAAAGGAAATGTTAAGTGAAATCAAACAAGGCAAATCAATAGAGGTAAATGGAAAGTGTTCAAAGAGAAATTAATGTATGCTTGAGGGCTGTAAAAGGCAATTGCTGTAGTAGAGGAATGAGCAGCTTCCTTCCCTTACTAGATTACGACAGTAAGATGTTGCAGATATCTCAGAAAAAAAAAATTAAAAAGTCAAATGTTATGAATGAAAGTAAAATCTTTAAAAGGTGATCAGAGGAAACTTTTTGGAGAAAGGAATATCTTATAGAACATGAAGCATCTGGATGGCCAATAAGAGGAATTCATATTATTTTCTTAATTTTTTCCCCATATAGCATCAGATCCCAAATCTCTGCTGCTATTGGGAATGCTGCCATTCACCAGGCCAAATATCACAAAAAAACCCCCTAAAAAACCCTGAAAGTTCAACTCTTCAGGAGTTTATTTATTCATTGAAACCAGGCTTTTTTTTTTTTTTTTTACTTTAGCATCTTCCTAAGTACTTTTTGCACAACTACAGGCAGTTCCACGAGCTACACTTTCTCAACTCAATAAATGGCAACAGTCTGAACCGCCTGTGAAGTGTTAGGTCACCGTAACACAACTGGTGGATTCCCCAAAGCAAACAGGCAGGAGGACGCCAACACACCATGAATATCAAAAAGCTTTCAAGCTCATCACCACACAAAAAGCCCTTCAGAACTGACAGCCCCCGCTCGTGCAGGCCACGGTGCGGCAGAGATACAAACACTTATTAATTTGTCACACGACTCGGGGAAAGGCAAACGATCCTGGGAGGTTACGGGTGGAGCAGCAATCCCGTTTGTTGGCTTCCCTGCTTATCTGTTCTAGGGCCAGCGGGTGTGCAAATGCAGCCTGGGATCAAAACAGGAATTTGCAAACATGGATTACATCCAATTTCGGTTCTAATTCTCGGTGGAGTTCTTACACTTTTTTCGCAATAAGCTTCAGGTAAATGCTAAATACCAGGGTACCCATGAGGAATACTAACCAGGGCCCAGGAGGATGCAGGTTAAGCTCTCGTTTTCAGGGGAAGCTCATAGCTTGAAGTGCACATATGCACATTAATGCATCATTTATCTTTAATAGTATTTGAAGGAACTATGTGGGTGCTGGCTGAACTGAGTGCAGAAGAGAAGACAGAGTGAAGCCTCAGATGGTTAGCATAACACTCCCAAAAGGAGAAAGGGAAACATCTAACAGTCTTCCACAGTAAAATATTTAAGCAAACAAACAAGTGGTTTTTTCCCTCTTGGTGCCTGCCAGTATTTCATCCTGCTAATCTCTCTCTGAAATGCTAGAGCGTGTTTTTATATAGATTACAAAAATGTTAGCTGCAAAGGTGCATGTATACTCAGAGGACAAGGCAAGCAGAGCAGGAACATTAGTTCAAAGGCTCTCTATATAAGTTGCTCTTGCAACGCAAGTGGTTTTTCTTTCCAATCCCAAGAGTGAATAGAAGGGCACTGCACAAAATTAGTTCACTTATTTTTCCCAATAACTCTACTTCGATGCACTTGACCCGGGGGGGTCACAAGGAAGTTCATTATAGTAATGAGATTTAAAAGGTGAATAGGAAAAAAAACCCCAAACTCCAAAAATTTGCAACCTTTCCTTAGAATATATTGAGGTTTATATGTTTTATGAGGTTCAATATGAGAACATATTGAGGTTTTATCTATTTTTGAAGCACAGCTCACTTCTTAGGAAAGATCACAGAAGTACCCAGCATGAGCAATTTTCACTTTTCTCTCTGCCATTGGCAGCTAACTACTTCCTCCAGGAACCTCAGTATTTCTACCATGGAAAAAATAAAAGAGTGGAAACTGTTGAATAAAGACAATGGACTTCAAAGAAGTGCACTGGAGGAAGTGGCAGGTAACACCCCCCTGGGAAGGAATTCAAGTTTGCTGACCATTTCAAAAGAGACCAAAAAAAAAAAAAGGTACAACAATTCCAGCGGAGACAAAAGATGTTAAGAGGACAATATGTTTGCATTCAGAGCTCACTAATGACCTGAAAATCAAAACTGAATTGGACAAAAGTTGAAACAGGACAAAGGTCTAAGGGAGTGTATAAATAGACAGCACAGGCACGTAGGGACAAAAACAGAACAGCTAAAGGGCAAGGTGAGTTATAACCTTAAGGGCATCAAAAGCAATGAGAAAGATTTTATAAATACATTAGAAATCTGAGAGGGAGGAGGAGGACAGGTCAAGCAGTGGGAAGAAAAGATAAGCACGAGAGAGGTGAGGCTGATACCTCCATCCCTTCATTTTCACACACAACAGAAAGTTGATGCTGTCTAGAGCCTCAACACAAATCAAAACTGACAACAATATAAGTAGGGATGTAGGCTAGAATAGAGAGCAGGTTAACAAATATTTAGTTAAGCCCGATGTAATCAAGTCAGAAAGGCCTGATGAAATTTGCCCTGCAGTGCTTATATAACTAGAGGGAGCCATCTCTGAATAATTAGCTGTTCCCTTCAAGAACTTGTAGATGACAGGTGACATCCCAGAATATTACAGAAGGGCAAACAGACTACACTGCCTTTTAAAATGAGGCAAGACCAACTAGAGGAATTATGGACAAATCTAACTCAAGTTCAATATCCAGAAAGATCCTGGAAAAAAAAAGAGTCAATATACAAGCATCCATGAGGATAATAACGTGCTAAGGAACAGCCAATATCTGTTTGATTGGAGCAAATAATAAATATCAAATAATCTGTTTTCCATTTTGACAGTGTAATTGGCCAGGTGGGAAGAGTAGATATGATCCACATTGACTTTGAGTAAGACTTTAATATGGTTGCACAGAGTCCCATCAAAAGCAAACAAGAGAAATAGAATCTAAGAAAAATACTGCACATTATGAGATGATTAAAAAAAAAAAAGTAAAAAAACGTTGTTATCAATGATTTGCTAACAACCTGGGAGGATGTATTAAGTAAGTTCTCATGAGACCTCATGAATGAGTCTGGTTCTAATACTTTCATTAATGGCCTGGCTGATGGAATTGCCAATCTGCTTGCAAACTCCAAAAATGACACCAAGCTGTGAGTGGCTGTGTGCACTTTAAAGGACAAGAGTGTCGTTTAAAGACATGTTGGTAACGAAGAGAAATGGTCTGGAATCAGTGAGATGAAATTCAATAAAGGCATCTGCGAATTAACTTAAAGAGAAAAAGCTTAATGTACTTGTAAAAGAAGGACTGGCTGACCTGGAAGTGTACTGAGGAAAAGGGCAGGAATTAATAGTGGGACATAAACCTACTCAGTTACACCATCAGTGTAGTCAAGGACTGTATGAAGTATACTGGGATGTATTACTGGGAATGGACTGTGAAAGTCATTGGAAACAATGACAAACATTAAACACGCCAAAGATTCTTTAAGGGACACCCTCCCCCTTTCATTCCAACCCTGCATTTGTATGATGTTATCATCAACATAATGGCAATGAGTAAGAACCAGCTGAGGGGGGATGCACTGCACAAAGAACTCTGCAAAGACAAAATAAAAGAGAGTTCCTCCTCCACCAAGCTTGCAACTTCAGCAAATGAGGCTGACAAAGTGCAGCAATGTGAGAGGTTGGAACACAGTCGGGGGAGCAAAATGTCTTTTGTGCTTTCTCATCATTTCTATCAAATGATTTCTTTTTCTCCTTAACCACATCCTGTGATTCAAATCCCAATCTCTGCTGAGAGCAAGTTCTAGGCCACACAGTTCCTTAAAAAAAAAGCAACAAATCAAACCCACAAGACAACCTGGAAGCCAACCTTCCTTGAGCTGCAGAGAAACCCTGCGTGGATCCATCTCTGGCAGCTCACTGCTGCCAAGCTTCACACAGACTCTTCCTCGTGCTCAGAAAATCCTGCAGCGTCTGCCTTTGGATGCCATTTGATGACTTTCCTGCATCTTCAGGTGCCAGGATCACTTTGGTAAACTACACACCTGAGCAAACACTTTGAGTTCTGGACTCAGGATTTAAGCACAATGCAGGACCAGTCCTGTATTTAAGGGATGCCACCAATGCAGGAGCATTTTAAGCAGGTGCCCTCTACCCAGCAAGGGAGGCTTTAGGAAATATTGCTAAAAGCCTACCCATGAACCTGAATGGGCAGCACAATCAGAAGCAGAAAGGTCTGTCAGATTGAGAACTAGACAAAACAGAAGCTTTTGCTTCTGTTTTTAGAATTGAGACACAAATCTTTACTCACCAGCTAGAACTATGGTAAAATGTGTTTAACATCACCAGAGAACACAAAATTGCTGGGTAACTATGAACTACATTAATTTTAGAGGCAGCAATGGATTCTTACATTATAAAACTCTTCATGTTTTAAGTGCAAGTAGTGACTGGTGAACATATTGCCAAGGTAACCCAAGAGTTATGAGAGCAGGAAGCTGAGAAGGTTTTTCACAAATTCCTGTCGTGCCTTGCTGCCTCTCATGTCCTTGATGAAAAGCCAAACATGATTTAACTCCTTGTGACCTGTCAGACAGTATTATCCAAAGGAAGCAATAAAAAGGAAGCACACATGATACTGAAACATCGGGCATGCCTGGCAAGGGTGGGGAAAATCCAGGTCTCCAGGCAGTTTACCTAACAGTCAGTCAAACAGGTTACCAACCCAAATGCAGATGGGAAGAGGGATGACATTCAAACATAGTGCCTGAACGACACCAAATTCTGGCTCAAGAAAACACAAACCATGGAGCCACACAGACTTTTCTCCTCACCACAGTCTCGCAGCTGACACCGACATATTTTCTTTTCTTTAGGCCACAGATTTGCTTATGTACAAGGGGAAGGAAAACTCAGCAGCTGCAGCTTGCTCTGGTCTCCAGCCCTCTCCTCCCAGCCCAGGGTCTGTTGCTCCGTCTTACCCAGAATGATTCCATTGGGCTCCTCCGGTGGCTGCCAAACAATCCGTACGGATGTGAGCCTCACCTCGGGGAACACCAGCCTCACAGGGGGGCCAGGGGCTGGAAAGAAGAACAGAGATCATGGCAGCAAGGATTGCGTGTCAGAGGGGTTACAAGTTTTCTGCTCACCCTGTACAGAATTACAGCCCAGGCTGTAGCTCCCCAGTAAGTAAATGGTTGGGTGCACCTATGTATGTACATAATATACATTTATTCTGAGGAGTCCTGTCCATGGCCAATGTCTCCAACACCCAGGGATACCAAACATGACACAGAATCAGTGCACCCTACAGTGTTTTCCTACTGCACCGGGAGCTCTGAACCCTGAATGATTTTTCTCACAGCAGCATCACCATTGGTGTAGCTGAGAACATACTATAAAGCAAGTCACTGAGCTGCCTTTACAGAGTTATATAGCTTAATCCACTTCATACCTGTTGGAATTGAATAATATCCCCTCTCTGTGTCATCAGCACTGGCTTTGAACTGCTTCCTGACATAACATTTGCATCTTAAACACTTAGGTGTGAGCAGGAGAACCCGAGGCAGGTGAGACGCACATTAACACAGGCTGTGCTGACCATCCCGGGTGCACAAGGTGAGGAGATGCTAATTCATACATTAGCATCCACGAAATTTCCCCTTCAGCACAAATTCCACCTGCATTACTCCCGGTGATACTTATAATTAAGTCGAGCCCAGAGGAGACACAACATATTTATGTCAGGGGTATGGAGATGGAAGAACAATTTGTTTCATTTGCCAACATGCACTTAAGGAGGGAACTGCTATAATGGGGTTATCCAAAACAAACAGTTCTAAGTATTTCTCATTACAGCCCAATATGTACATTTCATGGAGTGCTTTTTCTCTCCCTGAAGAGTTCTGCTAACAGCAATTTTTCTAATTTTTCCTTTCACAGAGAAGCCAGGTCCCCACAGAGGCAGTATGCTAAGAAAAAGGCTAAAAAAATGTCAGGGAGCTGCTGTCCCTGTTCTTGTTCCTTCATGCTCCTATTCCTTCCTTCCCTGCACAGAAAATGTTTTGTTAAGCCAGATGTGGGAATGTTTTCAGTCCAACCAGATTACCTTAATGAAGTTGCTAGTAGAAACCAATGTTTATTCCTTTACTATTGAGAAAAATTTCGATGAAAAAGAGAGAGACTTAAATAGAAGCCTCTCACACTGATATGAATCTATTTATTCCCGAAAAGCTAATGAAACTAAAACTAGTTTTAGCATCCACAAAGGTAAAAATATTTTAAGAGCTGAACTAAATTGCTGTAGAATTCCATCATCAGGAATGCTCCCACCACATCGGTGTGCCCAGAGAGCACTGGGGCAAGGGGCTTGCTTGGGTTCCTTCAAGACATCCAACTGCACTGGGAAGCCTCTGAGCTTATGGGAAGTGCTGGAGGCAGCTGCAAAAGGAAGCTGGTATGATCATCTTCCAAGGTCAATGTCTTATTCTTTTTGGGGAAAAAAAAAAGGAGAATGGATTACTGAAGTTGCAAATCCTACCTTTCTCCTTCAGTCCAATCAGACTCAGATTTGTTTGTTGCTTTCAATTGCAGCACTCTTTTTTATTTTTTTAGCATGATTGAATTTCAATAGGAATTTATAATTGGGCTCTAAAGTTGTTTTCAATAGAAATTATCTACACCAAGCTTCAGAGTTCAATTTTGTAAGTTTTTTTCCTCTTCACTAGCTGCAGGGAAGGAGCCCATGACCAGTGGAATAGTGCTTAGTTATCCTAGGTATGGCTGAAGTCCTTTGGGATCAAAGTCGGAAAAAAACACCCCCCAAAATCCAAGCAGCCTTAGGGTAGTTGTCAGCTACACTCGCACCACTAAAAGAAAGCAGTGGTAAAAGGCTGGGCCAAATAAAATGGTTGTTTTGGTAACCTTGGAACTCACCATCATCCTTGGTTCTCTCTATCACTGCAGGAGAGCTGGGGACTCCATCTCCGATCCGGGTGAACGCCAACACCTGGATCTCGTAGAGGACGAATTTCCGCAGGCCGGAGAGCAGGACAGACTGGGTGTGGTTCCCTCTCACTGTCTGGCTCTTTGGTTCAGAGTCCAAATCTTTTGCTTTGAAAAGTATCTGCAGGATAAACGCGGATGAAATACAGAAGAAAGGAGATTGTTGCACGAGGACCGGAGAGAGGGACACACATTTTAGATTCCTCCTTTTCACACAGTGTAAAATGAGATTATATTCACCTCTCACTCCTTTCAAAGTCAACACATTTTCTGTATCTTCTCCAGCTGACTTTGGAATAATATGAATATGCAGCAGGTGAATATTATATAACAAATACAAAACTATTTCCTGTTAATGCATTAAAAATCAAATAAATGTGAAAATCCATACCTTGTACCCCAGGATGAGACCATTCTGCTCAGACTCAGGGACTGCAGCCCATGTCAGCAGGATCTGGGTGGAACTCACGGCTTCAGCAGTGACATTCTCAGGAGGAGCAGAGGGAACTGGAATAACATGGCATTACCAAAGAGCAGAAATAGGTAAGACAGATCAGATCATTTTGCTCCATCTGCTTAGGATTCTCCCAGACTCCCACAGAAGAGTATTCAGACCCAAAAGGACTGGAATACGTTCTAGACAACCCCTCCTCCTCTTGTATTCATTCTACATCATCTTTATATTTCAGCCTGTCTCACAATTTCTTGCCAGTTCATCTCAGAAATGACAATGTTTGTAAAGAGCTAAACATTTAATACTTTTCAGTGGCTACAGACAGACAGTAAATATTGACAGCTAAGAATAAATTTCAAGCTCTATATATTTGCAGTAATTAGAACCAAGTTTAAATTGCTGGACTTCTCCAGAAGTCTATCTCCTAGTATTTCTTTCCCATACATTTTATTTCCCTACGCCAAAAGCTGGAAATCTTTCTGAATGGGAGTTTATCTTATAGCATGATCTGTTTTAACAAGAAGTTTTATGCCATCCTGGCTTCCTATATTATCTGAAAGGAAATTATAGCATCTTGTCTGGAGCTAGCAATAATTTCCCCCACTGGATTGCATTCCCAGTTCAGTAAGAAGTTCTTTAACCTCTGAGCCTCTTGATGATGTGAGAGCGCTCAGCATTTGCAATACATCAATTACAGATGGATATATTAACACAAGGTGTATTTTCAGGGATTGATACGGTGTCAATGAGAGATGCCTATTTCATTTATGTTGCAAAATTGGCTCTTATGAAACCAGAAACATCATTAGAACTGATGGCACAGGAACACTGTAATTTTCTCTGACTCCAGAGAAGAGCAAACTTGCATTTTCCCTGTGCCATTAAAACTCGGAGAGCTGCAGAACCACACAACTGCAGGCTTTTGCAGGCAAAGCCTAATAGCATGTCACGTTATGCAAGCAGGATTTGAGGCTATTTTTAAGAGTTCACATTTTATGCTGCCCTTTCGCATTCTTTCCCTGTGGCATTTCCAACATCTGAAGGGTACAATCTTTTCTAAAGCCTGATACACCTGTCAGACCTCAAGAGAACATTCCCCAAGTTATGTTAGACAAGCACTTAGGGACAGTAAGGCTTGATTAGGTCCTGAATCTATCACAAAAAAGGAGCCCAAATCTCTGCCAAAAGGAATGCTTTCCTGGCTTGTCTAAATGAAAGAACAGATCTGCTGTTCTGGAGGCGAGCTCCTGAAGCTCCTAGCAACATGAATGAGATAATGAGTATGACACCAGAATTAATATAAATTGAAACCTCCCCCCCTCAAAAAAAATGTACCACTCCCACCCTTGTGCACTCAAGGTTAACAGCAGAGATAGTAATTTCTGAAACAATTTCCCTGTTACCAATTATTTGGGACATGAGAAACAGAGCACCATCACACAACACTGCAGCAGACTAAAATCCAATTTTTTTCCCCTCCAACACTGAAGTGACTTTTTTTTTTAAAAAATCTTTTGCTAGATTTATCCCCCACAAGGATATAATTATGTTTAAGGAAAATAGATTGCCAGGAGCCATGAATGTCTTTGGATAGCTGCCATTACTTTATCTGTAGATCTTCACAAAGAGCTACTCCCACATGAATCACTTCTGGAGAGAGAAAGGGTGGAGGTGGGTCGCAGGGAACCAGGATGTGTAGAGGAAAGAAGCCCTTTCCAGCCACATTTATTTTTATTTTATCTGTTTTGAAGCCTTTCAAGAGAGAAAAAAGTTACTTTATTTTACAAATATTTCTTTTCCTCTTTGATCAGCAGCCATGAGCTGTCCTGAATTCACAGAGGGTGGAGGCTGTGCCCGGGCTGGCCCTGAGTGCACCCTCACTTTGAGGTGTGTATGATCAGGCTGCTGGCAGGGGCACTCAAAAGCTGACAAAGGAGAGAATGGTCTGTCTGAAGGTTCATTAGCCCAGACTCTGCTCAATTCCCAGTGACAGAGCAGCTAAATGTCCCCTCTCCTGGAAGGGAATCTAAATCCAATGCCTAAATGGCAAAAATCCTCGTGTTCATTGAGTGTCCTTTAACTCTTCAGTTCTCATGTCAGCGCTGAGAATTTTATTCTAATATGGACGGATGAATTCAGGACCTGCAAATGATTTTATGGATCTTATTGTTGCCGGTCTTTTATCAAGTAACAGACTTTGATCGACCCCTTAAGAATGAATTGAAACGTAACCTTCATTTCTCTGACCCTTCTCCTCTCTCAGGAAGCCACGATTCAAAGAAATTATAGTTTGCTAAGACTAATTAGTGAGTGAGGCACATAATCCCTCTTTCCTCTGCAAGCTCCCTTCTCTAATGCTGGTTTCCTTAACTGTTGCACTGAAGACTTTGTTATAAGCTCCAAAGCTGAGTTCTCATTAGTAACCTGCAAGAATAGTACAGAAGCCAAGCAACAGTGTCCAAAAAAAATCCCAGAGCTTTAACAAAATGAACCGGAAACGCTGAAACTAAACGATGAGCTAATCCAGCAAACTGCCAGCTGCACGGGGCACTTCTGAAGATCAAACGTAGGAAATTATAGAGTTACTGGCACTTTGCACTGCAACTTCAATAAGAGCTCAAGTTTTAAGGTTATCCATGTTGGCATCTAAGATCATGCATCCTCTTTCTACATCTGACACAGCCACATTTGATGTATAGCAAATTATATCGTTTTATGTCTCTAACTGGGCCAAAAGAAGCTTTTAATAAGCTAGCCTGTATTCTGGCTTTCTAAGAAAGCTACAGAGTGGGATGCAGTGGTTCTCTCCATTTTTGCAGCTCATTTTAGCTGCACATCCCTCACTCTTTCTGCAAGCAAAAATTAGAGCGGCATATTGTACCTCTGATGTCAACTAAGAAGTGAAAACTTCCAGCAAGGTATGAGGCAAAAGTAGCGTAGCTACAGCACACATCCATTTTGCCCATAAAATCAGATATTGCAGGCCAAATTCTCAGCTTGTATAAACTGACAAATTCCCACAGTGACATTGGACCACATTTGAATTAGCAGGCGATGCTTCATCACAGCACAGTAAGTGCTTCGTGAAGGTCAGTCTCCAAAGCACCAGGAGATTGATCCTTGCCATGGATGTGTGACCATGCTCCTAGAGTAGCTCATCCTGTAAGAAGAGTATACACATGCATGCAGCTGAATATTAAGAGCACAAAAATCTATTAAGGCACTGGGTTAGGTGTATTGGAGATGAATTTTTTTGAGAACAAGAGGGTCTGTAAGAGGAACTAGCCCTGCCAAGGTTGTTCTAATACATCAGATGTCTTTGTATTTTCTTGCTTTCTCTATATTTTCCTACAAATGTTGTCAATTTATTGAGTAGAAACTGAGCTTGTTACTCTGCAGTTATTTTACACTGTAAAATTTAATGAGCTATTTAATTTCTAACATTATAAAAAACATTTTGGATTGATAAAACCCATTCTGTTTAAAAATCCTAATTCATCTCCCTCCATCTTCAGCTGCTTGCAACCCTATCTCAGATTTTCATTTTAGGGTTTTCCAACTGTTTTTCAAGCCTGGGTTACCAAAGCCTACAGGATTATTTATTCTCTCATAGTTTTTTTGGTTTCTTTGGTTTTATATTCAAGAGCATCAGAAAGCAGTGAGTACCTGTAATGACACACTCCACTATTGTTGGCATGTGTGCTCAGCTATTAGTGATGGGATTGCACAATCTAAAATAAACAGAAGTGCTCAAGTACAGCTTTATTTTCAATAAAGATTTTGAACTTCAGTGGCTGCACTGTCATCAGGTACCATGACCTGGTTTAGCGCCCAGGCTTTAACTCCTGAACTCCTTGGACAATGTCAAATAGAACTGTGAGTTCTGTCAATGAACCATCACATAATCCTGGCCAAGGCTCCTCTGGCCAGCTGTGAGGGATGTTTACAATCCACAGCACCAGCAAAATCAACTTCCCTGACTCTGTATCTAAAAAACAGAAAGAGAAATATTTAGGACACCTGCTTTTGAAGAGCTTTGAAAACATAAGCGATAAACAGAATTTTTCTTATAGTTCAGGAGACAGACCTAAAAGTGCTTTGACCTTTCTCTCCCGCTTTAAATATCTTTTATTTGCATTTTAACCCCATTTGACTGTGCATACAGGTTAACTCCAGATTCCCTGAAGTGCTCTCACACAGCCTGCTGCCATGCCAGCGTGTCTTGTATATTCTAAATCTAAGAAGATACAGCCAAAAGTCTGAGCCCTGACTTGCTCTGTGCAGGGAATCAGATGTCAGTATCAAAGAAAACACTTGGAAAAAAACAAACGAGTCCTTACGCCCAAATCACAGCTTTGTGCTATTTTGATCCCGGTTTCTGTGTGCCTCCTACAATCAGTTTCAAGTCAACCTTCTCTTAATACTGCCAGAGAAAATGCCAAATTCACGAGTAACCTCTGATCTTTAGATGCTGAGCAGGAGCACTGTAATCCTAAGGTTTTATGAAATGACTTAATCTCAGTATTTACTACATTTCAAAAGAAGTGTTTGAAGAGCCGCGGAAAGAAGAAAGTGGAGGACGAGATATCTTTTTATTATGACACAGAACACTTCAGAACTGTTTTGCCTGGGTCGTGCTATCTCTAACTCCAGCACAAGCCTTGTTTAAAATACCTCTGGCAACAGCTTTCCAATTACTACTTCCCAAAAAGCTGCACTTTAATGGAGGGGGATGACTTTGTTTAGCCTTCTCCCTGGCTAGTTCAAAGGGGAGTTATCTGAACCAGCAGACCAAACCCTGCTGTGAGTGTTCATGCTTCCCACCAAGTAACACTGTGTGGTACCCAGTGCACAGACATGCATATGTAAGGGTAGGGTATGCATAGGATTACATCCCAAAACTTTTTTAATGAAGGAAAATCGGAAAAAAACCCAAGAAAAAATATTGGTGTAGAATCTTGCATAAATACGGGTCATAAAGAGCTGTTACTATTAAACTTTTAAAACATATATGTCACCTACTTTGTTACTTACTTGAAATATAAATTTTAATTTCCCAGATGCACATAGGGTAGGTTTGGAAATAGGTTTTGTGGAAGTCAATTGCTAGAGAGCAGCTTTTCAACATCTGCCTTTATTGTTGCTACTTGAGCAAACAGCAATTTACTGTTTCCTGAGAGTGACAGTTTCCTTCTGATATTTGAAGTCTCTGTGCTTGCCTGGACAATTCAACTTGACAATACAGTCCTTGTGCTCTAGGTCTATAAGCAGGTTATATCTATAAAGCCTTGTACATACAATTTTGGAAGGCAGGTTTGAAAACGTGCCATCAAAATCTCAGATAATTATTTCATTTCTGTCTGTGTAATCATCTCTCTGAAGTGACTTGTGCCCTTTTAGAAATATTTGATGCTTGAAATGAAACTTCGGGTAACCACAGCTGTGAGAAAATCTGCCTCAGAGGAAAGAGGGAAAATTAGGGGCAGTGGGGTACTGGGGAGGAAGAGGAGGCAGGAGAAAGCAACTCAACCAGAGAAGTCTGTATACAACCTTCTCCTTGTGTTGTCCATAATGCTGCCAAACTGGGGCAGGAATGGGGAGAGGTTGTTTTGTTTGCTTTAAATGTATAACCTGCAGGTTTGTGCATGACAGCAGGGTAGGAATGAAAAATAAATAACACCTCCAAATGTCTGTATGTCTTTTCACCTTTAGTGCACCTAGAGATTGGGTTTTTTTTAATTTCACTTTTGATTTAATGGATCAGCAAGCAAAAAAACCCCACCCAACAACAAAACACCAAACAAAAAAAAATTAGTTAAAAGCTGAACAAAAGGGTAGAAAAGCAGTGAATTCTCAGGTGTGCTTGTCCCAGAAGATTTGGTGCTTTCACTCACCAGACTCCCGGGTTCGACCCCTCACGACTTCGCTCCACGGCCCTGCCCCGATGGCGTTGAAGGCCTGGATCTGCAGCTCGTACTCTGTCCACTCCTCCAGGTCTTCAACCGTGTACTCCCTCTCCAGTCTGTCATTAATGACCTTCATCAGGACAGGGGACTGCAGGTCCACACGCCAGAACTTGATCCTGTACCCCACCGACTCCGGGTTGCCGTTGTACTGCGTGTCAGGCAGGGGCTGGAAACGACAGAGAGAAACACAGGATTCCTATCAGAGCACGTTGCCAGGGCTTTCCAAACTATATTCCAAGGCTGCCCAGACTCATGTAAGGCCATAGGAAGGCAAAAAAGATCAAGAGGTTGATTTTCTGTTTTATGTTTCATGATCTCTACGTTTCTGTGCTGCTTGAAATTTTCTTTTAATTTTTACCTTAATTTTGAGCCAAATAGATATGCTCACAAAACCAAGCCATTTGCTGTGGGTGTATCAACAGAGATGATACGAATATAATATATTTCAGAGCTTTGTGATTAATTATGGAAATGAATGATAAATTGCTGAAGCATGTGACAAATTCATTTATCGTACTTTATTTCTTTTTTTTTTCTTTTTTTACTGACTCTCTGCCTACTCATTTATCAGCAGAGATTCATTCTAGTATTCTAACTCCCCAAGCAATTTCAGAGATTAAAATATGAAATAATTAGCCTACTTCACGAAGTTTAGAATTTTTCTGCTGTAAAACTAACTACATGATGCCACGGATGGCTGAGATTCAGTTCTGATTCACTGGGAAAGCTGGATACACATTAACATTTCACAGCTTAAAAGACTGTACCCTGCAGGCAAGCAGGGCTAGAAACGTGACCCTTATTCTGTAGGAAGGGAGGAATTCCCAGCTCCCAGGGGGACACAAATTCACCTGCAGGTCTTGAAATAAAAGAGATTAAACACTTTCAAATATTGATGTTATTAAGCATGGAAATGGTTTATCGGGTCATTTTTAACCGTGGTTGTTGTTCCTCCTGAACCCTGCACAGTTTGACTAAAGAAAAACAGCCTTCCAGGTAGCACAATCTTAATGCTTTAAAGTCTCTTTTAAATGTTTTAAAGTCAAGGTTGTCTCTTAAAACAACCTTGAGTTAATTTTGATGGGAGATATGTAGGTCTGGATACAGTACCAGAGGTGTAACAATGTGGGCATGTTATTCACAAAGAAAAGCCACCAGAGAGTTACATGTGTCCTATCAAAGGAACTGCAATGGCTCTTCTATGGATGGTGAGGTGACACCTTCAAGTCTGATATTTTGGTCTTGCAAGGTTCAGAATTAAGTGCAGTGTCCTGCTGAGAAACTGGAATTATTCCTTTCTGAGCAGGAGAAAAGCCCTCTTGCTTCCAGCCTGATTTTGACTTCCAGCCATAATGAGTTTATGCATGGAAAAGCTAACATTTGGGCAAAAGGAAACCTGTGCTTCATCAACTTCACACCACAGTAACCCCAGTGGAAAATTCTGCCTAACAGAGGTGAAGAAAAACCATTCTGGAGCAGGTTAATTGCCAAGTAAATCCCAACGTGGCAGCTCTGCAGGTAACTGAGACAGCCAAAGGGGTAAAAGGATGTCAGCAATCACAGCATCTTCTCCATTAATCATTCATTTCTGCATTTTATCACACAATTCCCCACCCTTTCAAACAAATACAATCTTCCTACAGGGGTGTAATGTGCCAGCTTTGCTGCTGTTGGACCCCCAGCTCTCAGCACCACAGGATGGCTGCCAACGGCCAGGATGCACCTTCTGGGGACCGTTTTGTACAGAGCAAACAACCGAGCCCTGGAAAGCTGCAAATTGGCTCAAGTGTTACATTCCTGCCCCATGTGTTGACCCAGAGGGTGGTACTGGAGAGCCTCAAAGCAGAGGTTTCAGACACAGGCGCCTATTCCCCTGATGAGGTGGCAGAAATAGCAGCAGTAGGCAATTTATTTGATTAATAAGGCACTTAAGGTAAGTCTCAGATTTCCGACTATTCAGAGAAAGGAAATAATTTCGCTGTTACTCCTTGTGCTGGATGCAAGCAGGAGGCACTCTGGAGTGCTGGCCTGACCCCGGGGGGAAGCAGCCGCATCCCAAGCCCCGGTACCCGGCTCCCTTCCATCCCTGTCCCCCCGTGCTGCTCACCACCCATCGCAGCCACAGGCTGGTCTCGCTGGCCGTGCGCACGGTGACGCTCCCAGGGGACACGTCTGGAGGGGCCTGTAGCGTCTGGATGACCCTGGAGGGCTGGCTCAGGGGGCTGGGACCCACCACGTTCACCTGCCTCATCCGGAACCTGGAGCGGGAGCAGAGACGCAGCGTGTGCTGTTAAGACCTCAGCCAAACCATTTCCCATTTCCAGAACGGGGGAAAAGATGGGAGAATACAAATTAGGGCTCTCTAAAAATGTTCCACAAAGGTCGTTGCACGCAGGTCCCCTTTGTATTCGCTGCTGAAAGCTTTATGGTAACTGCTCTCAGATCCTCTCAGGTATTTAAAAAATGAAAATGAGATTAGCTTAGGGTCTATTAGAAACTTAGGTATTTGTGTGAGAAATTTATGTTAATTATACCAGGCCTGATGAGCTTATGCTGGCAGTAAGTGATTTTCTCTTGCGATGCTTATACAATACATTCAGAAAGGTATTAAAATATCAAACTTTGGATAGTCTCATTCCCTGTCAATATAAAGAATATTCTAGTGATAACATTTCCCCTCAATTACTCATTGAAAGAGGCTGATTTATCCCCGTGCTGCATATTCAGCCTTCCTGCACAAGAAAGATTAAGTTATTTAATATGGATATGCATCTTTAAAAAATACCCTGTCTGCTTGAAACCGTCTCTCCCACAATAGAAATCCCCTATTGGGTCACAAAAGATTTAGGGAAATCTCTTTTACAGGCAGCACCAAGTAATTAAGATGTGCTGTACATTTCAGATACTCTCACCAGTCATAAGCAATTGGAAGTACCCAGCACTTGCACATAAACTTGACCTGTTCATACACACTAAACACTTAATTTTTAGACCTAACAACTGAGCTTGGGAAAAGGATGAGCTAGTTAACACAGCAGTGTTTATTTACCTGCTCTGATCTCCCTGCGAATTGCACTAAAGGAAACATATTAAACAAATACTGTCCTGATTTCATAATCAAGCATTAGCCCAAAATAAAGAAAAGAAGATGGCCTGTAAAGATGGGTCTGATAATCAGCTCTCACGGTGTCTTTCCTCAGTGGGCAATGACTAAAGCTGACCAGGGGACAACAAATCCATTTGGCAACAATTTTCTAGGTTTCAAAAATCTGTATAAAATTGCTGAACACTGAAGCAAACCCAAAAAAGCTCCTATCTGCACCTGCATGAGAGGAAAAAAACCAGGCAAAATTCAAGGAGCTGCTTTACAATGAAAAAACTGAAATACAATTCTCCTCTCAGAGAAGAACTGGATGTGTGAAAGATCTCAGCATAATTTGTATCCCTCCAGAATTTAATGAATGCAAGAGAGAAACGAGATACAGGAATAAGATTAAACTGAAAATTTTAAAAACAGAAAAAAACTAATTCCCCCAAATCTCTCATATATTTCCTCATTACTTTCTATCCCAAAGACATTTCTCCATACACCTGGCTGGGTGTGCAAGTCTTCCTTACTCTTCATGGACAGTGAACCTTGAACTCTGGTACAACCTGCACTTTACTGCTTTCAGCCTTAAGGATCCACCTTTATGAGGACAGCAAAATCCTCTTAACCTGAAGATAAATTTTCCTAAACCTCTGCACCAGAAATTTCTGGTCAAGTTCAAAAAGATTTTCAAAGAGCTCTTAGTGAAACATTTAGCTCTGGAAGATGAGGTTTAAAACACTTCAGTGGAGAGTTAGTGAGAAATTCAGTCTGTTCTTACGTTTGTGACCAAGAGAGGAAAATTAGCCAGCACTGGATCAGCTGTAAATTATATGAGCTCTACTTGGTTGCACCTACTACCAGCTTACAACAGCACATGGGTTAGTTAATAGGCCCTTCAACCAGCACAAAATGGACAAGTTTCTAGTAAGCTGATTTAACATTTGCCACTAGATCTCCTTGCAACCAGCCTTTACATTAGCAAGCTGGTTCATGGCAGTATTTTTCATTAGGACTGAGTACCTCAAATTCTCCAGTCTTGTCTATAGCACAGCAATGCATGGCTTGGATTGAATTGATTTAAAAATCAATCTTGTTTAACTGGGGTGCACCCATAATGCAGATCCACTTCAATCACTTTAAGCATTGCGTATATCTATTAAGCTTAACTTGGTAAATTCTTATAAACAAAGGTTTCATCTAACTGATGTTACCAAATTAGGTTAAATCAATAAAATGATGTTTAAACTGATGTAAATATGTAATTACAGGTTTGCACCAGCTTAACTACAATTGATTTGTCACTGGCTGATGTTACACTGGTGTTCCCTTCAGAGGAAGGAAGTCACAGGACAGCAGTTACTCCTAAAAACATTTCACTGTGCACTTGAATTTCCTTTTTAATGTTATGAACTGCACTGTATGCAAATTACAATTAACAACATCAGATTAGCAATTTTAAGTATTAACTATGAAAACAGCAAACCTTTTCCCTTTTGTTCAGATTATAAAACCCAGCCAGCTGTTTCTGATTAGGAAAGCTGTTCCATGCTGCTATTTATTCACCTTTTTTTTTTATGTTGCAGCTAATTACCTGCTGTTCTTACCTGTAATGAGTGTAAGGAGTAAGGTTTGGTACCTCCAGCATCTGAGCATCAGGTTCATTCTCCACCTCATGAAGACTCACCCATTCTTCCTCATCACCCAGCACACCAACCTGTACAAGGGAAAGGTAAGAAGGAATACAAATCAGACTATACATATATATAAAAATAAATATGTATACCCTCTTTTACAATGTGTGTCATCACAGCAGTGGAAGCACAAATGCTGTTAAACACATACTATCCAGTTAATACTAATTTCTTATATGACAAGGCACTAGTTATTTGTAAAGAGAAAACACAGCCAAGTCAGCCAAGTTTCCTTGTACCTGTTGGGACTTTACTGGGTCCTGTGATAAGATCTATTCCAGAAAAACACCATGAGAGTGGTAATACCCTGTTCAATTTTGCTGCCACAATACGAAAGTATCAAGTAGTAATATAAGAAAATGAAAAATAGCCTTGATAATAACTCGCAGGAACTGATGCATACTAAATAAGTCTCAATGGAGGCAAAATGCCACGGAAATGAAGACAGAGAAACAAGAACAAAGTCAAAGAATAAAAGTGTTTTAACCTCATCTGCTGCTCTGCACTTAGACCAGACTTTTCCACGTGCAATCCTTTGTATTAATTAATCACAACATGTTGCCCAACATGGTCCCTCAGCTCCAGCAGTGTTAGAAGGGACTAAATGGTGATGAGAATTGAGCATTGCTTTCCATGCAGCTTCCTGGAGATTAAATGAAGATGAATCAGGGCTTAAAAGGAAGCCAATAAAGTATGAATGAAAGGCCAGAGCCTGACCTGGGACTCTGGAATGTGGCAGCATCCGCGGGCAGGGTCATGGATGAGACACAGGAGGAGCACGGAGAATGGGAGAAGATTGCTGGGCTTCACTGTGGAGATTCCCAGGGCAGCTCAGGCAAGGCTCCCTGCTATAATTCCCTAGCATTGTGCACAGTTACTCTGGTGTTTCAACCCTGCCACAAAGGGCAGTACCTGTGCCCAATTCCCTCGTCCTGGTATCCACAGCCACGGGCTGAAGGATATGAGAGGATACATGGGCAGTTATTCCCTTCAGTGTCTATTTACAGACCCGATATCCATGAAGATGCCCTATCTTTTTTCAACCTGCTGACATTATCTACTCCCACAGACTGCTGTGGCAACAAATTCCAGAAGCTCTCAACCCACTGTGTAAAGAGCTATTTCCTTTAATCTTTTTTAAACAGATCCCTTACGAGTTCTGTATACAAGTTACAGCCACAGACACTGTCAAAGCACTTGATAGGCACCATAGCCTAAAGTATCTCATATACCCCAAGTACATCAAATAGAAAATTAGGTTTCATTCACTCATTTTTTTTCCCCTTCAGGAGAAGCAGCCTGATTTATTTATAGATGTTTTAGTTCTTCGCTCACCCAGGACTTGGTGTGCTGCATATTTATGTTTGTGCATGAAGAAAGGACACAAAGAAAATTAGGCCAAAGTAATAAGTTCTGCATTGCACTGTGGAAAGAAGCCTCTGTGATCTTTCCAGCAGAGCACTGCTTTCATGGAAGGATGTGGCTGAACAGGTCTGGATGGGCCTTTCAGTCTTGTTGGTGATCAAGGTCACTGCCACATAGCAAACAACATATAAAATAGATGGTAGTGAAGATTATGGACCTCTTAAAATTCCCAGTCCTAACCAAGCTCCATAAATTGTACTAAAGCTCATGGATGCAGAAGCTTGAGGGAAACAAGTTGAGACAGGTCTGAATGGTAAAACAGAACATCCCTAAACTGAGGCCAGAGAAGAAAGAGATGATAAAGAGAACTAAAAAAACCCCAAGAACCTACACGAACAAAGAAAGGATAAGAGGGTTCATTTCAGTCAAAGAAACAGAGAACGCTTCTTATTAAATGAGTTTTCTATTAATACTGTAGAAAGTCTACAGTAAATGCTTACTTTTGCAAATCTTCCACTTAACAGCATCACCTCCAAGGGCTGCAGTAATTATGTAGCAACAATCCACAGCACTCTGGAGGCTGCAAATAATCTCCAGTGGTGACTAAGTCGCCTTTTTATATTCTAAGAGCAGTAAGAGCTTTTCCAAATATTTCTTACATAAAAGAAAAAAAAAGGGGGAGGCAAAAACCCCAAAAAGGCACCCAGGTTGCAGTTGCTGTGCAGCAGCAGGCAGGTCATTAATACACATTAAGGACCACAGGGCTGTGAACACCAGACATGGACTCGAGCGTGAGACAAGTCCAAACCCCCGCCTGGTTTGCAGAGAGACATTTACAAGTGGGTTGGAAAGGTGGAAATATTGAGGATCTTGTGCTGTTTGAGAAGCAGGACTCTGGCAAGCACCTCAGAAGCCACCCAGGAGGCAGATTTCTGGGATGATGGGTGCAGTCTATGAGGAAACGGCAGTTTCCAGCCAAGCCCAGAAGGTTGGTTGTTCCCAAGCTCAGGAGCCAGCTGGTAACAGTTGGTTGATACCTGTTCTGGGATGTGGGGGACTGTGGGCAAAGTGGCAGCACAGACAGTTCCAAATTAACCACTTTTAGACTAATTTTTAAATTACCGGCAGAGAGGCAGCAAACAAAAACCAACCACAGGCATATTTCTGTGATTTAGGAAAAGATTTTAAGAAAAATACATCAGGAACTTGCTTTAGTTAGAATAATACCTCGTAACGTTCCCTGGATCTGTCGCCAGCATTTGGGAAATTAACTTCTATTGAAATCAGTAGCATATTTTATATTTTTTGTAGGGAGTTTTTTCAAAGCAAGAGGATTGAATGGTTAATAGCTGTAGGGCAGCTTGGTGAACAGCCTGGGGACTTCTGCATGACCTCTCACTTGTGTGGCCAAGCAATTCTAGGTCTGTGTTACTCAAAAGAAGTTTCACTTATTTATTTTATATATAATATATATATGTGTGTGTGTATATATATATATATATTCTCAAGTGAATGTTGGAAGAAAACCTTCAGTGATGGGCTTCTGTGTTTTTAACTTCCCCGAGATCTATAGCAGATTCCAAGTTTCAGGCTCTGGAAGGAAAAGGAAATTATTTTTTGCTGAAACACTCTGATGTCAGATCAGAGGAAACGTATCAGTTTCAAGAATCCGAGTACAAAGGGATTCCCACGGGGCAAAAAGAACCACGGGCAGTGGTAGGGATAAAAGAGTCCTTTGAGGGGCAAGAGAGCCCACTCTGAGCAGCTCTGCATAAAATCAAGTGAAGTTAAAGGCTTCTTTCTTGTAGCTGTTTTTTTTGGATAACAGTGTGTGCAAACTTCAGAGAAGGATCGTGTTTGTTGACAGACACACACGTATTCGTGGGTGCATTGTTTTGGGAGGCAGATGAGACACCGACTGCTTTTCTGTTACCACCAGCATAAAAACTCCTCAAGGAATGCACTCTGCATCTTCCCAATTCTCTGTGGAACAGGGCCACAATCCCCAGGGACCCCAGGACTGCCACAACAAAAACACCCATGTCCCCCTGAGACACTTCATATAACGCTCCATAACAATCAGCCATCACTAGTTAGCACATATTCATTCCCATCTCTCAGCTGCTCCCAAGGCATTACACTCAATAAAACGGCATATTCCTTTATTATTGCAGAAATGAGACAGTATAAAACAATATTGGAAGTGATGTCGGAACCTTTTACTTCTCTGTGCATTAGTTTCTCCTTTTCTTAAAAGGAAAATGTTACATATTTTACAAAATGACTTGACATTTTCTGATGGAATGCACTGTATGAGAAAATTTGCAGAATTCTGACTTAAAAAACCTCCAAAAATAAATAAAATTCGGAACAAAAAAATCACTTGTACAAGACAGCACTGCTGCCGAAATTTTGAACAGTTACGAAGCACTAACTGTAGGAAAGGATAACACAATGTTTCTGTACATTATAGAGGTACCCTGTGTTCTACTATAGTTCAAGATGTGTCAGAGTTTTCATTTAAGAGGTCCATAACTCACACATTTGAAATCGCTTTGGGAGAAATTCGGTTCACGGGATGTCAGCCCGGGTGCAATTTTTTTTCCTCACTAAATCCCTAAATCGATTCAGCCACTTTTGATTTAAAGATTGTCAAAAGGCATAAAATTGTCAGAGTTTCAGACACTTTATTTACCAGCCCCAAAGTGAAAACGACACCAGGAGAATCACCTGGCACAATGGATGAATCCTATCTGGGTCACTGACTTAACCCACGGAACCAGATAAACTCACGGGTAAAGTTGCAACACCTTTCCCAACTCACAGCTTTAGAAGGGAATACAGTGATAATTCTTTAAAGGTTTTACCACTTTGAAACTCTGCTACTGCTCACCATGACATTCACACAAAATCTCTCTAAAAACAGCAGAAAGGCTTTAAGCAAAAACTCTCTATAATAGCCCATATACTCGTGGCTCCAGGAAATGTAATACCTCTTCAGAAATGGCTTTCAGCTGTTCCACAGGTCTTCTGCTGCCTGCAAATGACATTAATCACCAGAAAAATGCACCAAACTGGGCAGAAGTTATCCCAGCTTTTCTAATCAGCCACTGGAAAGCTCAATGGTATGGATTGAGCACCCACCAAGGCACAGTCATGATGGGTTGAAATTGGATGTATCATCAAGGTTCCTTCCAACCCAAACCATTCTATGATTCATTTATGTACTTCTCCTGACAAAACCCCAGGAACAATCCAACACAAGAAAAATAAGCTGAAATTGGATTGCAAACATGAAACTACATGAGCACCAGCAGGGATTCATGGTCATTCTTGGCTGAAAATTGCCAGAAAAAATGTCTGCAATATATTTCCTGACTGCATCTGAGAGTACAGGATGGCTGGAAGGATTTACTGAAATTCCTTGTGCAGGAACAAGTTACCTGTGAGTGTCAGTGCCACAAGGCAGCTACTGCTGGTCCCTCTGAACAAGTGTCAGCAGAACCTTTATATTACATTTGACCCTCTTCTCTTTAGATTCTACTCTATGTGATGGGAAAAAAAAAGTTAGAAGTATTTTTTAAATAACATCAGTACATCCAGTTTCTCCAGTCCTGAGTCTAGAAAAGAAACAACCTAGTGATAATTTTAAGAAATCCCTTCAAAAGCACAGAATGCAGCTTCAGCTTCACTAGAAACACAGAAATGGGATTTGTAACACTTGATATTTCAGTATCTACCAACACTAAACTCTTAACGACTTGATCTCCTCTCATGTTCATTGACATAATTGAGAATTAGTTCCACAGCGGCTCCCGTGAATTTACACCCCGGCACAAAAAGCAGAAACCAAGGCCAGATGCCCAAAATGTCACGTCAACTGGAATTCCCAGCTGTGTTTTTCATCCAAATTGTTTCATGAAGTATCAGACTTCAAAAATGGCTCTTAGCCAAACTGGAGTACTTGGAACATTTTCTAGACCTGCCCTCACCAAGGAAGCTTTCTGCCAAATCAAGGAACAAAGAAGAAAACCACGTTGGTGGCAGGTTGTTTGTGTGTGTGAATACAAAACAGCTGAATTTTGTCTGTGAGGACTCAGACTTTCAGAGTGAAAGGTATATTCCCAGTAGAGATGGAAGAGAAGAGTCAGAAAATAAGGGATGTCCAATGCAAAGCTATTGCCCAGCTTACAGAGGGGGACAGAAGGGAAGTGCACAACGTACAGATTAGTGTTTTATAATTAAATGTGATCCTATCACTTGGCAATACCATCTGTTTTAAAATCATAGTATGCAAAACCACCCCTTAAGTGGCTTTTAATTTAATGCTAAGGCATGAAACACTTAACACTGCTATTAAAAGCTGTAAATGGGTCAGTGAATGAAAGATCCAGAAGGACAAAAATCCTCCCTACAGTTCTATTCAGGAAATACTGTTGTAGGTGGGGTATAACCACTGCCCTTCAATCTTTAACACAGTCCTAAGGAACGATTATGGTTGTCTATGCTAAAATACAGATGTTGCAACAGCTGTCTGCACCCCAGCACAGACATATCCCAGCTTAGAACAGACTCCATGAAAGGCAGAAATGAGGACTGGGGTGTCACTGGCAGCTCTTTTGCAAAAGCTCACGTCTCTGTGAAAGGTGGGCAGGGAAATCTGTGAGGTCCACAGGGCACGTCCAAGGCAGCTTAAATCCAAGTGAGGATGGAGGCATTTCTGCCCTCATCTCTGCTCCCAGTGTCATGGTCTCACCCCCTCCCCTTACAGTGATGCTCCTCTGATCACACACAGCCCGTGCAGAGAGTTGATCTGTCTGAAACTCCTTTGTTCTGGGCTGGATCAAGGCTCGCAGCCGCTCTGTGTATGATCCTGCCCGAGTCAGGGCAGGCAGGAGGCAGGAGGAGGAAAGTCTTGGTAAGTGGGATGGGGATGGGCAGAGGAAACGAGAGCAGGACAAGAGTTCTGGTTTAGATCGGCTAAAGGTGCTGTGAAATTGCACTTCAGGAGAGAAAGAGTTTGAGAGGAGTGCTGGCAGAAAGGGGCTGTGAACAAAGGATTATACGCAGCTGTCATCCTGGAAACAGGATTTGCTGTATCCTTAAGGAGTCACCAATTTCTCTGCATACCTGAAAAGACTTTTGTTAATCAGGTGAGAAAAAATTTTTCTTTTTTTATTAAATCCACTAGGAACCACAGTTGTTGTGCCCAAGCTGAACAGGGAGGTGCGGTGTGCTGAAAAGGACTGCCCAGGCTCTACAAGGAGTTTGGGGTGCTCCTTCCCCAAATGGAGCAAATAATTCCAGGATCTATCAGAACCACGAACCCCTTGACTTTAGCAGCAGTGCATAAGATATTGATGAGGGTTTGTGAACAAGAAAGACCCTCCCTTCCCTCCTTGCACCACCAAGGACCATTCCAACCACTGTTGATACCCAGGGCTCTTCAAGGATGCAGATGAACTTCACGGTAATTATTACTGCAGTTTTAAAGCATTCCAATTTATTTTACTTCAGTGGCATTTTGCAACTCACTGAATTAGCAAATTCCCAGCAATATCTATGTGGTGTTTCAGCAGGAAAATGCTTCTCAGAATCTGCTAAGACACCATATTATTGGATTTCAGTGTTTAATTCTGTAATATGCAATAATGTGTATATAAATGGCACAAAATGTACCAACTTGTTCACAACAATCTCATTACCAAGTGAAGTGATTGTATCAACATGTCTAAGTGGTGATGGTGATTTAAGAAGTCCAACATTTGGTCTTAAAAACAGATTATATTATTTATAAAGATCTGTGGGTGGAAAGGAAGAAGCAAAGCTCATCTGTCAGGAGAACAAATGAGGAATATATAACTCCTCCAAGGCAGAAAGACAGCAGAAAGAGGGATATTGTTTAAAGCTGATGAAGATGAGAATTCATCCTATTCATATCTAGAGGCCTGAATAGAAAACCTTGGTATATTCCATTACAAGATAGAAAAATACACTCAATCTCACGAATAATGGTATCTTTACTGTTCAGTGCAATTTCTTCTATACTTCTGAATCTATGAGATGATAATTCCAGGTTTGCATGTGATTTGAAAAGACACCTCACAGAACCTAAACACAGGTTTCAAATCCTTTTTAAAAATAAATGGATGGACTAAAGCTCTGGTGTGTGTGTTGCTTATGATGTGTCTGGCGTTCTTCTGAAAATAAACAAACCGGCTTTACAAAAATCCATGTGATTTATTTAAAGGATAAGCATTCTCACATATATATATATATATATATTATAAATCACATTTTCCTTTTATTCCTTTGAACAGAATTCACAGTATTCATAGGGTCTTTTTTTCCCTGGCTGACACACAAATATTTCCCAGCTGAGCCCCTCAAGCTCCCTTGCATCCCAACCTTGCCAGGACCCCATGAACAGCTACCACCAGGCCATTTACAGAGGAGACGTGATCCAAAGTTAAACAAAAAGTAATCCAAACAGCAATTCACTATTTGGACCCTTTTAACCCCTCAGAGACTTCATTAAGAGATATTTGTCAGGGACATACCTGGCCTTCCACTATCCACTTGGAGATGGAGGTTTTGCCATCGTATCCTGGACGGAATTGAAGTGTGGCAGAGCGAGGGCTGATGTTGGAAATCACCAGGTTGGATGGAGCACCTGGAAGTTCTGGAGAAACAGAAATGTAAATGAGAGGTGGAAAGACTCTTCGTCTAGGGCCCTGTATCACAAGCTGAAATTCAGTGTTTCAACATATAAAATACCTTGGTAACAACTATAATAATTTTAAAATTCCTCTAGCAAACAAAGAGGGTGACCATCCTACAAGGGAAAATCTGTAGCCCAAATCAAATCTTCGCCTCACATCAGTCAAACTTACAGTGGCATTTACATTTTTTGTATCATCTGAACTAACAACAAAAGCAAGTCCAGGAAAAAGATATTTATAAATATAGATTGTTTAGAATAAATTCTCAGTAGTACCTGCATTTTTAAGAAATGGAAATAACTATTATAATCAGGAATTACCTAGTGGAAGGTGTCCCTGCCCATTACAGGGGCTTGAAACCAGATGATCTTTAAGGTCACTTCCAACCCAAACCATTCTGTGATTCTGTGATAATGTTGCACTCTGTGCAAGTGCGACAGGTTGAAAATGGGCAGGTTTTTGGCGTGTATTTCAAGTATGCAGGAATATACAATATTTCTTGATTCTTACTTCACATTTGTGGGAACCATGATCGATAAACTAACCCTGCCCAAGTAGAATATTGCTGTTATCTGGCTAACAACAGGGAGCATAGCATTGATCCAGTCTACAGATTGTCACAATTACCTATGATTGGGGAAAAGAAAGGCAAACATACTTGAGGACATATAGAAAAGTTCAAAAGTACTGCAGAAAGGAAAAACTGGATTATTCTCAGCGACATACAGTAACTGCTCCACTTTGGAAAATTCTGCTTCTATAACCTATATATTAACTGAAACTGCTTGTCTGAGGTATGAATTGGCTATTCAGTTTGCTTTTTATACTGGATGAGGGAAAGTGTAGAATTTTTAAAACAAAATGCAAAATGGGTAAATGAACAGGTGCCCAAATGGTAACTCAATGTGGGACAAAAAAAACCTCTTCCCAAATCTTTCTCAGGCCACAACTTCAAAATCTTGTAAATAAGATTTTAGTTTCACTATCCAAGTGACCTCTCACGGTTGAAATAACCTATACTACTCTTACAAGGAAAAACCTTTCCCTTTTAACATCCAAACCGTATCTTCCCCCCAAAGAAACACTTTTTGAATATATTCAGGCTTAGTTCGTATGTTACTTTGTAAATGTCAAGGGATTCTGTGTTGCACCACTTTATTACTTTGTCCATTCCATTGTCATACTTACAACTTTTTTTGTATTTTTTGTATTTACAACTGTAAACAGCCTCAACTTTCCGGAATTTTCAAACTGCGAGTGTGTCCGTGCTCACATTTCAATCTGTCCCACAGATTAAATTCAAATTACATGGTCAAGAATTTCAACGCTTCACAAATAAAACCGTTTTTATTACTTCTGAAGTAAACCCGCGACAGGAACAATGAAACACGAGGTATTGGCACCTTTTCTTTTGTTTCATGGAGTTTTACCAACCTGGGGGCACACCAGAGGAGATGGTGGAGGATGTGACCCATCCGCTCCCTTTCGCGGTCACAGCTGCCACCTCGATGGTGTAGGTGGTGAGGGACGAGAGCCCCGTGATCTTGTACTCCAGGGTTGTGTTGGACAGTGTGCGGGCAAGGCGAGACTCGTTCCTGCCATACACCTCCCAGGAGATCTGGTACCCTGAGGAACAACCACACACAAGTCAGGGGGCCGTAGTTTTCCTTCCACAGCCCAGTTACACCACAGCCCACAGACTGGTAGATTCCTGTGTCAGCACGATTTGCCTGTGGTACATGGTGGATCATTGTTCCTTACTCTACTCCACTGTGGTCACCTTTTATAAGCAGAAAAAAAACCCTTGAGGTAAATGTAAACTAAAGTAATGTAAACTAAATGTAAACTAAACTGGCTAAAATACCCAAATATTTTTCTGATGTTGTTATTCCCAATACACAATTGATGTAGGTACCCTATGGGGCATCATCTGCCTATCAGATTACAGATGAGGGAGGACATGAGGTCTCAACAGACTGTCTCTTTTTGCTGTGACAATACAGTGTTTGCTAAGAAATGCCTTGAAAACCTGGGGATAATCTCACAGGACTTTCACTCTGTGAACTCTGTGAAGCAAACAGGAAGAAACAAGGACTTTGGAAAATATAATATCTGCTCACCAGCTGGAATATCTAATTAAAAATCTATATGTGCTTAGCAGGGCTACTCCCTTTCCAGGCTGAAGTAACCTTCACTGCTGTATATCTAGAAATACTTAGAAATCTAACAATAACAATCAGGCAGGAACATTGTGGGAATCTTCCAGGAACTGAAAAACTCCCCACCGCTTGTTCCTCGCACAAATCCTTCAGCAGGGTGAATCATTATCCTTTCTTTCAAAACCATCATGGAGCCAATGCATTGTCCAAAGCTGCACTTGCCCTGACCTCCATACTATTCTTCTATCATAACCAGGCTTCCTTTTTATCACTTTGATAACCACTTGCCTTCCAAGAACTTTTGAAACTTTCTACTGTCTGATTTGCTCAATTTTACCTCCAAATCTGCTTGTCCTCCTCCTGCCCAGTCCTACTTTATTCTCGTTTGAACCTATGTGAACCTTGCTGTGCCAGTCTCCAGAGAGCGTGTCTGAAAAGTTTGCTTGATTGCAGCTTTCTTTGTGATTTGACTCAGAGGGTGAAAAAAAAAATACACATAGCTCTTGAATGCCTGTGAAATTGGAGTGAGTGAAAAGGACTAACAGAAAGGAATCCCACTGTGTGAACCATGCACGAGGCAAACTGGCTAGAGAAACTCCCTACTGGGTTCATGTTCCCATCATCTAAGATGAGGAATTCAGACCAGCTGAGAGGCTTGAGGCTTTTTTTCCCCCAATTTTTTTTTTAAATAAAAAATCACGATAAGCTGATTAACATATATGAATTGACGTAGTAAAATCCCTTATGGTATTAATCAACAAGAAAACATCATCTCATGAGCTAAAAGCATGGTGAGATAAATAATTCTGTGAGAGTTTGAGAGGTGTGAGATGTTCTCTGTCCTCTCTGTGAGCTGCCATTACTGACGGAGATTCATCTTAACCTGATTTTGCATGAAAATGGGCTCGGAGTGCTCACATAGTCACTAATTAACTTTTCAGGTGAGAGGGCAGTGATAAAGAGAGGTGATGCTTCAACAATTCCAGCTACACCACAAAGGCTTCTTTGACTCTGAACTACAGATGGGAAGGGGAGAAACTCCTGAACGCTCATCTGGAACTGGTTTAAACAAGCGTCTGAGTGGGAATTAATTAACTCAGTAAATTAGCAATGTCTTGGAAACACTGTTGTGTTCTGCTGCCTTCTGAAAAGGCTTAAGAATCATTTATCAGATCACAGTTGATGTAGCACAGGCAGGATTATAATCTGTAGGAAGATTTTGACAAAATTTAAGGACTCTGTTGCCTATATTAACAGAGGATGAGCAGAAAGGTGGGAGATGATTGTCTCCTGCATTTGATGCTCAGTGAAGAGGCACGGAGGAGTTGCAAAAAGAAGGACCATCACAAACACCCTTTTCTTTCATTAGCTGTGGGTGCAGTTTGTTCCAGACAATAAATAAGCAGAGGAAAATAAGCAGGGGACTTTTAATGCTCCCTCCGTCCATTTGTTGCTTACAGACAATAGGAAGTGTCATTCACCATGCACCAGGCAATCTTCAGTGATTGAGATATCTTCTCTCCCATCTAGATAAGCTCAGGTTATATATCAAACGTTGGTGATTATTCTTTGGACATTTTATGTTTTCTCCCTGGTGACCACAAGATGAGCCCCAGCTTTCCCGCCCATTAGGCACAGAGTCTCTGCGTATTTATTTTCTGAGAAAATGTTCACCAGGAAAACTGTCCTGAGCTCACGTGTGTAAACTGAAGAAAAGGCAAACAGGCAGCATTTACTGCCAGATATTTCAGCCCTGGATGTATAGTTAAATTCTGGTCATATAAAAGATGAGAAGAGAAAATACGTACGTACGCGGTGAGCAGACACAAAGCCAAAAGCAACCAAGCATAACAAAAACAGATGAAAAAAAATTGTTGAAGGAAAGGAACAACAACCACTGTACCCCCAGGTAGCACTTAAGCCATGGTGACTGACAGATGGGCAGAACTTTGGGACATGTGGTTGGTGGAAACACACTCCCTGTGTTACAGACGTGATCCCTGCCAGAAACGTGTGTGGGGGGGAGAGGGTTTCCTCTGGCCCTGGTGTGAGTGAGAACAGGAAAGGTGCCACAGAGCCTTCCCTCACGCTTTGGCACTCCTCAAAATGCTGCCTAACGGGAACTAATGACCAGAGGAGTTTCAGAAATAATTTTCTGGTGATATGGAGTAAATTCTCTACACGGGAGCAGTACACCCAATCACAAACTGTCTGTCTACATCCAGGGCCTCATAAATCAATGTTTACTGAGGGAACGAGGAAGATACTGAGATTTACAGCAGAGTAATGGGCAATTTCCCAGCTCAGGTTGGCTGCTGGGCACCCTGTCCGTGCTTCCCTCCTCCCAGCGCTGGTGCAGGGAACAAGAAGGTCCACTAAAGACATCAATGAGCAGAAATGATGAATAATTGCCTCTCTGAGCACTCAGACCTCCAAGCAGCCCTCTATAAACCTTTGAGGTGCTCAAAGGGCATAAACAATTTTCCTATTCTTCCATCCCAAATGCAATTTGCATCATTAAGGAAGTTTCTTTTTCCTTATAAACTCTGCTGGGCATTTTCACACCGGTGTTTTGTCATGAACAATAGAGCTTGTTTAGTTAAGTCTTTCTGGAACAATTTACCTCAAATATAAGATAGTCCATCATCGAGTTCCAGCAGGTTTCAACCCAACCTGTGAGGCAGCAGCTTGTTTCCAGCAAAGCAATTCTACAACACCAACATGGTGCTGCTCCCTGATGCTTAACAAGGATCAGTATTACATCATCTTGGATAGGCTTGGATGTAGGTCCCTAAATTTAAGCACTTGGGCTTGAAAGGCTTTGGCCATCTTCACTGAATCAATACTGCTCTGCTTTCAGAAGTCATTAGTTTCTATTCTCAAACCACTTAAAGCAGTGCATATTTCAGGAAGGTGACCGTGGTGTAAAGGCAGGAGAAGATCTGCACAAGGACTCCACACACACTCCAAACAGCACAGAACACACAGATACAAACGTTACAGATACACAGAGAAAACACTAAAAGTACAAGTCCTATCAAAATGATTAGACCTGTCAAAGTTAAAATGCTTCAGGAAATTAGACTGATAAAACATTTCAATGGTCAAGGGTCAGAAAGTCTGATTTTTTTTAACCCCTAAAGTGTATTTTCTTACAAATTATAATAATTTTTTTCAAAAAATTAAACATTTCAATGTCAATGCTCCCAAACCAAAATATTTTGATCCATGTGAAATGATCCTCTCCCTTCCCAACTGTGCTTTTTAGCTCCAGTAACTTAAAGTCTGGGAGCTTTCTTGTGCTTCAAAACCTTGAAACCTTTCTTAAATGGAATGTCCAGCCTGTGGAGCTGTAATAGTTTCCCCTCTGAAAACAATATTGCCTCTGTTGATAAGAACTAGAGGTTTTCTCAAGTATTTATAGCTTCCTTTATGAAAAATAATGAAGTTGCTGATGTTGTATCTACGCTGGCATACAGTAAATAGATAAACAGCTTGTCAAATGGCAGACTCATCAAAGGGAAACAAGAGACTTCTGAACCCTTGTGGTGGTTTTATAACAGATTAAGTAATGACATGCAAATTCTGTCACGCAGTCCACAGCCAGGCCACTTGATCACAGATGAAGGGCACCACTGATTTCAGGCTTGGTCTTGATTGCAAATCTTAACAATGCCAATCCAGATTTTGCAGCTGTAAACTCCGTGCAGGAACTCCCCACCCCTGGGGCAAAGGCCAAGCACGGTCTCACAAATTTCCACAAATTCAGTAACGCAGGTGGAGGTCATGGAAGATTTAACAGGACCAGAAACCCTATGGGAAGCTGATTTCTACACAAACTGCCTTTCCAGTCACCACAATCATGAGCTGCCAGTAACTGGACCCAAACCTTGTATAATGTGCCCTGGTGACATCTCAATTACCCAAAAGAAGGACCAGGAGACCAGTGCCCACAGTGGCCAGTTCTCCCTAAACACTCTATTACACAAACAGTTTTTCACTGCAGTGATATATTCCACCCCACACATACTTAACAGAAAAGAAATAAAAGCAGACATAGCAGCTGATACCTGTGATGATGCCGTTTTTCTCTACAGGTTCTTGCCAGCTGACCTTGAGCGAGGTGTCCAGGATCTCGGTGAAACTCAGGTGTCCCACTGCTCCCGGCTCTGGAAATCAGGAAAGGAAAACTGTTAATAGGAGAACCCCTCTTAATTGTGATCTAATTCACATGGCAAGGTTAGGGATGAAGAAATACAGGGCCAAGGGAAGCTGAAAACATCACTGAGAGGGAGAAGACAAGCTGGGAAGAAACACTCTGGCTTATCATCACATAAATTATTTCACCCGGCCATCATCCCAACTGTCTGGAGAGCTAAAGAGAGTGGAAGCAGGAGACTTGCACACAACTTGTTCTTTCCTCTCTTCTTCATCTAACCTAATTAGCACAATCAAGCTGGCAATCCTGAAGGTGATGGTGTTTGCCATTTTTCCCCTCAGTGGCAGGGGTGTGGTGTTCACTGCTGTGCAGTTTATGTGGACCCAGGTCTGTAGCAACACCACCAGCAAACCCCTCATCTGGGAAGAGCTTTTTCCCCATGCAAGGTCACAGCAAGGACAGAGTCACCAAGCCACTGCTTGGATAAGTTCTCTCAAAACAAATCTAAAAATGTCCAACATAATGGCAACTGCCTTCTGTAAAATGAATACAAGTGTGTGAAAATTTTAAAGGGTTTTTATGATGTAGCTAAAGAGCTCTTAAAAATTCAGCTCCCCAGTGTGCAATGAAAGAGCATAAAATGGAATGACTGTCAAGAATATGCCATCCTCCCTCAATTTTGGCCTTCAAGGAAGACAACCTGACTGATTTTTGATCCAAATACTGTTCTGTCCTCAATCGATGTACTGGAAAAAGGAGGTTTTGTTCACTTTATATTCACAGTGCTTCTGTCATTGGATCCCTGCCCGAGTATCCTCCAGCTCCACTGACATCAGTTGGCAATTTCTTGTCTGCAATTTCATATTTTGTTTCCTCTTCAATTTAGTCCAGTCTCTCATTCCCCTCCAGCTCTGACAAAAAAAGCTCAAACCCTGCCAGTAGGTCAGATACAAGCCCATTTGCAATTCTGCAATCCTAGTGAGGAGAGTTTCCAAATCCACTCTGCGATACCAAGCAGTCAAAGCACCACAGAAGAACTGCTGATCCTGTAGTGATCCCAGGAATACCCAACAAGAGCATGGCAGTTATGCACTATTTGGGACCAGGGATGTGCAGACATGGAAACCACACAAAGCTTTGCTCCAATTAGCCCCTGCAGTTGCAGTCCAATTTAACGTCACCAGGAAACACAGGTGCAAGTGACTCCAAGCCAGGACAAGATACTTCTGACTGGATGTTAAATTTTATTTGACCTACAGTTCATCAGCAAACAGATCCGTTTGCACAAGTTTTTTCTAGAGGATTGCCTAACTCTGCTATATAGACTGAAAATTATCACCTGTGAACATGAATGACAGTCCTTTCAAACCTTTTTTCCCACCACATAAATCCCGAAGCAACTTAAGAGCCAATGAGTTCTCCACAAAGATGCATTATACCATCCTGCACATAACTTCTCAGCCACTCTGAAAACCGAGGGAAGTAATTCTGAAGGATTAAAAAATAAATAAATTAAAAAATCCTGCTCATTTCCCTGCTGAGGCTCCTTGCAGCATACAGCTGCATACACCAGGGAATGTATCAAATGGTTTACAAAATACAAGTCTGGTTTTCCCTTGTTTTATGTTTCCTGATGGAATTTTCTTGTGTTTAAAATGGCAGGTGATCTCAACATTTCCCTGAGATAGCCTCAAAGTCTTGGCTCTGCCTCTTCTTTCACTTTGTGGAAAGCCTGCAAGGCTCCTTTCTTCAGCCTTTCCTTCAGCAGAAATATTAACAGCCTCTCCTCTTCCCAGTTGATTAATTTTTGCAAAATCTTGGGAGTCTTTTATCTTTGGTTTCTTATTCTTCACTGAAATTTGCCACAGGGTTCAACTGTCCTTGGAGAGAGAAGACAGATGAACCCAAGAAGGACAGTTGAACACATTTACAAACCATCCTTGTCTAAAGCTTTGTTTCCTTAGGAAAACAGGCAAAAGAGTTGATACTGCACACAGGAACCTAATGCATGTTTCTCTTTCCACCACACCTTTTGCTTTAACCCCAGATAAACAAGTCTGAGTTCATATTAGTGAGTCACAAAGACTTCTGGCAGTTAAATTGCTATCTCTGGTTTAAGTCTACAGCCTGCTCTGGGGACACAGCTCTAGCATATAGAGGAGACTAACCACAACAGGAAAATCCATGGGAAAGTAATTTTCTCCATGGTCTTTCAAGAGTATGTCATGAAAAATTGGATTAGCACTTTGAGCCTCACTTCTGTGAATGTTAATGACAATCGGATTTTTCTTTACGGGAACACTGACCAACCTAAAAGATCCCTATTAAGGCAAAGCAGTATTTCTAAAAACAATATCTTAATGGATGTATTAGACACTTTTTATTCTGATTTGAATCTGTAAATGGGCAGCAGTGTTTATGATGCTCCAATACAGGAATATACCAAAGCACTGGCCAGAGCCAAGATCACTGTGGACACAATAACTGCGAGGCCACTGCAGTTTAGTCCTTATCTGAATCAGGCACACGTGAGACTTGTGAGTCCCAAATACGTCTTGAGCAAACACTTCCAAGGGGCCACAGAGGGCAAACCATTTTCTGATTCAGGAAACAATTTATATGCTAAACTGTCCAGCTTATTTTACTTCACCCTGCCTCTAGTTTTTCAGAATAAAAGATACTGCCTTGTTATGATCCTGGTTCTTTTACACAAATGTTTGCAATATAGTATACAAACAGACATTTTCAATATATCGAACAACAGAAGGAAACAATCACAAATTAATCATTGACCTCCACAGGAAGTTCCAGTGCTCACTTCCTAAGAAGATCAATTGATATTTATTTGGGTGCCTGAACATGGATTTAAGAGCATAAGGATTCATAGACACAAACAATGCATTGTGTGTTGGTTGTACTGGACTGTGAAGTTCTCAGCTAATGATCAATGTGAAAAAATTCATCCTTAACGAAAAAAAGAAAAAAAATCAAATACTTGCCACAGGCTAAAAGAACACACATGGAAAACTGGCTGAGGTCACCATCCAAAAGGTGACTTGAGAAGAGACTGCCAACTGATTGTGAAGCTGAGGTCAAATTTTAAGTGCAGAGATTTAAAAATTTCAGCTTTTCTATCCAACCCACCCAAACCCGAGTGCTGAGGCTCCCTGGCAGTGCTGGGGATACTCACTGTCCTCCAGGGTGCGCAGGAGCTGGGGTGTGCTCCGGGGGCCGTCCCCTGGCGTGGTGAAGCACAGGACTGAGGTGTAGTAAGTGGTGTATTTCTTCAGGTTGGTGATGCAGCCACTGTGGACTCCATGGAAATCCGGAGCGATGGTGACCACAGTCACACTCTCCGGAGCATCCACCGGCCAGGCCAGAAGCTGGAAAATTTAAATATGGATGAGCTCTCATTAGAAGTTGTGTCTATTCAGAGGCAAAGTATGTCTGGCTGCCAAAACCATCTTAATCTGATTGTAAAGAACCAAGCAATGCTGTTAAACTACTGTCAGCTCTGATGCTGAACAGATGGATGTAGCAGTGATACTGTGATACTGGAGGGATGTCTGTAACACTCACCAGCGATGGGGGATGCACCAATATTGCAATTCTCAATGTCTGCTACTGAACAGTGCCAAAATTATTGCAAATTATTACCCGTATGACATGGGCCTTTCATCAGCCTGGCCACTCTCTGCTGCTGAAAGGAAGCTGAAGGAAGAAAAGTACTTTCAGTGCTACTCTGACATAAATGCTTTATCTTATTTTGGGGTTCCTTTAAGGATCCCACTGTCTGGGGAGGTTAGTGGGATTAGGGGACACACACATCCTCCTTCCCCTCCCAGAGCCAGCCCAGCACCCCTCTGAGCAGCCCTGCCTAAGAGGCTGAGAGCACTACAACCATCAGTGGACTGGGGACATCCCCACTGCGAATGATTCAAGTGGTTCTGGAACTACAGAAAGAATAGAAAATGGTTGTAAAGATGATTACTACAATTTCCAACACCCGAGTCCCAAAAGTTAGACTCCTGAAGACATATTTTCATGCATTTAAAATAGGGTGCTTGTCAGATGAGCTCAGTTCCTCCAGGTCTCATTCATCTCAGCCGATGTTCTGGGCAATCAATATCTTTGAGAGTGCAATACCTTATGTGTTGGTACCTAAATGAGGGCTTAAAAAATTCATTTCTGGCAAATGCCTTTGAAATTTTGAAACAATTTTTGGAATTGCCTTAAAGGCTTATGGGACTAAAGCTTGAAAGCTTGTGAAATTTTTATTTTGTCCAAAAATCCTTAGCCTGTAGCTTATAAAACGTGTTAAAATTCTAGGCCTGACTCAGTATCCGTGTAAATCCTGCTACTTGTATTGATTTCAGGCTCATAAACATGAATAGATACCTGAAATTAATGAGCCATATTTGACACATTTAGCCATTGTCTAGTCTCTGAAAATCAAAAAGCACAGTTAGTGGACTATAAGGAGTAATTTTGTTAGAAATATTTCATATTTGAGAAGGTGTACTTTACAACTTATTGAAATGCAAATAAATTTCAAAGAAAAGATAAAAATGGAAAGTGCTTGAAGAGGATACTAAGTTTTATTTTCCTTTCTAAATCACCTCTGTGTTACAATTGGCATTTATAACTTTGGAGGACTGATTTCTTTTTTGAGTGCATTTCATTGCACGTTCTTCAGGAAACATGTACAGAAAATACAGGTGAACAATTCTGTCAGTTTAAGGAAAAAATGGGTTTAATCCTTAAAAAACACAAAGGCCTAACTTTGACTACTAGTAATTTATAAATCATACACAAAGCTAGGCTATAAAAGTAAGTGACAGAAATGTTCTCACACGATCTTTGTACTGCAATTCACAATCCCTGTGAGAAACAGGAATGGTAAAGCTGTAGCAATCTAGTGTAATCAAAAAAATCCAAAGAAATAGAAATTTTGATAATTTCAAAGGTTTTCATTGGCTGCTGACAGATACAATTTATGATTTCAGTTATTTTATACCATTGCTCAAGAAATGGAAACATAAATTAGAGGTAGTTATGGAATGAGATGAAGGATCTTAAGACTGAAACTCTGAATGAAAATCTGAAATAAGACTTCTGCAAATCTGGGCTCACTGTGCCTGGAATTGCAGCAGAAAATTGTATTGCACTGAAGTCCACTGAGCCCCAAAAGCGCTTTTATTCTCTAGAGTCAGAACAGAAGCCAAGTACTACTTCTGTATTGAGCTTTTAGGATATTGTCCTGCAGCCCTGTCAGTCACTGAGCCTCGAGAGCTGGTTCTATCTCTGGGAACAGCAGACATACCCCTCTACATGTATTTAGGTCTTCAGCAGTGGGATTCTGAAACCACTGCTGGGCTTTATGAAAAATACATAGATGTGGGGAAAATACTGGAACACCCATGCATACCTCTGTCTCAGTTTCTCCATCACTTTGAGACATTCTTGGAGAAGGATCAAGTCTTCTGAAACATCTCAAATCCACGTTGAATCTCTTAATCCACAGCTTGTTTTCTAACTACACATTCTTCTCAGCCCACTCCACATTCCTTCACCCAACACCTAAATCAACCTTCCTCCTCCCTGCTCATAAACCAAACATTTCTTCCCTTCCTACAAGATTTCTCTTCGTTCTTTCCATGAACACTTTTAAACCCTTCATTTATTATGCCCCGACTGCCAAACCATTGATGGAGTTTCTCTTAAGCAGTTCTTCCTGAGGGCAGGAATAAACCACTCCAACTGCCTCCTTAGCCCACACTCCACTGGCCAGAGGACCAGTGAGGGCTCTGTTAAACACTCCCTACTCTGTAACAGATATTGCCAGTTGTCCCATCAGCAGGGACTTACCATGATAACTCCATGTCATCAGGGCATGATTAATAAACTTTACATTCTTATACCTCCCAAATCATCACAGTGGGAAAGTTAGGACAAATATTTAGTGTGATGTCTTGGTTCCTAGTGAAATGAATGGGAATTCTGCATTAGTGTAAATAGAAATCTCAAGCTGGTTTTCAGTGGCACAATGACATGTGGTGAGTTTCCAAACTGACACTGAACTGCTTTTTGGTTTTGGAAACTTCCCAGGAAGATGACAAAACTAAAAAGACTTCTAGCCTATGACACGTTCCCCTTTCAGAACTTAGGTAAATTGCAAATGTTAGAATCACAGAAAGGTTTGGGTTGGGAGGGATTTTAAAGATCACCCAGTTCCAACCCCCTGCCAGGTCCTGCAGGGACACCTTCCACTAGACCAGGTGGCTCCAAGCCCTGCTAGGAGCAACAACTGCTCACTTCTCCCTTTGTTTTACCCGTGTAAGACACCCCTGAAATTATACAGTCACTTTGGAGATTCAGAGGTTATCAGATTCAACTTCTTTTTATACCAGGACTGTTAAGGCAAACACTGAAGTTACAAAAAACTTGTTTCTATTTACCTTGTATCCTTGGTTAATGCCGTTGATGAACTGCTGGGGTGGAGGGTTCCAGAGGAACTGGATGGTTGTGGAGTTCACGGCTTCGACTTGCACGTTCTGCGGTGGAGCCGTGGGCACTGCTCCCAGTCAGCAGAGAGGGACATGGAACAAAACACAGTGGAGGAGGAAGAGGGAGGAAAAAGAGAAAAATGAACCCAGAACCCACTGACTGTCACTTGTGAGTCACAGAGTAATAACAACCTTGAGAGAAGGATGCACTCCTTGGGAAGCAGCAGTGTGTTGGAGAGCAGGGTAATTGGGTTAATTTCTCATTCTGTACTGGAGGTTCTTTCCAGGGGAGGAGGAGAAATGGTTTCTGCAGCTTATTATTCTGCAGATGAGCTTCTCAGAAAGACTTGAGACAGAAGCTGGGTAACGACAGGTGAGCACAGCCCTTTCAGTTATCCATGACTGCACAGACAATGAACAGTTTCCAAAAGAAATTTCTTGAGTCTTTTAATACCACTCAATTCCCCAGATCAGACAACAAAACATGGAGTTCCCACAATTAAGGTTCTAATTGTGAATTATAATCTGGCAACAGCATCTGTTTATTATTTACTGCTGCTTAAAGAATTAGGACCAGTCATATCACATGCAATAAAGATTTTTCTTGGGAATTGGGAGATGTTCTCATTTTATCTTGATATGATATGCATTCATGTATATTGAATTGATTATATATATCCTGAGCCAATACATCCTCTAATCTACTAAAAGTTGCATAAACATTTTATGCCAAGGATTTAATTAGACAGATGTTTTCTCAATACAAAAGAAAGCGTGGAACATAAAGGCACCCTGCCTTCAAACAACCAAAAATAGCACTTAAATATTTTGCCATTTAATATAATGTCTCCTTCCAGGCAATTTCTTCAACTTGATGCTTTAAGATGTCATTTCTATAGTTCTCAGTGGAAAGAATATTAATAGACAGGTCTATTTTTCTGAAATTATCAAGCTTATAGTAAGTTTAAGAAGAAAACTGCTACTTGAGTAAGTAAAATGGACTAAGACACTTTAAATCCTATAAAAGAAGTTTAATAATGCTTCAAATATATTACTATTGACAGGCATGGGCATTTGTATTCTATGAAAGAGGAACTATCCACAAGTGGTTTTGAAGCCTGGAAGGCTTTGTTCCTTCTGCTTCCAAGGGAAAATTTCTACCAAAGCCCAATGATCTGTGCTTCTAAAGAATATCCACAATTCCCACTGAGAAATGGTGGTTTGCTCCATACTTTTCAAAAACAGGTCCCAAACTTTTAAAGCTTCAAACCATCTTTGGAAGACAGGTCTTTGTGTGGAGAAGAAAATAAATTCAAAAATGGAAAACGGCCCCTTTTCCCACCAAAAGCTATTTTTGTTTGGAAGAGACATAAAGGGGTATTATTCTTAACTGGGGTACACTCTACAGTAAGACTGGAACTAACAGAGCTAGGACAGTGCACAGTTATCAGAGACATCCACAGTCTAGAAATATCAACACAGAAAAATGGAGAAATCCAAAAAGATGTAGGTTTGAAATGACAAGAACATCCACTTTCATGCCCTCTGTCACTGAAACTCCCTGAAGGCTAAACCATGGCTCGACAATTTAGCTCTGCACATTTTTTTAACCTCAGTAACTGCATATTAGTCACAACTTTCTTGCCCTAATTTAAAACTTGATGTCACAATTTATGAACTATCCATAATTATTGAGTTCTGAAACCAGAGTTTATCTGATAGTACTCTAAATTTTCATTAAAATCCAGGCCCTACTTCCTGCCATGTATCATAATTCCTTGTGTGCTTTTGGAAGGTTATACTATTATCTGAATGACCTGTAGACATCATAAAGTTTTTGTAGTTAAGAGGTTCACCAAATCATCCTGAGATACAGTCATAAATATTAAAGTCACTCTACAGTCATAATGAGTTGCTTTGGCTACAGTCCCCTACTAAATGCATTTTTTTTTTTTTAATTCATGTTCTTTGATAAAACTGTTTATTATGAGAGCCACAAGATATATTTGAATTTGCTTCTGTGTGCAATACTTCATATAATTAATGGTTAACATGCATAAAATTTTTAAAATCAAAATTCTTACTTTCCTGCATATTTGCATATTCAGATATTGTAACTGCCAGAGATTCATTACTGTGCAGGATAAAATTGTATTACAAGCCTTCATGTTGGTTTGTTATCAGAAAGTCACCAGGATATCACTGATAGATTCATCTCCTCCTGTCAGGAAGGCTAAATCAGCTGAGCATCAACCTCTCCACTCATTCCTCTTCCTTCTGTTGAACTGCTACATTACAACTCTATCTATGTAGAGCCAGAGAATCATTTAGGTTGGAAAAGATCTCTGAGAGCATTGAGTCCAACTGTTCCCCCAGCACTGCCAAGGCCACAACTAAAGCGTGTCCCCAGGCGCCACATCCACAAGGCTTTTAAATCCCTCCTGGGGTGGTGACTCCACCACTGCCCCGGGCAGCTGTGCCAGGGCTGGACAATCCTTTTGGTGGAGAAATTGTTCCCAATATCCAACCTAAACCACCCCAGCAACAACTTGAGGCTGTTTCCTCTTGTCCTGTTGTTTGTTAATAGGGAGAAGAGCCTGACCCCCAGCTGTCTACACACTCCTGTCAGGGAGTTGTGGAGAGTGATAATTTCCTTTAGGGGAGGATCCCATAGATACTGTACAATGAACAGCAAATTTCCAGTGATTTCAATATCACATGGATTTTAAGAGTCTGATGAGTCTTTTAGATACAATCCAAAATACTGCAAATTTTTTGAGAGAAGAAAAATTTGCATTAACAAGCTTCAAGTTTTCATTTGCGGTCCTTACAGTCCTCGAAAAAGCTCAGGCAAGCACTTGAGGATAGGTTTACTATAGTTTTAGAAATGTGGATAAGCAAATGCATTATTTATTTCTTTTAAAAAGGGAAATATTTTTTATTAATTAGGAGGTAATTTCCTGAAACATGAATACATGATCATAGCAAAAAAAGTACCTGCTGCAATATGAAAAATGATAAAAATTATGAACAGAAAACATAAAGCCTTCAGAACATTGGAAATCATGATTTATATCACAATTCCTCTTTGGACATCTTCATTGAAAAATCAACATCTGCATCTCAATTAATGCATTTAAAGGATGGAAAGAACATAGTCCATCTGATATGCATAGGGTTAATTATGCTGCAGAAGACATAATGTAACACATTTTTATATTTTTAATCAGTAAAATATTGGCATTATAATCTCAAATTTACTTCAAAGTGCCAGTATAAAATTCTCCTTTTATGTCCTGATATTAAAGACTTCCTTGGGGATCTGAACAGTTTTGCATTTAAAAAAAGAAAAGAAGTTTGACGGAAGCTAAATCAGAATTGACCTTCTGGTCACTTCAAATCTCAAATACTTTTCCAAGATCATGGATAGTAACTTACTGGAGCTGTGACTGTCCACATAAAGGATTTTCTAATTTAGTGGTGGATATCCATCCTCTTCCTACAAGTTTGTTGTCAAGCTGTACAGAAGCTGCCAATGTCAAATAGGTGTTTCAAGAGTAATCCCCAAGCATTAACATTCCCAGTTTTTAAACCTGTACTTCATCATGCTTGCAAGTATTCCAAAACCATCTCACAGTAGAGAGTCATCTCGGAATTTCAGGTCAAACTGGCCAGAAAAAACCCAACCGTTACTTTCCCCCTGATAAAGTTCACGTGGTTGGAAACCTACGGAGAGCTCAGCCCCTGGGACTGAGGGTTAATGTGCAGCATTCCAAGCAGAAAAGGTCATGGAAGCACTGGAGATAAAAACCATTAAAAGGGTTTCGCTGACAGGATAATTGAGAGGAGAGAAGGCATTAAGGTTAAGCATGTGTACATGTAATTATTCTGTCTCCAGCTATGTGCAAATAGCATGTAAATCCCGCTGAGTTTCTGACAGCCGGACTCCTGGTCCTAAATATAGATCTCCAACACAGGCCTGGAGAAAAGTCTCCTGCTCCTCTGGAGCTCCTGACCTTTGAGGTGGCAGCTTCCCTGTCTCAGTAAGGCAGGCTGGGGGAACTGCAGGTTTTCCTCTTTGTGAGGGTTTGGCTGTTCCATTAATGCACCAGCTCCAGGTGCTGAGCTGCACATCTCAATGGGGATGTGGAGGCAAGTAATTCCTCCTGTGAAGTCTCTTCCCTCTGCTCCCAGCTGACATTCTAGGCTGTGCTCTGTGGGTGCACAGGAAAAGTGGTCTCTGTAATTCCACACATTTGAAAATTTGAATTCTGAAATTCAGTAGTGTGAGATTTGGCACTAACAGATGAGTTTTGCTTCTTGCAGCTGGGAAATGCCTCCTTCCTCTCCTGCATGTCTCTCACATGGACAAGATTTTATTTCTTTGTTAAGAGTTGGAGGCCAGGGGCCTCACTGAGACAACTGCTAACTTCACCACCTTATGAAATACCTTAAAAATAAAATAAAAGCAGTAGATGGCAAAGGACACCTAACAGTGATAAAAATCAAGCCACTGCAACTCCAACCCGCTTTTGCACAGGAGAAGCTGGGCCCAAAACAGTCATGGACACTCCAAGGCTATTGGGAGGTTCCCCAAAGGAAGTGAACGAGGATCTTTAAGATTCTTTTTGCCAAGAAAGCCCCAGGAAAAACTAATGGAAGTATCTTTTTACTGAGATAAAACTGAATGGTTGCAGAGGACACTCTGCATTCAGAGAGTCCTTTTTCAAGATTATTTCCTCCATAAAGCAGGAAGCTTTCAGTTAACTGGTTTTTCTCTGGCTCTCCTACCTCAGTCATATAAATTTCTCTGATTCATCTCCTATTGCCTGAGCAAGACATCACTTTGGGCCTGGCTGAACAGACTTGTCTTGCTTTTATCCTTCTCTCCACACTATCAAGACTCACTAGTTTGGTGTCTCACCCACTCTTTTATTTAGGAAGGGCCTTTTGCTCAGAGTTGCTTGGCCTGGAGAGGTGTTGATGCACAGAATAGAAGGGAAAATAAAACAACATTGAACTACATGTTGAGAACTGTGAACTTTAGGAAATAAGACTGGCTTTTGGGATATGCATCAGAAGAAAGACACAGCACTTAAAGCAGAAACAGAAGTGGGTTAATGTGAATGCAAAGAGGCTGATGGAAGTGATGTCTCTCCTTGTAAACTGTGCCCTGCCTAAATCTAAGGTGCAGTGGGAGTTTTTCAAAGAGAGGGAAGTTCAGAAATACTCACACTAGTGAGATAAAAGGGACAGACCCGAAGTAAAGGACAGAAGCTGCTGTTTTATCAAATCAACCTGAAGAAAAAGGTAAACCTGTCCAACAGCACAGAGCAGAAACAATGCAGTCACCACAGAAAGATGTTTATACCTCTCACAAAGCTATTCTTACATGAAAAGGTATTCGCAAACTTCAATTTTTCACCTGGCAATGAAAAGTCCTGCAGGACACTGTTTAAATAAGTAAAATTGCCCTATGCAGAAGGCTGGCAAAAATCCCTGTGAAAAGTAACATCAAAGCAAAGAACAGCTGGAGAAACTGATGAAGGAAGACCTATATATACACAGCATCAAAGGATTAGGCTGAATATCACTCTGAAAGGACTTTCAAGATTTTAGAGACAGTCAACCTGCCTGACCCCAGTGCTTGGATGTTCAGTGCTTTGCCAGTAAGTCTTTCTGACATTTTATCTGACATTATGCATCAGTTGCCTACAAGTTTAGATCCCTCAGCATCTCGTGAGTTTGGCTGCATTCTACCAGTTGGTGATTTTTGATGAGCTTTGAGTAGCTGATTAGTTTTCAGTGGCTAAAGCAATGCCAGAGGACTAATAAGGGATTAATAGACTAGCTTCTGGTATAAATCCACAGCTTATATGGCCAGTCAATACCCCCTATGACAAAGATGCCAATATGCTGATGTGCTCCTGCCAATGGGTTGATCTGCTCCCGGGGTTCATTTCCTCCCAGGGTCTGAGTGCAGAGCACGCTTGATTAGTGTGAGGTGGTGCAGGTATTTTTCATCTGCAGACAGACAGGTTCTTGCCAGCAGAGCTCACATCATTTAATGCCTGTCAGAACAGAGGCAGCGGTGCTGGTAGTAGGAGAGGGGGATGGATGGGAGTGTGTGTCTTTGACATTTATCTCTGCTCATATTAAAATCAGAATATGATTTACAAGGCAGTTTTACACATAGCGTTTTCTTACTCCTCCTGGTTCGGTTTAGGAAGGACATTCTGGAGCAAGAAACAGTCACTGGCTTTTCCTGTCTTTTCCCAACTCCCATAAAGGAGCAGAGTTTCAGACAGTAGCATATGATATATGAAGACTTGATATTAATCCAGTGTCAAATGATACTGATATCAACCAGTCTCCCTCTTCAGTTCTAAATGTAGAAAGGCTTCAAACTCTTTATAGAACAGGCCTTATGCCTTTGGTGATTTGCACAGAAACCCAGCAAAGCATTCATTAGGAGATGGCAGCATCCACGAAGCAGTTATTTACAGCTATTAGAAAATACTGATATATAAAATAAATGAGAAATACCCAGTTTTTCTTCTACCCAGCACTGAGCATTCAGGAACTACATAAAGACAAACAGGCCACTGCAGGTTGGCCTGCAGTCTAAACACCCTTCCTGATTAATATGAATGCAGGACTGACTACAGCTAATTTATAACAGAGGATTTATATCCTTATAAATGACAACAGACAGCCAATCAATAAAGGATGATAATAACAGCACATAATATCCAGGGAAATTAGAGTCAATTACAGGGTTTAAGAAAAAAGAGTGTGAAGTCCAAACCTGAGCCTTAATGGATGGAAGGTTAAGGTGCTATGATAGCTTAAAATGTGCAAATAAACAAAGTAATGAATTACAAGCATATTCACAAAAGAGATTCAAATTCTGTGTGCAAACCAATTCTCTGCAGAGATCGGGTCTTTAGTGGGATAGAAAACATTAATCCTGGCTGCAAGGAGAAGACTTTAAGAAAAACATTTCAAGGTCTGCTATAAATACTTCTAGAATGAGGTTGAGTGTGTTGAGGCTCCTCTAAACTATGAGACTTCACATGCCCTAAGAAAAAATATAGATAGTTCTTCCTTTAATTGTTGTAGTTAATTAGTGTTGCATATGAATAATCTTTTCTTAAAGATCTTCCCACACCTCAAACTGTATCTAATCATGTTATAAAGTACTCCCAGCAACAATTAGCAAACAACTACATATTCTTCACAGATTGAAAATTAACTGATGTACTATAAATCTGCAAGTTTTTAAAACAGTGTAATTGTTTCACGTCCAATGAAGTAGAGCCCATGTACTGTCCAGTGCTCAGCATCCAGTACAACCCTGCAATTATGGGAATATATGAAAGCTTTAAGGGCCTGGTACTTAATTACCCTACAGATTTTTATACCAATCTAGAGGTGTAAACATGCCTTACACTGGTTGTAAAAAGTAACTACATATCCTTTTGTTGATGTAATTTATACTCTTCTTAAAGCACTTAGAAAGGTGTGGAGGAGCTGTAGCATAAAAATCAGGGCTTTACAGATCATTTTATCTTCCTCTTTGCAAATGTCTGCACCATTCCTGAAATGCTTCAGAACACTGTCTCCAAAGGCTGTATTTCCCTCCCTGCACTTTCCTTACAACTTATTCCATATTTCTAAAACAAGGTATTCTGTGATTATCAGAACTAACACAGTTGGTTTACTCTGCCTCTGTCTCCCATATTGCATATGCAGCATATTGCATATCTTGGCCATGATAAAACCAATTCCCTGTCATATTTTCTCTAACTCTCCTGGCAGAGTAACCTCAGCCCCTGCCTGTCACAGGTCCTATAAATCCATTCCCCAGGACCCCACTCTCGTCAGCATTTCTATTTATTACTTATGCTGCAGCTGACTCTGATCTGCAAGTGTGGCAACATGTCATTATGAGGGTCAACAAAAAACAGATAATTTTGGAATTCACTCAGAACTTTTCCTACAACAGAGACAGAAGCAGCGACTTGTCTCTGCTCAGGCATTTGAAATGTGCAGGTGTTTCCTACTCCAAGCTGTCCATCAAATATGACTGAAATGACCATTCATTTCACAAGCTGTTAGGTGGGACAACCAGACGGCACATCTCCTAAGGAAACTGTGCCATAAACTGGAAATAGAATGGAGATATTGGTCTCATTTGCTCACCTCCCTGCAAAGTGTACTCTGTCACGGGTCTGCTGAAGGCTCCCAGCCCAGCTCCGTTGTAAGATGCCACCTGGATTTCATACTGGGTCCAAATGATCAGGTCTTTCACTAAGCAGTAATTGATTTCTGCACTGGTGATGTTCTTATACTGGTATTCTCCAGGGAGGCCGGCCAGGCGATACCTACCATATGGGGAGAAAAATTAGCTAGTTAATTAGATGGTATCAGTTAAAGCAAATACCCTGATTGGCAAAACAGCTCCCTTTGTGAAGAGGCAATATGCAAAGTTTTACAGCAGAATTATACAAAGAATAATGAAAAATAATCAGAAAGAACAGAGTAGCTCCTGATAAGACCATATCATGTTTGACTGCTATAGTATTTATAATCTGATCTCACTTAGATTACAGGCTCAGGGCTAAACAAAACGGGTATTTTATCCTGTTTTATGGTTGCAGAAAAATTACAGCTTTTTAAATGTGGCTTGTCTAGTAAAAGCTATGATTTAGTACAAAAAATAGCCCAGATGTGATTTTATCAGAGTGCTGCTGTAAATCAGCTTGAGAAATGTTTTTTTCCTTCTCCTCTGAAATCTGAAAAGGAAAAGCTCAGAGGGCTCTGACCTTCTGGAATCACAGGCATTGGCATCTCTGCCTTCCACCAGGATTTACCTCACAGAATGCTTAAAATAAGGATGGAATACAGTTGAGACTGAAGGGTTGGGTAAGCATTGGAGTCCCAGGAGAAGGGCTGTGCCAAATACAGATGGGTGGTAAATATCCTGACAAACTTTCTGCTCAGACATGAGAAGCTGAAACGCTGAATATATTTTCCCATGTACAAACTGTACTCGAGAAAACAGAGCCCCTTTGATGTGTCTCTTCAGGCCAAGAAACTATAGAGAAGAACTAAATTATAGAAAACAAACAAACCTTGCAAATCTGTGAATGTGAATAATACTGTTTGTTTTCCTTTCTTTCAGAAAGTGGTACAGTGGATGCTTATAATAAGCTAATTCACAAAAAAAATCAGAAAACCAGAGGCCAAATAAGGGACACAAGACATTACTATTCTATGAATAAGACAAATATGGAAACATCTGTATTTTTATTCACCACACAACCAACTTTTACGCACTCTTAGTCATCCTTTGCTTCACTGCAATCTATTGACACAGAACAATTTCAGTGATGTCTTACAGTCAGATTTTAAATTCATCTAGGTTAAATTGGTGCAGTTTATGACTAGACAACTTCATGTATTTTGACACAGATTTTTGTTCCAAAGTCTTCCTATAGAGAGATCAGTTCCCAATCTCTGACAACACCTCTATTTTCTTCCGAGGAGCTCCTTGCCTGATCATATTTTAGCACATTTAATATCTGTAACACTACACTGCTGTTATTCCATTTATGAAATACAAATGGAAATAAATATCAGCCCTCAGTTGAGTTTACTGAACGTGTTGATCTTCCTCTGCTCTGTGCAATATCCCCCTTTCTCTCTCTTTTGCCTCCTGTGCAGGGTTTACGCTCCCTGGCAAGGTCAGTTCTTAGTGCAGCAATGTTTTGTCTCATACGTAGCAGACAAGGCGTGGAGGGCTCCTGTGATTTAATCTGTTATGCTGTTAGCATGGCAGACCTCTAAATGCAATAGTGGCAGTGAGAAAAAGGGCAGAGGAAGGAGGCCAGTTCAGAAATGTCATGTCTTCACGATTTTTCTCACCATAGACTTTGATGTACACTCCATATGACTTGTGCAGTGCACCTTCACTTTTAAAGATCAGGTGTTCCATCAATTTAGTATCTCGAATGTCTTGAGCTTTGGGTCTCTGGGATGCCTGGTGCTTTTCATTCTGCTACAGCCTAATCCTACAGAAATCAGTGCAGAAAGGCTTTCCTTCAGTGCATATTGCTGTGACCACACAATTCGACTTGGAAGAACTGCCTGGTTTATTACCTGGGACAGTTGTGCTTTTATGTGATAATCTTAAATTCCTGTTGAATAAATGGTTTCTCTGCTCTGTAGTCAAGACAAAGCACGCAGACATCAAAAATGTTCACAATTTGAGCATAATGAATATGATCACTATTAAAATGGAAAGAGACGTTATGGCAAGGACAGGGATCAATTGCGCTGATAGATGATGTAGAAAATACTAAAGTTAAACATTATTGAAAATGGTCTATGGAGAAAACAGCACAGATTGCCAGAAGTAGGAGGCTATGGGATTGCTTTCTAAAGGACTTAATGCTGAGACTGGGAAAGACTCACTGGGAATATCTAAGGACCAGTTTGAAGGAAAGAACATTTGTACCCCGTGCAAATGGGTACCCGAGGCTCAGGACAAGGTTCTATCCATAGGGAGAACTTAAAACACCTTTCCCCACCTGTCAGTGATGGCTGGCACAGCTTCCAAACTGAGTCCAGCTCTAAAAACTTGCACAAACAGGCACTTGTACAGGTGGCTCACCAGTGTTAGCAGGTCTGTGCAGGTGACAGGAAGATTAACAGACTTCAACTCTGCCTGCAGAGAGAAGGAACTTTCCAGCACAGTTTTGGGAGCTCACCAATGCTCTTAACATAACAAAAGCCTTTCCATCCATGCCAGCAAAAGTAGGAGCACAGCATGAACAGGATGTTGGCATTTAAACTGTAGCATTTAGTTATCTTTTACAGTTCTGGAGGACACTGTATTAAAAATGTCAGCAGCCTGCCCACAGAGGCTGCAACCATCACTTGGAACTATGTCAGTGGCTGGGAGTTTCCCACAAAAACTCTAATTTAGATAATGCCTCCCTCACTAGAGGTGTGGCCCTAGCTGGCTGCTGCCACTACAGGATATGTAGGATGCCAAATGAGCAGTAAACTGTAGTTGAATTGGGTAGGAATGAATACTGAGTCCCAAAAAATTACAGAAGGGAAATGCTCTGCAAAGAGTCACAGTGTGGCAACACCCTTTCCAACACAATGAGTCCTGTGCAAGCAGAGAGACTGGATGTATTCAGGATTCCCAGTTACCTGCCTGAATGTGTTTCTCATTAATAAACAGCAATGGGGCTGAAAGAATCTTACCCAACTGGCTGATTTTCAAAACCAAATCAAGGTCTGCCATGAAGCATCTGACCTGTCATTCCCTCTCTCCATTTTGTTTGGCACAAAACTGAAGTTTATTGATTCTTTTGTTGCTCCTCCGTAGGGCAGGAGCCCTGTTGTGTCTTTGATAAATTTAATTAACCTTTCGAGCAGGAAGCTGAGATTGTAATAAGCAAATGTACATCTGCATAGGCTGCACTGTACCAGCTTCCCACATGAACACTTCTAGTACTTGGTGCTTCAATTCCCTTTGAATATGGAAAAAAGCTATCTGGATGTTGTGATTCTCCGTAGGGAGCTGGTCCACTCAGGCAGTGCATTTGGAGCAGCTAAGGGAGCTCCCAGCTCACTGACTCTCTAGTACAGACAGGCCAGAATTTAAGTGCCTTCACCCTTGTGACCCCTCTCTCATATTTAACAAACCAAGGCAGCCACAGCATTTGCAAATAATAACTAATGCATTTAATGAGACAAATTTTTAGAGATAGTTTTTAATTACACTCTTAAGTCACACTGTTTGAATTCCCTCGTGCACACTCGGACCAACCTCTGGACTTTCCAGGTTAGGAAAGCACTTACCTTAGGATGTACCCATGAAGAACTCCATTATGCTCACTCTCAGGAGGAGGCTGCCACTGGACCATAATAGACTGATTGGTTCGTCCACTGGCCACTATGTTTTTTGGTGGGGCACTGGGGGGCTCCTCTGGTAACATCAACCTGAGTACAAAAGAATGTGATGGACATGAGTGTTGAAATAAATCACAAATAATACTTCTACTTCCTGTATCCAGCCCAAGTGAACCAATTTCTTTTATCACAGTCTGACGACTAGAAAGAAATATAACACTGATCAAACTGCTGAAGACATGCATGAAATAGTTACAACAAATCAACATAATGGGAAATCAGTTAAGCAAGCAACAAGACAGACAGCTGAGGTAACCCTATTCTCTCTGAATCACCCAGGCTGCTACAACTCTTTAAAAAGATTACAAGCCTGAATGAGTAAGAGCTCAGGTCCAGTGTCTGTGACTCCTTCGAAATTGTTTCTTTCAGCTCTTTCAATATTTTTCATATCAAACTCCTACATTTTGAAAAAGCCATTTAGAGTTCAGCTGTTCTGCAATTCAAGCTCGCAGCAAGCCTTGGTTCACAGAAGAAGGGGGATGCATTTGAAACTAAGTCTGATGAAGCCATCCTTCTATGTCACCTCTGGGTGAGTTCCAGAAGTGGCATTGTGATGACAGGGTGGATGCTGTACTCCTGCCCAGGCTAACTGCTGGGGCTTAGCACAAGAGCAAAAAATTATTTCCAAGATTCTGCTCAACTGATATTCTGGAAGCATGAAGACACCTCTGCCATCGTGTGCTGATCTCCTGCATGACCTCACTGCCATCATCACCAATCACTGCTGGCTGCAGAGGCCTGGGTAATGCCAACTGCCCCACTCCCCAAAGATATTTGATCCATTCATTCACAACCAGCGTTTTTTTCCTCCCAATAACTGCAGGGTACTGCACCTTTAGCACACAAATATTGATTGTTACTGTACCTGCTGGTCTCAGTGCTGTACTGGCCCTTTCCCACCTGGTTGACTGCACACACCCTGAACTGGTAGGTCCGGGCTGGGGTGAGTCCACTCACGGTGACACTGGTCATCTTGGGGTCAAGGTTTGAGAGGTGAACCTTCCAGGGAGAGTCTGTTGGAATAATTAACATGTGAAATTAAAAAAAAAATAAAAATATGGAAGTGCTTGTCAAAAGCCCTGCAGAAGTGAGAAAAAGCCTCTGACTGCTCAGAGCTCTTGAGCTTGTTTTCATCAGAGGAACTTTGGGAAGAAGTTTCTTTTCAGCAGAAGAAACCTTCCTGTCAGCCCACACGGTTATGCAGATTGCACATTTGTCTAGTGGAAAGTGATGCTGCACATGTCATGGCATAATAAATAAAAACTATATTCATTAACATTTTAATAAAAGAGGAAACAAGCATGATAAAGACAGATGGGCTGTGTATTTCACAACCCATCTGTTTGGCAGGCCATCACACCACCACACCCATGAGTGGCTCTGGTGGAAGGACTCTAATGAATTTCATGGTCGGTTTGGAATATCTTCCTCCCCAGCTTGCAAGCAGGTGTAGAAGCGTGACTCTCTCTGCCAAATCAGCCTTTTGCTGTAAGACCTGAGAAAGCTTCTGCTGTGGATTCTACATGTCTGAATCTTTTTTTTTTCCTAGTGATAGAATTCAGCATTGAGTCTAATTGTCCTAGGAAAATTCCCTGGTAGAAACAGCCCTGGCAGTGCTATAAAACCCTGGTTGTCAGTTCCACACCGAGCTCCTCTGATACCCAAATTACATTTTCAAGTTTTCAAAGAGGTCAGAAATTAAACATGTTGAAAATTAAATATTCTGACTTCTCTTCTCCACAGCCTGGTGTCACAAATTCCCCCTGAAGTCATGGCTGAAATAGTGAGGGAGAGGTGACATTTGGTCTGTGTTGCAACACTACAGCAATGGAATCAGCCAATTTAAAGATTTGTTCAGTTTTTAAATAATACCAGCTGTTTTCATGCTCCCTGCTCAAAATTACTAACACTTCTGGAAATTGCTGAGGAGCTAGCTGTAGATTTTGGCACTGTTATCTGTGCACGTTGCTCATCAGAAGTGCATCGTGGCTCCTGGCAGGTCACCTCAACGTCTGCCTGAAAATGAAGATGAGATGTCCCAAATGTGGAAGGCTGCTAAAATTCACACCAAGGCAGAAACCACTAATTTAGCGCTTTTCTGGCAGATTCCTTAGCAAGTTTAAGTCCTCCAGGGTATGATGCCATTTGGGCTATAAACACTGCATCTTTGAGTTACTCCAAATGTATTTATTCCAGAAATGGCTTTGCCAGAACAAAGTCTTTTTTAGCAGGAAAACTGACACAGCAGAATACTGGGAATGCTGGAGAAGGACATTTGCACAGCAGTCAAGTTCTGTCCTTGCCAGTTGTTGATTTAGCAACAGTCACTTTGGCTGCAAGATCTTGATGCCAATTTATCTTAGTTGAACATTGAATTTCTCTTAGAAAACGCTTAGAGGAACACACCTGTGCTATCCAGAAAAGCATTGCTTAGGAGTTTTTTTGCACTCTAGTTCCTTCTGAATTTTCTCAAGCTTCCTCCCTTAAGACTTCACAACCAACCTTGTTAAAGTCAGAGTGCACAATAACAAATCAAAGTAAGCTGAAGTTAAGGTATGGCTGACCTAGTCTGTTGCCTGAAGCAGCCTTCCTGAGGAAAATGGAAGAGCAGACACCAACAGGAGAGTGAAACACCCTTGTATGAGCTACTTGGGCAGTGGTCCGTTTCCTAGAGCATTTCATTTGTTTACTGCTAGTGTAAACACCACCTGAGAGTGCTTAACCCAAGCAGCTCAATGTAGTGAGCAGTTTGATTCAACAACAGGCCCTATTAATCTCCTCAGCACCTTGGGGCTTTGCTCTGTTTATATGCTGCATCTGTAGAATACTTTATTAATTCTTTTTCCTCTCCTGGTGGAAGATAAAAGATCTGGCAGGAAGAGAGATTAAACTGAAAACTAATATAAACGAAGCCTATTCATCTCCTGGGCGCTCTGATTCGTAAAGGAGGGTAGTTTGGGGAGCATTTGCTCACTCACAGAGCAGTGGATACAGTGAGTGTGCAGAGTATCTTTAAAATTTAAATGTCAAGTCCTTTTTTTTTTGACAATCAATAAACAAAACACTTCAAAAAACTCATCTCCCTCTTTAGCCACGCAACAACAAACCCCAGAATTGTGCAGAAGCTCGTTTTACTGGAGAGAAAAACAGTTCTGACACTGGAAACATGCCATAAAATTTTCAACACCAACTCTCCTCTCCTCCAGGGATGGCTGTCACTCACCTGTCCCAGGAAGCCTGGAGAAGCTCCATGGTGACAAAAGACTTGCCAGGTCAAACTATTAAATAAGCCTCTGTTAGAGTGAACAGGCTGTGCTAATCCTTCATTTAACTTAAGCTGCCCAGAACGTACTCTGGGCTCTGCTTGCTCTTCCCCTGTAATTGCTACTGTCTGAACAACTTCCATGTTTAGCTGTCTTAGGGATATTGGGTATTTTGAATTAACTCTGATTGCCTCTGCAAGTTCATTTATTGGAAATGAAGAATCTCACAGGCCGCTCTCTAGTTTACAACGTCATGGTGGGGTTTTAGAAATTACTTTTGATCTGTCAAGAATTTTTGGATGCGCTTGTGATGCGTTCAGTAACTCTGGTTACTGGCTGAGAGGTGTTGCTTCTGTATTTCCCCATCTACCTTTCAGTTCATGCATTAATTGCAAATTCCTCAAAAATCATTTCTAATTTGATATTACAGATTAGATCTACTGCAGAAAGCTGATTTTTGCAGGTTTGGAGCACATTTCCATCTCCTTCCATCTCCAGGGGGTTTTGCAGAGATGGGTAGTATTGGAATTTGCTGTACTGCTGGAGTTCACTAAATTCATCTTTCAAACCTTCATAACAAAATGATATTGCAAAAAATCCACATAAAAGCTAGGTGGTTCATCCTTTGTTTGGTAGGACTTAAACAAGGACTACCAGTGCCCTGAGAAAAACTATCTTAACATTAACCTGTTTAGATTTGAGTCACAATTGTAACAAACAGTTTTACTTTGATTTTTGCAATGGTTTATCAATGTTTTAAGTTTTTGCCACTTGAATATTCCTACCAAATTCAGGATGACAATTCATAGGTTTTAAGTTAAGCATGTACAGATGCTTTTCACGGGAGCTTTTATTATCTCTTTATTGGCACAATGTGATGAATCTGAGTTATATCATTACATCACACAGCACAGATATCCCAGAATACAATAAAACAAAAACGGGCTTTTATCTTAATTGTACTCAGCAGAATTCTTTAAGTCTTAATTCATTTCTTCAGTTAAAAGCCTATTCAGAATATTTTTTGATTAATTCCTTAAGTCTAAACCTCTCTGGAATAAAATTAAGCATATCCCCTTCTAACACGAAGAAGAGACTTCATTGGAATTCCTGGGTATAATCACAACAGGGGCTAAACAGGTCATGAAACATCCAAAATTATATTAGTGCAAATGACAGCAATGCATGGTACTATTTATTTGAAAATCCTATTTCAAATCAAGGTTCACATTCTTGGCTCTGTGTGGGCAGGAATACTTAATGACTCTGTTTCCCTGGAACTGTGTTTTTCAAATTAGATTATAAATTTGCCCCCAAATGTTTAAGGCCATATGTCTCAAGTCACCCACAGACACAGTCTACTGTGAATACTTGTAATTTGAGAATTATTGCATTGTGCCAAATACATTCATTTTAAAAATTAGGTGGCTAGAGTCGTTCATATTTCCAGCAATTTATGTGCACGATCTGCCACTGTTTTTTCCCCTCTAATTAAAATAAGGTTTTTATATCTCTTTACTGAATTGATATTAATGAAAAGGAGTTCTAATCCATGCCAGGTGGAGTGACACGCCTCTCTCTAATGCAGCTAGTAATTAAACCCCTGAAATTCATACTCATTATTTTGAACCCTCTTCAGCTATTCCTCTGCAACAGATATTGTTATTGTGTATTCATTTATGGTACGTGCTTCAAAACCTACAATGGATCCTAAAGCTATCAGAAGATTATCCGAAGCAAAACAGTTAAAAAAAAAAGGAACAAAACAAGGCTATGTTTTGGCAGCTGTGACTGCAAAGCAAACCCCGCATATTCAAACTCCACAGAACTAACAACAAAGTCTTCTGTGCAGCTTTGCTAACTGGAAAATAAATCATAATTCTGATGTCCCTCCCTACCCTTCACACGTGTGAAAGCCAAGGGGGATTGGGATGTGAAGCACATTGTGTTTTGTGCTGCTGTGACAGTGACAGAGCTCTCGACGCTGGCACAGGAGCTCATGGAGGGTGTCCACCTCCTCCCTGGCAGTCTCTCTTTCTGCAGCACAAAACCCAAAAGGAAATTGTCTTTGAAAAGCAAAGAGAGCTCCTGCACAGTCCTATCAGACCAAACTATACCCACAAAAGATCAAACGTCAGCTTCGTTCACAAACGGCGCTTGGGAAGGGTGGGAACAAAGGGAAGGTGGTGGTTTTCCAGAGGCGTAGGAGGTCTGGAGAAACTAAATATTAACCACACCCCACTGAGATCAAAATAACTCTGAAAAACAAACTTCAGGAAAATAAAAACCAAACCAAGACGGTGACAATATGCAGACGTTACAGTCAGCTTTCCAAACCGAAGTCACTGATGATGTTGTGCTATTCTGTTGGCATCTGTAAAGCTGAGCAAGAATATAAGAAATGAGAGAGCACAGCAAGAGTGGAATATTCAAGGGAATATTCAAGTCCTACTTCTGTGGGTAGCCATTTGCACACTGCACATATAAGCAAAGTAAATAAAGACAAAAATTTAAAGGACAGCAAGACCTAGAGTATATCTGGGAGTTAAGATGCTCAATTCACAGCAAACCCGGTGTGTGGCTGGCTTTTGCAGCTGCAAGCTGCTGAAGTACATATACCTGGGATTTGGGATAATGAGACCCTCTCAGTGGCAGATTGCAATGCCATCAGCCAAAATTATTTTATCTATCGTGGAGTGAGCAATGGTTCACAGCATCCTGTGGAGTTCTGAGGGATTGTCTGCACGATTTCCAAAGAATTACTGTTGATTTTCGCTGAGCCTTTGACAAATTCCAGTGAATTAATTATAAAATTATAAAACGACAGCACATTTACCCCGTTGCTATACAACTGCAAGGCATCCTTGCTAGAAAGGGACTTGAAAGGTCTTCAAACTCTCCATGACACAAGATGGATGATGGAACGAGATGATCTTTAAGGTCCCTTCCAACTCAAGCAATTCCATGATTCTCCTGGCACTGAGTGAACTGCACCTCTTCTTTTAGGGACTCTACCCAGCCAGTGCAGCCCACTGCAGGACCCAGGTTCACATGTTTTGCCAGCTCTGTGCTGTGTCTGTGTAAATACAGCCCTAGGACCTTTGGTGTTGTGCTCCCAGACTAGGAGTTCTCTGGCTTGTCATTGTCAAAGCCACTGGAAAACAAGAAACACAAGGATGTTTCATCCTTGGGTGAAAGAACAGGGAAGGAAAAGTAAAAAGGCAATTACTTGCTTGTAGTCAACAGGAGGAAAGGAGAGAAGAGTGAAAATAAAAAGGAAGGTGGTGATAAAAAGGTAGAGGGGGAGTGCAGGACACTGTTTTTTCTTAGTCATTCATTACAAAAAGATCAGGAGTCTTTGCTTGAAAAGAACTATTTTAAGGACAGTAGTTCCGGGCATGACTTCGGATTTCTGCTTGGATTAGAAACCTGCACTTTGCTTAACAGTTGTCAAGATCATCAGTTCTGAGACCTCCACATCTGAAAAGTTATGCACTTCAGCCTGCAAAGAAAAAGGGTTGTATGTGATCTGAAGCCCAAGTTTCCTCTCAGGCTCTCTGTGTGGCAAAACAAGCTGCTGCTCTCTAGATAATCAGAAATCAGGATTGCTTCACGTTCAGTTATGCAGTGACTAATTTCCACATGTCAGAAAAAGTGATGCTCTTAATTTTTTCATCAAGAATCAATTGTTCAGCTTGGATTTCCAGCTCCTAGGGTGACAGAGATTAGAAAGTATTGCCAAGGTGACCGATTTCCATATAACCTCATATTTCCATCAACTCCTAAGGAGGCATTAGCAATGTCCCTGAATAACCTTGCAAACTGAGAGCCACGGAGGCCCAGGCACAGAGCATGATAAACCTGGGAGAAGTGGCAATTCACGATGGCCAGGTTTGTAACCCAGGAAGACATCTGGATACCTCACACTTAAGCATCCTCAACCACCTACCTAAAAGAACAATGTAAAATGATAATCTAGGGAAAGCAGAGAAAATATATGAGCCCATATACAGGTAAGACAGTAGCTCCTACTGACATCCAAGTTTTTTCCTTTGACAGACCACCAGTTCCTTGTATTATCACCCTGCCTGCAACTTTGAGGTGAAATTGGAGCCCTGAATGCATCAAGATATCTAAGAAATTGGAGAAAAAGACAACAATGGGAAGAAACAGATTACTGTTGGTTTACAGCACTGAAGAGTGAGCTGTTGTGCCTCAAGTCTGGCTGGCAACACTGGAGGTGGAACTAAGCCTTTCCTGTATAACAATTTCACCATCTCAGGCTTCTTTGTTGTCTCACCCTTTCAGCGTGCAAAGAGCTGAGTTTAAAAACCCAGAGCGTCCCCTTTGTGAGTGATGTCTCTCATTTAGCAAACTACAGCAGTATTTTGTTAGCAGCTCCGGTAAAAGGCGAGTCTGAATAATTAAGAACAACGTGAGGTTGAAATACATCTGACTTTACTTACTGTTCTCAGAGAGCTCGACCACGTAGTAGAGCACGGGGCTGTTCCCATCAAAGGGGCGCACCCAGGAGAGCATCACGCTCCGGCTGTGGGAGGAATTCAGAGTGGCCAGAAGATTCTGAGGGGAATGAGGCAGCTCACTGTCAAGGAAAAGAGAAAGGGAGAAAAAAAAAAACAGCACAGAAAAATTAATCTACATTTCATTCAGCTACAGTCTTACAGGCAGTTAAAGGCAGATGACACCAGCCTTGTACGATGATAGATATAAAACCACCAGCAGCTATTGTACAATTAAATAAATGAAAGACATCTCTGAGTTCTTCACAATTTTATCCTATTTGAGGGGGAAAAAAAATAATTTATGCTGAAAGTCCCAAGGCTGATGCTTAGAACAGCTAATGGAAATGTTGCTAAATGTGGAAAAAAGCCAATTTTCATACGGTTTGTGACTGAGCAACTTGGTCAATAAATTTCCTCTCTCACTTTTTCTCCCTTCTTACAATGATGTCCCAGCAATGTGACAGCCATAATACGTATAAACAGTAAAACACATGGGAGATATGATTTAACATGGAATTTTTCATACTCAAGGAAGCAGAAGACATTGACACTATCCACACAGAGCTACTAATCAAAATTACCATATGTATTCTTAGGCTACAGAACAGCTTGATTTACTTGCGGATTCAGGCTTATCCTGTCATGGGTAGAATCCTTCCTTCCTATAATAAGGATTTTTTTGGGAGCACCCAACCAGAAAATGTAGCAAAAATGCCTGCAGAAACCCCATGGAAATACCAAATGAAACATTAAAAAACAAAAATAAAACAGCAGCTCAATTAAAATGTGTAATTTCTCCACATAAAGGAAATTTGTGGAAAAACATTTCATTTGTACTCATTGGCTGGAAGTGGGAGGCTGCACGGTGCAGTAAGAACACTAAATTCTGCTGCAACCCCTCGATGCTGATGTGTTTTAAGAGATAAAAGCCCTTCAGCGTTATACTTGAGCATGATTTCTGCTCCTTATCCTCCTGTTCCTAAGGAGGACAAGGATCTCATAGTGAAGGAAAAGCAAGGAGGGGCAGTTTTTACCCACTCAATCCACTCTCCTCCCCAGGAAAGCTGAGGGTGACCCTTCCACAGCTCCTGGCCAGGGCAGAAAGCCACAAGGGTACTTCACACGCTTAATTTAAAAACACAGTAATTCCTGGGTGTAATGTATCATGTACTGAAGGCTCACAGTTATTTAAAAACCGCAACTCCTCAGCCACTCAGAAAAGTAAATACAGGCTCTGGCTTTAGGCCAGAACAATAAATATGTCCTGGATTTCGGCTTCTACTGGAAGATTGAGGAACATATGGAGAGCCAGACAATAGCTTTATTATTTTTCTGTTAAAACTGCGAATGCTTTTGTTTACGTGTTTCTGAGGGAGACAAACTGTGGAGTTAGCACCCAAAAAAATAAAAGATCACTGAGAGAGCCAAGGAGTGGTAAGAAAAACACAGAGCTAATGAGGCAACGCAAGTGGAAGGCACTTCTCTGCCCACCTCTCTCCAGGCTAGAAGGGTTGATGCTTCCTAAGGCTAAACCTGAGACTTAAAGTCTTGTCTCGTCTCATTTGACTTTAAATGCATAACGAAATTAGCAGCACGGTGACCCCAGGCTCTTCCTGTAGTAAACATGGAATGACACCTCAGGGTGTGATTCAGATCTTAACTTCATTAAATCACTTGCTTGAGATGCCTTGATCGTGAGGAGTTTGGGCTGACTGAGCTCCCACTTAGATCTGGGCACGCACTGACAGCTCAGACACGGCCACTTTTGGGCTGGGCCCAAAGGAAGCAGATTTTGAATACAGCACTGTAAAATTTTCGATGAGTTTAGGGATGAAGGGGACCTGGAAACAAAGTAGAAGGGCAGCTGGCCTGAGAGAGAACAGCAGAGAAAGGCTGGAAAGTGTGGAGAGGGGGTGTAAGATATGGCCATTTACCCAGGGACTACAGGAGTGTGCTACTTAATTTTGAATGAAACATTAAATTATAATAAACATTAAACCTCTGCTACAATTTATCATTATGTCCTAAGCAAGCTGGTTGGAAAAGTTTTTGTGATTAAGCTGGCAGAGATAATTACTGAAGGAAAGAGTGAAACGTCTTGTTGCTACATGGTTCACTGAAGTCCCAGTCCCCATGTCATTTATCAACACTCCCTGTGGGGGAGAGCTCAGAGATGGGTCATGGCTCCAGCTCCTTCTGGAAGATGATGGTCACAGAAGTAGCAATGTAGGAACAGCTGAGGGGGAGCTCACAGCAAACTTATCCCCATGTAGCTGCTTTTCTGGGAAGTAAATAAGCACTTCTGGTACATATTAAGGATATTTTCAGGATGTGCATTTACTAATCTTGATCTCCCATACATTAGAAGGGCTCAATCAACAGCTCACTTGAAGACAGAGGCTACAAGACTTAAAGCTCAGCCTCTTTTTCTTAATGTACAGAAGTCTCAGAAGACTTTTGGAGAAGAGGGGTTATTCCCTCTTTCCTGTTTTTCTTTTAACACCCAAACTGAGTTTAAACATGGGGTTTTGTTTGCTCAGGATTTGGGTTTAGTTGATTATTCTGTTAGATTGACAATGATAATCAGTCAGCAGGGTGAAGGAAACAAGCACTTTCTGTTCAGAGATTGAGCAGCATGAGCTGCAGCCATACAGGACACCTTCTCACTGATATCATAGTCTTTAGCCATGTGTCCACACCAACCAGCAACAGATGGTGCTTACAGATTTAAGTCCCTCAAGGCAGACAGAACAAGTGCTTAAGATACACACCTGGGCAGAAATAAATATTTAAAACTACAAAGACATTTCAGCACAGAAGTGTACTTCTCTCTTTGTAGTATACAAAAGCAGAGATTAATAAGTGGTAATTTCTACTTCAGCCAGCACTTACACTTTGTCTCCTTCTCATTTTCTACCACATACTGTGTGGAAGGGATGATAAATGAGACCTGTACCACCATCATGAATATTCACGTTCCCCAAAGAGATCATTGCTTCTATTTTTCCTTTAAGAGAATTACTTTTCCTTGCTGCTAACATCCAAGAAATTATTGCAGGGAATGCTAATTTCAACCCCTTTTCAGGATGAGAAGGACCTCAGATCAGAACTGCTCACCTTCTTATGCACCATGAAAGTGGATGAGGTTTAGTACAATAACACCCAGGGCACTCAACACCCCTTGACCAGACACTGGCAGTGTAATTCTAGCATTATTATCTTTCTTTTGTTCACTGAAGCCCCAAACAGGAAATATATGAAAGTTTTTCAATATAGAATATTGGAAGACCTCACTCCTCTAATGCTGAAGAGTTGCATGGAGGCAAGTTTTCCATAACTTACTTTGTATGATAGAAAAATATGTCCACGGACACTTTAAAAATCTGTAATTGATAGATAAGCCCAGGGTTAATGGTATTGCCACCAAGGTGACCTGAGGGGACTCTGATAAAGCAATTAAAATAGCAGATTTGCAAGAAAAGAACATGAAGTCGTTGTGACAATCTAGGAGAGAAATATTAGCCCGTTGCAAATGATACATGTTCAAAACAGAAACCCTAATGTTTTGAGTCAGCTCATCACTGCCAGAGGGCAGCTGAAAAATTCACTCAGCAAACACACAGAGCGTTTTATAAAATTAGCTAAAAGCAGACTATTTGCTGAGGAAAATAAACCAGACATGGTTTGGAGAGACTTCTGAGAAAAATGGTCCAACAGCAGGTAATTAGAGAGACTGTGACTGAAGAGGGGATTACTAAAAAGGCACAAGAGATTAAACAAGTTTTCTTGTCAGTTTATGAAAAGCCCTGCTCCTATTTCAGAAATGATTTCCTAAATCAGGTCCACCACGTGGGTTTTGCTCAGGAGCAGGTGGTTCATCTGCTCCAGCCGATAACGCGGCGAGAAGACGAGGCAGGAGGGCTGACAGAGCTCTCAGCCCTGATGGCTCCGCTCATAAAAGTTTATAATGTTTTAAATTAAGAAACGCGTCGACTGTTGCTCGGGTCTTTCCAGTCTCCCTCGCAAAAGAATCCTCTCCAATTTCTAAACACAGGAAGGACTCTTTCAAGGCAGCCCCGAGTTTTGAGGCTTTTTGTCTCTCGTAGGTCTATAAAGGGGTGAATTTTTGAAATTAAAGAGTTGCCAAGTTCCAGAGCACTCAGATTTATTTCCCATTTCATTTTGTTGGTCACCACAAGCTCAAATCTACAGATGGGAAAGGGTTTTGAATTTTATGCTTTCTTTTTGCTGAAAACACCTACATTTCTGCTAAACCTTCAATGACAAACAGACACAATGGCATTTATTTCCAAGTGCATTTCTGGGTGATATTTCTCTTTTGAGTATCAAGTGCATTTAGGCTCAGCAGTGAACCTTGCTTCTTGGATGACATCTCAATAGAGAGCTTGGAAAAATAAATAGAAGCTTTCTTTCCAGTGAGGAAGGAATAATATATTTTCAAGTTTGACATTCTTCCTGCTTTCACTCCCTGCAGAAAGGAGAAGAGGTGGGCTATTGGAACCGAGGGATATGGGATCCATATGAAGATACATTTGTAATGGGATATCATTTTGATCTCTTACTCTATGTTGGCCATACTGATTTTAATTCTAGTAATCAAGCTATTTTTTATGGGATATATTGGGAAGAAATTGGAAGAAGCAGCAATTATAAATACTCTAGTAAAAAGAGCATCAAAATTCATGTATGGATGGTTGACAAAGGCAATACTATGCATTCTTGGCAACCCACTGGGGTTTATTGTAAGTGGTTAGCTCCCCTCTCCTGCTTTTGAAGAAGACAGAACAATAATAGTTCTTTCTCTGATGAAAGGGAACTGAAAGAAGATGAACTTGCTGCCAGGAATAAATTGTCTATTTTTGTATTACATTGTCCTTCCCATATTTTTGCATAGAAAAAGAGCCTAAAAGGTTTTACTATATGTTGTGACATAACAGAGGCTTGTAGAGGGCTTTGATTTTCCAACAATGCAGCATTACCATACTTTTCAGTCACATTCATACAACAAAGAGATTCTTTAGCATGGGCTGCAGACGGGCTGATATTGAGCAGTGGGTATCATCAGGCATAGATAGTGGTAATTCTGCATATTTTATACATACTGAGAATCCTCAGGATACTTTGAGCTGGAATCAGCACAGTTTCCCATCAGGTGAGTGATACATTGTGATAACTCAGCTTATGCAGCTTTAGGAATGAGCCTTTTTTCCTCTATATGTATTTCAGGGTGGTATTTACAGGACTATAAAAGTAAGCTTAAATGAAGCTGGGATGTTTCATAACATGCAATTACTTTCAGGATCAAATCCTATGACTTGGAGGGATGCAAGAGAGGCAGAAGCTCACCACCAAAAGACCTGCAAATGTTTCTGTATATGCAGCTGAGAATCTCCGGTAGGAGAAAAAAAAAAGTAAGTACAAAATTAAAATCTATCTCTTGTAGAAGAGAAACATCACTCGCAAATGTTTTACCTCGTGCAAATCAAATCAAGTGATGTACATGAAGAATAAACACATTTAGAGGGAAGACAAATGAATAGAGTATCTTGACTAGCAATTAGTTTCTGTGCCCAAGTACCATCAGTGCAAAATTGATGAGCAAGGTAACCTTTGGCTGCACTTTTGCAAGTTCTTCATTAGTTTTCTGGCTTTTCTTTTCAAATATTTTATTTCTTCTTTCCCGCTGAGAAAAATGATCCATCCTGCTTGCACCATCACTGCATATGTGCTGTGCTATCAGTGTAGGTTCTTCCAGCTAGGAACACTGCCTTTCTCCCCAAGCCTGTCTTTCAACAGGGGAAGACAAAGGATGAAAGCTTTCTTTCCTTCTTTTCACAGATTAGAAAACCAGTCCACTCAGAGATTAAATAACTGAAGGTCGTCCTGAAGGTCAATGGTTTTGAATTGAATCAGTTTGAACAGAAATCAGTAACAAATTTATTTGTGCCTTTGGAAATTCCTCTTGACGTGCACAGAGGTAGAGGAGGAACATGTTCGTTCCTGGGGGAAAAAAGGTGGAGAGACAATTGGAGTTGTCAGACAAGGCAAGGTAGGGTATGATATTATCCATTGGTGACTGCTCCAGTCTGTAATTGGTTGAGAGGCCTCCTTTGAACATTTGTCTGACATTAGTGCTACTCAAGGCACTGAAGTGTAAGTGCTCATCGATGGGAATGTACATGCCCTGTTTGTTAATGTTCTGCACAAGAGAATTATCCGGGAGAACAGGGAATGTTATAGATCTGTCATTCGTATACAAGCTGGAATTCAATCTCAGCTTTACTTCAGACATTTTCTTTCCACATATTTTCTTCTTCATTTCACTCCTGTTGTATCATGTATCTCTCCTTCTCACAGATCTGTGCTGCTGAGCCAAACGATAATGATGAAAGCAGCAAAGAAATGCAATATTCTTTGGCAGTATTGCACTACCTGCAGCACTGCTTTGAAATGAAATGTCAGAATTCAAGGTATTATTGAGTGACTTATCAGTTACTCAAGTCCTCTAAAAGAGTGTGTCTGATAGATTTCTTTAATTCCTCCAGGAAAAACAGGTGATAGGTGATCGGCAACAGAACATCAGAGGAAGCAGAGATACAGGATTAAGGGCCAGTCCCAGTGCATGGAGAGCCACCCAGAACAACTGGAACAGCAGGGGTGCCTCAGCAGTGCACACAAGATGTGCCTCTCCCAGCTAACTTCTAGCCCAGATTTTATGGACCATAAAAAGGCTCCTCACCAGTCAAGAGGGAACTGCAAGTAAACACATCTGCCGTGCTGTACTGGGCTGCACAGGGCATCTTTTGCTATTAAGGATTAAAAAACCATCACCCTGCTGAAGTGTTTAGCACATATTTATGGCTTTGCTTCAAAGCCCAGGTTTTAACATTCTTTTCAGTCTTTACTCCGTAATTTTCTGCCCTCCATTCAAAACACGCCTCAGAGAAGAGCGAGCGTGGTTCTGTAGCAGCAATATATTTTGAATTGTCTCGTGCTCTTGGATGCAAACCAGCAGTGAAACGCACTCCGGGAGGAGAGCTGAGGAGCGCTTAATTAGAAAAAGAATGTATGACCGCTCTCTGAAAATGGGCATCTGATGTAGCCTTGGCACTGTCAGAATAACGCTGTATCAAACAGCCCTCTGCATAGCAAATCTCAGAGGTGAACTCATTACACTGCCAACTGCACAAGTTGCCATCCTCTCAGAGACGTCAGGCATGACCAGCAGAAACGGACGCAATTTTAGTTCAATTAAAGCGCGCGGCACTACTCGAGCAAATAAATAAATAAATAAGTCTACATAAAACATTACCTTCTTTTTCATTTGATCTGCTCCACACATGTACCAAAACCACAGCTGTTGCTTTTAGTGATAAAAATAAAACGGAAGTGCACTTCACCCCAGTGGGATGACAGGAATAGAAAATATGGAACCCTGTAATGACATTTTTATAATCCTTTTCCAGAATTGAATGGCAATTTAAGCATTTCCTTGTTTTTATTTTTAAAGATCTGTAGGAATAAAGAAAGTCATACATAAAAATATTTTTTTTCCCCCGGAAAAATGATGTATCAAAAGAATGCAAGAGTAAGCAATGCCTGTCCAGGGACCAGCTATTCTGATAAATGTTTAACAGAGAAAAAATACTAAAAAGAATGAAACGTTTTCTTGTTTTCAAACCTTGGCATCACAGTGCAGCACCTGGGCTTTATGGGAAAGCCCTACAGCATGGGATGATAGAAGGATCCAGGTTTGAAAGGACCTCAGGAGGTCTCTGGCCCAAACTCCTGCTCAAAGCAGGGTCAGCCATCAGATCAGACCAGTTTATTCAGTCAAAACTGGAGACAGTATCCTAGTTGTAGACTAATAAATGTCAAATAGGAGGAGGGAATCATGTCCACCAATCTGCTCTGCCTGTGTAAGCACAGCCCAGGATGTTCGTAGCCTGTTCTGTGCCCACAGGTCCACAGCTGAATCATGTTCAGCTGCTGCCTACCAAGATCCCCAGGTTCTTTCCAGCAGAACTGCTACCAGGGGGTCAGTGCCCAGACTGTGTTCCTGCAAAAGGTTATTCCTCCCCAGATGCAGACGTTGCATTTGTCCACGTTGAATTTTGTAAGGTTCTTCTGGGACCATTTCTCAATCTAATTAATTCCTTCTGAATGGTGGCCCTCCCCTTGAGTGTATCAACTCTCCCCATCCATTTTGTGCCACCTACACACTCTATAGTCTCCTGTGGTTGTCCACTTCTACTAACTACAGGTGGACCACCACCTCTTAATCTTTATCCCCTGAGCTCACTCACACCAGCTGGAAATGCAGATGTAGTGATTCAGAGAGATGCAGTTGGAGTAACTTCCAAGGCTCCAGCTGTGTGGAAGCCCAAGCAGGATGGCAGCATGCAAAGGGCAGGACATTTCGAGGCAGTTTAATTAGCAATGAACCAGGCCTAATTTCCCCTAAAAAAACCCCAGACTGTCCAGAGCACCCAGAATTAAATGCTAGAAAAATGTTATCTGAAATCAAGCATAGAGTTTATCTAAGATGGAATACTCACATCACTTCCAGTCGAGCCATTCTGGAGTCGTTTCCTCCAGAAGAAATGACCTCACAGGTATAATCTCCAATGTCACCTGACCATGTCTGGCTGATGAGGAGGGTTCCATCTTTCTCTACTGTGATCCTGGAACTGCTGGATGGATTTATTACAACACTGTCCTTCTTCCAAAGATACCTGAGTATTACAATGTTTCAGTTATTGATTACTCATAAGAATGTCAAAATAGATTTATTTGAACTCTGCTATAAGGTATCAGCTTCTGTCATCATGTGTTAAAGAGGACAGGCCTCCACAGTTACTTTCAGGAGCAGTGCCTCTTACCAATTTAAGTTTCAGATCAAGTGATCAGAAAGAGAAAAGTAATTCCAACCAAGATATTCTATATTTTATAAACAATATTATATATATTTATATATATAATATATATATTTTATATATATATATGGATAAGGTGAAGTATTCAAAAATGTCCAAGTTCATAAGCCCATCACACACCAACATGTCCCAGAGATGTGTATAACCCATGGTCTCACAATTACCTATCTGTACACGAAATTTTTATGCCTGTATTTCTCTTTCTGAAGTTCTTTCTGCAGTTCACCCTTCGAGCACCCTCCAACCTCTCCCTTGCAGTTTCTTTCATGTTGCTTTCAGACTACATAAATGTTCATGGCAAATTGATTTTAAGATTTTGAGCTTCCTCTAAATGGCCTAGTATGAATTTTAATAGTTCATACAAATTTTGCTTTCCTTTATACAGTTAAAGCAGAATATAAGCCCAAGTTACTGATGTATTTCCAAAAACATGGGCATCTCTTGTGTGGCTTTTATGCACCCCAGAGTAAACACTTCTGAAATCCTATTCCTTCTCTTTGGCTTTTACTCTCATTAAGTATCGGCTTCTGACAAGTTGGTTTTATTGATAGTGTATTAACCTTGACAGTAAAATCATGGAAGGCTATATTGAAGTCATGAAGTGGAACATAGCTCATTGTAAATAATACATAAGGCTGAAATGGAAGATGGGATTTATATGATTAATGATACAGTGTACAACCTTATAATGCAGTAATCAGGGGTCTGCTGTGAAAATCTGGGGTCCTGAAACTTTTCACCTAACGCTATTCACACAGATTATAAAATTAAGCCGGGATAAACCACACAAACAGGGAGTGACACCACCAACCTGATTGAAATTCTGGGATCATGAGTCGCCTCACAGTGCAGGGTGGCTGTGGTTCCTTTGATCACAGTGCTGTCCTCGGGAGGGCGGATGATGGAGGTGCGATCTGAAAGCAGCACAAGCCACAGCTCAGGTGAAATTGCGGCATTTTGACTTGGATATTCACTCAGAGAGCAGCCACCGAGCTTTTGTCATTCAAAGCAAGCTCTTCAAGCCTCTGCTGCAAAGGCTCCCCCTCCCTCTAAAGTCACTGTGACAAGGAGAGGTGACACACTGTGGGGTGCAGAGAGATAGAGCAGCAGAGGGCACGAGCATGAGCCCAGGGTGGTGAGAGCAGAAGAAGCTAAAGCTGTGTGAACTCTCACTTGGCTTGGGGCAACTCCCTAAAGTCATATGGCAACAAGTATGTTTGTGGTGTGTTATGAAGGAATCCGAGCACGCACAGAGTCAGGAAACGAGTCACACTGTTTGGAGCAGGGAAAACACAAACAAAACCAAAGAAAACCCGCCCAGAGAAGAATGCACTAGAAAAAGACCAAGAACGAGAAACTTAAGTGGCACCCTATGATCTCATCAAATCCAGGACAGAGGCTAAAGGAGAGGCGCTTCTAGCAGACAAATTTTCCACATAAGAAAGGTATGTTGTTTACTCAAACATTTCAGAACATCTTTATTCAGGCCCCTCCTGGAGCCCCAGAACACAATAATTGCTGTAACTACAGCAACGGGATCCAGTGTGGAAGATCTCTATTATGTGTAACATGCAGGAGCAGCAGCAGATAGTATCAGCCGAGGCAGGGAGACAACCAGGATGAGTATGGAAGATATGTGGATAATGTTAATCAGTCCCAAATCCCTGCAGAGATAATCAGCACGAGACACCTCATACATGCACAAGAAGGAATCATCAGCAAAATCAAAAGCTGACTCTTACAGCATGGAATTTTTAGCATTATTCCTGATGTACCCATGCATGACGTCTGGCTTTATAATGGTGCTGTTGCTACACAAACATTAGGTTATATTCACTTTTCTTTCCCTCCTCTGAAGCAGTAAAATGACTAGGAACTATCTTAGTACATATAAGAACCATAGCTTTGAGAATAAATAGGAAGGATCTCCTTTACTTGATCCATACACCTGGATATCATTCAGTTTACAGCATCCTGATATCCATATTGTCAACTCCATACTGTCAAAACAAAAAGAAGATGGCCATATGACACAAGTACATTACAGTTACTACTAGTAATGTTTTCAGGTATTCCCAAGTTCAAAAGGAAAAATGTGGCTGATTCAGCTTGCAGTTTTGGGATTAACAAATGCCAAATATGCATAATAATAATAATGGCCCATCTTCACGAACGAAGATTTGGGGAAAGGTCTTTTACCTTTCCAGCCTGCGCAATGGATTTTTTAGGTGAGACACAGCCTGCGCTGAACTGAGCCCACCCTTTAATCCTAAGGTTCATCTGCTGGGGCCAAGCAAGCTTGGACAATGGCAGTGAGGTCCTCAGGACGTAGGTTTGTTTAGAGTGTCCTTCTCATAGATGGATGGCCTCACAGGGCTAATGGGTTCCATCTGCCCGGGAGGGACTGGGAATTGAACCTGGGTCGCAGCGGTGAGAGTCCCACATGCTAACCACACAGTTAAAAGGTCTGACTTGCAATGCCAGATGCCAAAGCAAAACCTGAGTAAAATTGTGTGATTGAAGCTCTATTTAAATACACTTCCTTTCACAAAATAGAGATTTATATGCATAATTTTACAAACAAAAAGGGTATTTGTGATGGGATTCCTAAAATAGATACATTATTCCCATTAAATCATACAAGTATCTCTATTAACGAGAAAAGCATAATTACTTATGAAAATTTCCTGAGCATACAACAAAAACTGATTAATACTTGATTAAAGTTAGACTTTAAACAAAGCATTATCCTTACTCCACACTGTCAGCATCACAAAAGCATTCAGAGCTCCTTCAGAGTTGACTGCACAGCAAGTATAATTGCCAGCATCCTGGAGGAAAACGGGTGTTATCTGGAGCCCTCCAGATTCGAGAAGAACGAAGCGAGGAATCTGAACTGAGCCACTGGCTAAGATCTGGTTCCCTGAAACACAGGAGGGAGAAGCAGCACGATTAGTGTCACGTAGGCTCAAGGATTAAGTTCTGCAATTCCAGTTCTTCCAACAAACTGTTCCAGCCCGCCCAGGCTCCGGTTCACGGCAGCCCCACAGCAAACCCACTGCTCATGGCGCCACAGGAAGGAAGAAAGAGGCACTGAATGGATCTACAGAACCTCAATAACAGGAATGGACAGGAAAACGTGGATTACAGCTTTTCCACAGGTTAATAACGTTACCTTTCTTCCATGAGATGGCAGGTCTTGGAGCCCCTGACACTTCACAGGTCAGCACTGCAGTCATGCCTTCTGTGACTGTGGTATCCTCTGGAGGCTGGATAAATGCTGGTTTAATGTCTAGAACCAAAAGTTCAAAAAACTCAGTGCATCAGCTCTCAGAAAGATCCTTTACCTATTATTACGGACTACTTTACATCCACTTTTATAGAGCTGATCATGGAGAAGGACATGACAATAAGACATGAAAACCTTTCAGCAGTGACTGTAACCTTTCCTTATTCATCTCCTAGGAATTGTCTAATCCTGTTTATTACCTACACGGAAAATAAAAATCTATCAGTGCCTGTACCTGTACAAGTCAGATGGGTTACAGAAGATGGAAGATAAAGCTCAAAATGAGTGTTTGGGGGGAAGTTGAGAAATCTAGATAAACAAAACTATTTTCCTTCATCTTCATAATAGAATTCTTTAGAATGAAAAGCAACTTGAGAAAGGCATTAACTTTGAAACTTAAATGTCAGCCAAAAGAATTTAGAACCTGAGTCTTATCCAAGACATTTTCCAAGTTTCTTTCTCTCTTACATTTTCCCCCAGTTGCATTTTATTACAGTTTTTTTCCTCCAGTTTCCTAGATATATATTGAACTGGGACTGATCTATTTTCTGGGGCCAGTAGGAATTCTGAGCAGTATGTGCAAACTGCTCTTGGGCTAAAAATCAGCTTCCTAAAGAGAAGTTTAATATTACAAAAATGACTGTTAATAATCACCTTTAAAAGAGACTACTAGGATTTGTAATTCTTCCATAGAGAAGCATGCACTTCATTAACAAAACCATTTATTCAGACTTTTTGGCCAAAAAACGATATCTAACTTGAGCTTTCTTTCTTTCCCCCTGCTAAATACAGTAGTAGACAAAGGCAAATAAAATAATAGCATGCACAATCATGAAGCAGCAGCTCAAGTTCAGAACAGAATTACATGAGAGTAGAAATAATTACTGAAGTATAAAGGAAAGATAAAGTTATTTCAGAATTAACACTTCGTTTTCTTTTTTTTTCCCCTTTCACTAAGATCCCCTGCTGTGTGAAATAGGAGCGTTCCCCTCAAGCCCTTAACGTCACAGAGAGTTTTTCCACAAGTTTCAGCAGATTGTTTTGAGGCCACAGGGGCATTTTGGGGTTCCTTACAGCTGGGGCAGCTACACTTAGATAGAAAAGTGTAGATGCTGTGAGTCGAACTAAAGCAGCACAGAGTGGTGGAGAATCTGGTGGATGCAGAGTCACCTACACGAATGACAACTCATAGATCTCGTATCACAGCTCCTTACTCACTGGTCACATCCAGGTAGGTGTATGTCTGGATCTCCCCAGCTTTGTTACTGGCAAAACACTGGAAGATTCCGGCATCCTGAGGGCGCAGGGAGTGGATCCTCAGCCCACCACTCAGCAGCACTTTGTAACGGGGGTTTTCCAGCTTGCTGAGGGGAACAGAGTCCTTGTACCACACCAGGGTGGGAATGGGAACACCTATAAAGAAAAATAAAATAATAACTTCATTACTAGTCTGTGCAAAACATGTTTTAGGTAGTCAAAACACTCAGCACTGTTATGGTCATATCCCTGTTTTCCCATCTTTCTACACCAATTATTTATACTTTTCCAAGCTGCTTGAGATAAATTGAGGCTGCATCTCACATTATCAATGGTAATAACACACTGCAGAACATGTGGGAATAAAACCAGCAAACACTGGAGGGGGAATGTTGAGAAAACGTGTTATCAAATTACTTTCTTCACCCAATCATATTTCATGCTACCACAAAATAAGATTTAGAGCAATTTCATGTTGAAAGCCAGAATCATGCTACTTAAACAGCAGCAGTGTGGCAAGTCTGTAAGACCGTTCCATCCCAAATAAGATTCCTCTGTGCTCCTGTAGCTAAGATGTCAAAATACAAAGGAAATGGCAAATTACACATGAAAAATGAAGTGCTCACATGGCTGTATTTGAGTCCCAATTTAGCAGCTTAGTTTGAGCTGATGTACATACAACATGTTGCCAACGATGAGCTTTAAATTATGACTATTTTTATTCAGTCTCAAGCTTCACCTGTTATTTGAAAAATGCAGACATAAAGAGACACAAAAATCCTACCCTAAATATAAAACAGTTGCATTTATTCCTGTTTTCTTTCATGTGTATGTTCCACAAACTCTTACAGTTATTTCACATATATTTTTGTTCCATTGTATCCCCATCAGCTGGGGAGAAGTGGCTGTAAATTCAGTATATACAAAAGTGTAGGATTCTCTTTTTCTCAAGAGATGTCAGAGGCCTAGAACAATCTTACACAAATGTTCCCATCCCACTCCTCATATCAGACAATGTTTCATCTTTACCTCCCAGAAATCCCTAATGGATCAAAAGCTGAGGGTCCAATGCAGGGATCTGAAGCGAGGCAGGTATTTTATTATGTGATTAGCTAATCACAGAATCATTAAAGTTGGAAAAGATCTTCATGATCAATCACGAATCTTTGACCAAACACCACTGTGTCAACTAAACCAGAGGACTGAGTGCCACATCCAGGTGTTTCTTCAACACCTCCAGGGATGGGAACTCCCTGGGCAGCCCCTTCCAATGCTTGACAATCCCTTCCATGGAGAAATTCTTCCTGATGTCCAACCTGAACCTCCCCTGGTTCAGCTTGAGGCTGTTTCCTCTTGTTCTATCACAAGTTCCCCAGGAGAAGAGCCCGACTCCCACCTGGCTCCACTCTCCTGTCAGGGAGTTGCAGAGAGTAAGAAGGTGCCCCTTGAGCCTCCTTTTCTCCAGGCTGAGCCTTCCCAGCTCCCTCAGCCACTCCTGGTGCTCCAGACCCTTCCCCAGCTCCATTGCCCTTCTCTGAACATGCTCCAGCCCCTCAATGTCCTTCCTGAATTGAGGGGCCCAGAACTGGGCACAGCACTCGAGGTGTGGCCTCACCAGTGCCAAGTACAGGGGGACAATCACTGCCCTGCTGGTCCCACTATTGCTGATACAGCCCAGGATGCCACTGGCCTTCTTGGCCACCTGGGCACATGCTGGCTCATAACCACAGGAACACAAGGGTACCAGGCTGATTTAAGAAAGCTCAGCCCCAAAGGTGGCATTTTCATAATCAGTAGCTATTTTGGAAAACATATCACTTAAAATCTCAGAGCTCCACATTCCCTTGCAATGAGGTTGGACTTAAATTCATGGGCAAGTGAAATCTGCCCAAATAGAGAAGAGCAGGGTGTCACCGAAGCGTGGAGGATGGGATGTCACTGATGAATTGAGCATCTGCAGACAATGAATTTCACTGCAATGCTGGCAGTCACTTGATGTTCTGAGAGCTAAAGTGCTATGGGAAGATCTATATAATCATCATCATAATTTTAAAACTCCCAGAGTTAAATACTACTGTATTATACTTCCATTCATATCTTCTCTCGATGTACTTATTCCCTTTATACAGACAAAAGCTGTATTAACTCCTGGAAAGGATGTACAAACAATGCATAGAATGATTGAAAAACAACATCCAATTGCTGCTGTTACTTTTATAAACATGTATCATTTACTTCAATCACCTGTGATGCTTTTGTTCTGCTGATAAAGTAAAATGTACTCATAATCTTGCAGGTAATCATCTCAGGAAGAAACCCACTATGTAGAGTGCATTGTCTGATGGAGAATAGACAGAGTGTAGTAGCTTGCAATAGGCATAATTTAAATTTCATACAACAGCCCATATACAGAATTAGCGTAAATTTCAACGTTCAGAAATCTCGGTGAGAGTGTTATTCATCTCCTGAAAACCCTCCTGGGCAAATACAAATTATCACTGAGTAATGAAGAAACAGATGATGCAAAATGGAATAGTTCTCCTGATGCTGAGAAGCCTGGAAATGATTTCAAGTTTAAATAATAGCAACTCCATTTTCCCACACATCAGACTTGATAGGCACTGAGGAAATAATGAAATCTTGCATTCAGTACACTCAAACCTTTAACACTGGTGTCATTCCATAAATCCCATTCTACTAACAGTATTGGCAAAACTTCTAATCCTATAATCACTGTGAGATACACCTTCCTATCACCAACTCAGCTGACAAACTGAATATTACCATCTCTATTTCTCTACATTTCAGTTACGGATATCTTCCTCTACTCAAAGTTATGAGTCTGAATAATAGGATCTTATCTAAGCACTCTGATGCTTGTCAGCAGCATTCATTTGGGCTTTAGTGATCTTCCCAGAGAGATTTGTCTTCCAAGTTGTACACATGTTCTTTTATAATTTTGCTACCTGCTTGGCTGTAAAAATGGTTAAACCCAGCTCCTTTTCTTCTCTTCCTCTTCTACCTCACAACCTTTCCTCTCCACACACCCCCAAAGGAATTTTGCTTCTTTGCTTCTCTAAACAACTTCTGGTGAAAAAATGATGAAGAAAACACTTTAAAGACCTCTTGCACTACACCTTTGCAAGCAGTATCAGCCCTACTCTACTGTTTGAGACATGAGTGGCCTAAAAGAATAGAAATAATAAATAAAATAACCTTATTTCTAAGCTGTGTGCAGCACTATTCATCTTTCCCAGACAAATTAATCTAGTGCCATGGGGAAGAAGGGAAGGCAGGAAACAGAGATGCTGGTTCTGGCTTTGCCACTTTCTCTGTAACCTTGAGCAAATAACTTATGGACCCTGAGGCTCAGTTTCCTCATCTGTGAAACAGCTGTTTGACTCTTTGCCATGTTTAACTTAAGAACCTGGATGAAAGACTCGAAATATTCACTGTGTCATTTTTGTTATTTATTTTTTACAGCCTTCTCTAGATCCCAGTGGGCTACTGGGGAATTCCAAAAGCATCTTTCCATCTACTTTTCTAAACAGGTTGAACTGAAGTCCAATTAACTACACTCCCCAGACACCATCACCACTGCCTGCAGCTCTAAACTTTCTATAAGCAAATAAGAAAGAGCATTTAAAGGGAACCCATTGAACATGCAGGCAGCAACAAGCACTGCTGGAAGATAAACAGCAGAGCCTGGTTATTGCTGGGCCTGATACACTGAAACTCCATTACAGGGGAGTAGAAAGCTGGCTGGTGCAAGTTGCAATTTTATTTACAGTTAATCTCTGCTTATAGTGTGAAATTAATCTGTCTCTCACACATTCATAGTGCACAAAGACTTGGCAAATGGGCTTTGTGCACAGAACCTGACAGGGCTGGGGGAAATACAATCTGTCTTCCCATTTGTAGCAAAGGTACAGGGCAGCTTTGCAGTTCCCCAGTGCTTTATTGCAGCTCCCAGGTCGGAGCAGGGAGGCAGCAACCTTCATTTACCCTCTTTTTAAATGCTGGCAATTCTGTAATAATGGATCTAAACTCCTCTATGTTTAATTCTAATACCTGCCCCTTATAAGACAGTGTTACAGATATTCAGCAAAATAATCCATGTGAAGACAGGTTTCCATGCTCCCGCACCACATTCATCAGCAGATCAGATGTGTACCAGAAGAGTGCAGCAGAAATAAATAATTTTGTCTAATAAGAGTTCCCATATCTCCACTGAGTTCCCACCTCCTTGGGAACTAAACTGCCCAAAGCAAGAGTTAGGGTAGAAGGAAGAGTTGAAGTCAACCTCATCTCTCCCTGATAGTTCCAGGTTGTTTGTTTTTGTAATACATGAAAAACATTTGAGACAGTAGACAGGTTTTTCTCACTGACAGTGAGGCAGGCTAGAGATTAATCAAACAGTTGTGTAGTATTGAAACATTTAAAAGAAAATAAATCACAGAATGTTTTTAAACTCAATTTCTCTAATGATACACTTAGTTCCACTACTTGAAAAATCTTCTCCAATTAAAAAAAAAAAGCCACAATGTTTGTCATAACACATGGTGAAACGTAAAGTTGGTGGCACATGGCCAGAATAGATGTCTTTCTTGTCATAATTCCTTCCTCTAAAATTGTCTAGTCATGGATGCTCAGGTAGCCCAAGGACAGGATGCTTTTCCCGGCTCCAGCAATCTGTGCTTTGGCCATTTCCTCAGCCAGACTTGCATACACACAGCTGTGTTTAAAAGCCCTTACTGGATTTTTCCTCCATAAATTTCATTTGTTTTTTCTAAATATTTCTTATTTCTCTTTATGTCCTATTTAATGCCTGGACCAATGACCTCCACAGTTTATATTTTCCGAAAAAGAACTCCTTCCTTCATCGTACATCTCCCACACGAAAATTTAGTTGGGTGTCTCCTCTACTTCCTGTACTAAGCAACACAGAATCATCCTCTCCTACTCACCTTCCTATATGTCACTCATCCTTCAGTTATCTCTTCCACAAAGTGTTCCAGTCAATTTAATTTTTCATTATTCAAAAAAACATGGCAGAGCTTTAACTATACCATTCCTACTTTAGAGTATCTCTCCAGTTTTCCTCCATCCCTCTCTCCAAGAACTGTGTGAAGGATCAGAGATGGGGGTGTTGCCCCATGGATCCATACAGTATCACTCCCTTATTTTTTCTCTATTCCTTTCTTCCCAGTACCTCACATTCTGAAGCACAGCTTGGCACTGAATTGATGTTTTCAGAAGACAAACCTTTTCTGCACAGTAATAGGAAATTTCATCTCTGTCAATAATTTCATCTGCCAGTTTATTGACCAGTCAGTTCAAATCATCAGGACCTTTGGCAACTCCTCTGTGGTCAGTTTTAATGTTGACATTGTTGAATATTTTTATATGATCAGCAAACACCATCATCTTACTCTTCACCCTCTTTTCCAGGGCATTTATGAGTACATTGAACAGCACAGGTTCCAGCAGAGGTTCCTGGAGAACTCCACTGACAGCAGGTCCTGCAGCGTTTTGTTTAAAAAGCTATTAATTAACAACAAGACATTGTCTCTTCTAATCTGATAGCTTCATTTCTATAAGAGCTCTTTATAAGAGACCTCATCAAAGGCTTCTGAAATTCCAAATCAGCCAGAGCACCCTTAACACACAGATTTGCTTATCACACAGTTGGCAAATCTTCCTTCTAGAAAAGCAGTGCTGACTCTTTCCTACATAAAACACATAAAAATGCTGAAATCATAGTGGCAATAGTATAATCACACAGCAAAAATATCTTTATTGGCTTTGAGCTGGAGAAAGACACCATACAAATAAGCTGTTAGTTAGATATGGGTGCTTTTTAATCAAGGATCTTTTTCCCTAAGGATGTCATGGCATTTTTGTATGTATTGCTTCTATAACTCAACACTGGGGGAAGCGAGATAACAACACGTTCAGTCACTTGCCAAACTCATGAAGAAATGTGGTGACTTTGACAACCCTGCTCTAATCACAGGGTCTCCTACCTTACTAAAGGGCTTAAATAGGTGGTGATTGCATTTCTCTGGAACTAAATCCAAAAAACCATTTTGGTTTAGGTGGAATTCTAGACATTTGAAGCCTTTTATATTATTAAAACACCTGCCAACTAAAAACTGCCTGTAATAGTCCTCCTGCAGATTTCATAACTACACTCAGATGTCAGTTACTGACATTTCCATTCAGTATAGAAGTCCCGTAAGTTTTAGAGAAAAAAGGACATTTGAATTGATGAAAATAATGACTGTTTGCATTGCAAATGATGGGTTCCATGACCATGCTTATTTTCTGGCTCAAGACACTGGTGTCTCTTATATAGCAACAACTATGAAGCAAAGACAGGCTCCCAGAGAGACAGGAGCAGGATTTTTGCTGCCAACAGACAAACATCAACATGTGGGCATTACTCATGTCTAAACTAAACAACAGGGACTGCCCAGCTTTCCAAGGGGAAAGGACAACCCTCTCCTTTGTACTTGGGATCTGTGATAATTAGCAGTAACGCAGAGAACTCTAAACGTTAAACATTTACATGAGATGGTTTATATGAGATGATTACTTCCATACCAGATATACACAAATCATTGATCCAAGCTGGAACACTCTGCAGACTCACCCATGGCCTGGCACAGGATGTCCACGTCCTTCTCCACTTCAGCCAAAATCAGGCTCTCGGGCTCAGCCGTAAAATACGGTGGTTCTTTAGAAAGGGGAAAGCAAACAGGAGTCAACAAGCAAAGCCACAGCAAAATGAAAAACAGGTGCTGATTTAAAGATATTCATCATATAATCTCTCCACAGGTGGTGTATTTGATGTAGTGTGTTACAAACAGATTAGTTTGACCAAGTTTGTCTCTATTGGAGGTGCTTTTTTTTGGTAGTAAAAGCATCATAAAAAAAGCTGACAATTTTTGCTATGCTGAGTATGAATTCCAAGGAGTCAAGTCAATGTAAGGTAAGATTTAGGGGTTTGCACTGTAAATTAATACTCAGAGCAAGGGCTACTTTTCATTTTATTGGATTGAATCATGGAACATGTTAATTCTTTGCTCAGAAAGGTCCTCCCAAGAGGTTTATAAAGGTTTATATTTACAACATAGCATTTTATAGGATAGTTTGCTTCAGTATCTAGACTGAATTCCACCTCACAGAGGCATGAAGCATGTCAAATAAAGTGCCATAGCATGTCAGAGAGTCGACATCAGAGGACAAGCGCAGCGTAATTAAAAAAAATTCTTCTCAACTGTTTTATTTCTTGCAAGCAAACAGATTTAATGCTTTAATTGAAGTTATAGTAATAATCATAAAAATTCCCACTTTATCATTAGGGCTAAAGAAAAGATATTAGACGTTTAATTAAACAAAGACAAGACTGCAGAAATTGTTGAGTGTGCTGGCATGTAACTCTTTCTTCTATGCAGCATAAAATTGAAGAGCATCATGTCAAAGTCCCAGAGGCACTAAGGTTGCAGTAATTATCATGGTAACTAAAAACTGTCATAGTCTGTTCAATGCAATTATCATCTGACTACTGTTTTTAGAAGGATTTTACTTGATTATAAATGGAGTTCCATTGTAGCACAAACAAACTCACTGGTAAGTTTTAGAAAATACAGAAAACAACAATATAAGAAGCTTGTGAGAACAAGCTATTCGTGTTTTCATTTTAAGGAAATCAAGCATGGTTGAAAAAATGCAGTAAACTGCAAGATTCAAGGTCATCTGAGCTGACCTTCTCCCAAATCTCTTCACCAAACATGACTGAAAAAAGGACTTGTGGTTGTATTATTGATAAAACATCAGTATTTTAGTAAATAAAATCAAAATCATATAATTTTTATCCTGCAAAATCTTATTTCTCCTGCTACCACCTGCAGTATAGCAAGTGTGGCTCTCATTGCACAGGGATGACATGATGATATGCCAGCAGGTACATATCAGTAGGCACTGGATTAGAATAGAAACCTCCCTTTCCCAGCACTTCTTCCCACTAACTGCAATAAAATACTTGATTCAGTGTACAGAACTGGGGTCTCCTCTGAGCACCAATGGATATTACAATTCTGCATTCATTCCAAAGAAAGTCAATCAATATTAGTCTTCAACATGCTGTGCAGAGGAGGAGGGGAGGTTGCAAAATAGCCTGCAATACTTGTTTACCCAGCAAAACCAATAAAACCAAGCTACCTGATTTATTATATTCTAATAATATACATGTGTTAACATTATTGATCCTCACTGCCTAAATATAAAGCTATTAATAAACACACATAATAAGCTGTGATTTATTGCATATGATCTCATGCGTTAATCTAAACAACAAATTGAAAAGCTGAACATTTAATTGAAATTCACTGATGGCACACAGTTTGACATGTTTGATCAGCTAAGTTGCTGAGTCCTCTGCAATTCATCTCAGTCCATGTTTTCACTCTGAGTGCTCTTTCCTCTCACGCCATCCTCCAGGCCTTGGCTGGTGTTTTCCTTGTGCTCCATTTTTTTAGGATGTTAACTTTTTAGTTTCCAAACTTTTAGCCTGGTGTCCTGATCTACGTGCCTGTCTGTGGCCACACAGGTGAGTGTCCCTATGTCCTACTCTCAGAATAAAATTTGCATCTTTCATTTTATGGCAACTGAATGTGATCGTAAGGGGAGGCAAAGGGTGGCCAGAGCAGCACTGGGCCAAGAGAACATCCAGACTCATAATCCCACATCCAGACACTCCCTTCAAAATTTAGGCTCTTCTGTGGACGTCTCTTGAGTCAGTGAAGTTCAAGTTTATCTTCTTCTGTTTAGAGAACTCCTGACTGCACATTTTCCACCCTCCCTTTTCCAAAGGACTTTGACCTTAGCGGGCCAATTTCTAAACTTGGCAACCTTCAGCCACCAGCTCTCACAAACTTTCTCCTAGATCAGCAACACATTCACACACCAGTGATAAATTTGCAGATTTATCTTCACCATGAGCCTGCAGTCCAGCTGCAAAGCACTTAGTGTGACCTCAAAGATGCTCGTGGTTCCATGACCTCTGCTTATGTGCTGCTGTTTCGGCAGTTATACCTGGCATATTTACAAAGTCGTCTTTCCCAGAGTCCCTCCCAAAATCCTAACCTGCAACCTGTGCTCCTTCCTTTAAATCCCATACAGGCTGTTATGTCACCCTCAAAGAAACTTCTTCCATTGAGAGATGCTTAGGTGAGCAAGTATCACACAGTGAATTACGTGACAAGGAACTTGAAGTCAGTGACAACTGTCACTTAGCAAACGGGATGTGATGTTAAAAGAGGAAGAGTCACATCAGCTTTTTTTTGAAAGAAGCAGGGAGAAACAGAAGCAGACAAGACAGAAAAAGAGCACGAGCAGCAGAAAGATGCAATCTAAAGGCCCCAGAGAGCTCCCAGAGGACTTTTGGTGCCAACGGATTTGATTTCCAGTCTTTGAGCCCAGACTCACCTTTTCCCTCAGACTAAGGCCTGCTGAACTCTGTTCTCACAGCCATTCAGCAGCTGGAAGCACTGCCAAGTGCAACAACCACCCACGGAGGAGTCAGATGTTATTCTTTCAAGACAAGCACTGATACAGAAAACCTTCCAGAAGCAACTCCACAATTTACTGCTTCTATTGCCTAAAGATAGAGATAAGCCTGGGTGGGAAGATGAGGCTAATTCATAAGGAATTCTGGAAGACCTAGAATACCACGTGGACAACGGTGCTGTCACATGCCAAGTCTAATATTCATGGAAAATTAGCCTTGGTGATGTAAAGAATGAGAGGATCCCAGCAGTACCAGTGTAGGGATACTCTCAGGGTGTTGAGGGAAATGAAACAGTGATTTCACACAGAACCACAGAATGGTTGGGCTTGGAAGTGACCACTGGAGATCATCTAGACCCACACCCCTCCTAAAGCTGGTCCATCCAGAGCAGTGTGTAGGTGTGTTTTTAATATCTCCAGAGAACGACCCTTCACCCTCTCTGGGCAGCCCCTTCAAGTGCTCTGTCACCCTCAAAGTAAAGAAGTTTGAGTTTTCCATGCAACTGTGCTGCTTTTCCACATCCACTTGTCTTTCACCAGCATCATGGAAGCTCTAAATGTCCTTTGCAGTGAGGGCCTATGGCTTCAACAGAACTCAGGCTGTGGAAGAAACAGCTCTTGTTACAGGTGCTGGACAACCAAAATATCAGCTCTTCACTTCTCAGAGGTGTCAGATGTATCATCTGCACACCAGGTGTGTGCCTGAGGGCCTGAATGGCCAGAACTAACTGCAAGGCTAAAATTCAGGGTATCTGAATTTGGTTTATGCAGTACCTGGTGAATAACTGTCAGAAAGTGGCCATAAAAATGCAGCAATATTTATAGGGGTCAGATGGCACTCTGAAGGGGCATTCTGGCTGTCTGTATATACGACTCTATTGCATATTTATAAGGCTTGGTTTGAATCACACAGTACGAATTTGAACATTTATTGTTGTAGGCAATAATCATGTGTTGAAATTTAATATGTGTGGCGAAATTACAGCGTCTTCTAAACTATGTAACATGCCAGACACAAGTCCCCAGACACAGCAATTTCTAGGAATGACAGTAATTTTTTAGAAATTATAGAATCAGAGTAGTTAGAATAGGAAAGGACCCATCACTCTGAGTTCACCCTGTGGCATCACCGTGTGCTGGCAATGAGAGGGGTCACAGCTCAGAGCAGACTGCAAGAAACAGATACTGTATTGTTCAGATATTGTATTGGTGTCTGACTGATCTTCACTAAAAGGTCAAGTACAAGCAAGGGGGAAAAAGAGTATTTGAATATAAATACAGGCTTTTAATAATTGTTGAGGGTTTGGGGGGTTTTTTTGCACTCCAGATACCACTGGAAAGACATCTCTCGGCAAAGCCCTTGAGAGCCTGCAAAATTTGATACTGTTCTAACTTCCCCTGCACAGAGTTACATGGTCACTGATTTTAACATTCAAAAGATAGCAGTCAGCATCCATTACACACCCTTCAAGCTGCATTGGAGATGTGTGACCTAATCCTAGATACACACATGAAAGTCAGAAAGAACAGAGAAAGCCCCAGGGGCTCCTCCACAGCTGAAATTCCTGCATCGCTCAGAAATTCAGGGCTGCATATTTAAGAGGAAAATTGAGCCTTCAACATGGAAGCCTTCCTCCAGCATTACCATAAACTAATTTATTTGGTGAATATCTTCTAAAGAAAGAGGAACTGGAAACTTGACAGCCCCTTGTAGGTACAAAGTCCTCAACCTCAGACAGTAGATCAGACTGGCCATGCTGGGAGAGAAGTCACATTGTGGATGCATGCAGAGCAGGTTCCTTAAAGCAAGATTTTTCTTTGCATGAATATCAGGTTAGAACAGAGAGAGATGAAAAGATGTGTCTAGTTTCTTGCTACTACCTCTACTGTGAGCTGCAGTGTGTGTGTGTTCTGAAACCTTCTAACAGCACAGGGAACACATGTCCTGTTTGCAGGAATGAAAGCAGGAGGAACGTCTCAGGAACGTCAGAGACAGAACTGGGCTTCCCAGAAGTCCCATTGCTTCCCTGTGGGATAGGTCCTGTGTGCATCTGGGTCCAAGGCAGCATGCCTGTGACCATCTCAGAACCTCTGAAGCTTGACAAATCAAAAACCCGTCAATATTTCTTTCCTTTGAGCCCAAATTGTGATTAGGCAAGTCCAAAGACATTTCATATTATAGTTTCCCTGAAAACTTATTCTTTTCTTACACAGTACATGAACAGAGTCACCAAGGTCTTCTCTTAAGCACAATATATGAACACAATCACCATGGAAAAATTATTTCCACTGCTTTCAAGACAGCATCTGTAGTGTTTCAAAGTGTCTAAGCCAGAGCCATGAGAGCTGTTGACTCCAGAGGTCTGAGCACAAGGCATTGAGGTGGCTCACAGCTACAGAGGAAAATAACTTCTGTTCTGGCAGTTCTATACACAGATCCTTCTGCATCTGGACGCTCCTGAAGAACAGTGAAGGAAAAACAGACACAGAGTCCATCTCAGAGCCCAACCAGGTGGGCCTTTCATACTAACATCATAACTTTTCTGATGTGTTCCTGTATCCCATGGTCCCACAAAGCTGAATCCTTCACACCTGATGAGGACCAGGGGAGCCTTTAAGAGTGACACAGACCTACAACACTCCCTTATCGTCCTATTAGAAAGAAATCTATCCAGCTGGGATGTAAAAATTCTCCCAAGATGAGAATAATATGTTTATGAATGTAGTTCTCTGGAAATAAAACTGCTCCAGAAAGAAGGGAAGCCCTCTACTCTGACTCTGACTTAATCCTATTCATTTGGACAGGCCAACAAGGCTTCAGTCCTCAGTTCTGTACAACCCCTCATCATTCCAGGCTGTTCTTTCTAATTGTTTTTCTCTTCAATCTGTTCAGATTTTACTTTCTGACTGCATCTGATTTAAAGAGCAGTTTGGATTTCATGTAGTGGAAGAGTTTCATTCCTCATTTTCTTAAGCTCCTAAAATTTGTAATTTCCTATAGAATAGTCACTTAAGAAATGACTATTGCAATTTGTCACTAACAAAACTTGCAGAAGTGGAGCAAAAGAATTTAAGATTAGCTCAGTTTTCAAATTGGTTTGTTCATGAGAAGACTCTTTAAATTACTTAATCTTCAAACTGTTAGTGATAAAACAAATGTGCTCTTATCTAATCTGCAACAAATCTTTCCCAAACTGTTACTCTGCCAACTGAGGAACATGATACACTTTAAAAATTTATAACAACTGCAGCTAATAAAACCAAGGTTTGGAACCACCTCAGTTTATCTTTTCTGGAACAATATGAAGATGTCAGAAAGCTCTTTGCCATATTCAGAAGAAAACTGCAGCAGCACAAGACTCGAGGATTTTCTCCTTGCTTATACAGTACTACTGTAATACATTAGAGATTCAGATTTTTTGAATATTATTGTGATTCTAATTTACAAACCAAGATGTACTCTCAGAAATAGCCAGAAAAACTTCAGAGATAATACTGTAGGTCACAAATAATAATTTAAACTGAGTAGGTGCCTTTGTACTAAGTTCCACTGCCTTCTAATAAAGCTCTTGTCACCATCTGAGCCACACTCAAATTGTGTGACTTCCCTTAGCTGGGAAAGTCAAGGACTGATATATTTGCAAAAAAAGCTTTGATTAACTCAGTGTTTGTGATATCTTTGATGCATCTTTTTATCCCTACCCCTATTCTACCTGTTAATAGCAAAGTATTTTTCTCTATTGATCCACAAAAGCTCTCGTTGCCATACTATTAAGGGTCTGCCTTTGATTTCTCCCATTTTGAATACAAACCTTTGTTTTTAACACAATTTCCTTTTTCTGTTAGTCAAGACCCCTCATTGAGTCCACAGTGTGTTTTTCTCCCAAATACAGCTCATTATCAGCTCCCCATCTACACCTACACACTAAAAATATTTTATGCATGCAAATGGACAAGCAAACTTGATTCTCTGTAAATACTACCTCAATGGACTATGAGAGATACACTGCAGAAATCCTGGGGTTTGAATCCTGTCTACACTTTCCTCTAGAACCCATCCCCTGACTAATTAAATGACGGCCAGATCCATCCAAGTATTCTAAAGCTGAATATAAGTTATGCATTAACTACTAATCCTTTGATTTGGCTCCCTGTTTAGAATTAGAGATCCATCCTGCAGCTCAAGAAACTCATAAATAAAGAAATCTATCAGGCTTTGCTGACACATTGAGTAAACACCTACATCTGAAGTGTCGTGTTCCATCAGAAGGAAATAAAAGTAATTGGTAACCAATTTGTTTCTGCTTTCTTTCATCTGCTTGTTCTTACCTACAGACCTTTTCATAACTTCATTCCCTGACAACCTCCTAAAACTGGATAAGAAATAAATAAAACATTTAAAAATAAGAGAGCAGGTAAGCTACTAAAGCACTGCTAGTTTAATATGATTCCCCAATGATTATTTTTCAGTTTTACTGTAACTGTATTTAAGAATCTTTTCCATTAACCAAGAGGCTGCTTTAAGTATTACATTAGACTGGATGTGATGGTAGAGCAGCAAAGGTAAATCAGGTACAATAAAATCTTATGAATAAGGAAGAGTTTAAACAAAACCCATAAATAAGTGAAATCCATCTCTGCTCCTTAAAGGGAAGGCAATAATTCTAAGAAACAGAGGACAAAAAAAAAAGACTGGAATCAAACTTTGTCCAGTAGGTAATAAATATAACAGACACACAGAACTACAAGTGAATCTGGAATGGAGTTTTGCAGAGAAAAGAGCTGCTTTCTCACTTAGCAGGAACTACTACAAATTGCTTTAGTAGAATACAGACCCTACAGCAGTCTTTAAAACTGCATTTTCAGAAGGCTCAAAGAGTGTAGAGAACCACGGGCTGAATTCCCTCTGCAATGCTACAGAAGTGCACGTGCATGAATCCTGACCAACGCTGAGACTCGTGTCACTGCCAGAGCAACGATCTCCCCAGGACACTCACACAGTTATTACTGGCACTATTACACAAAAGCTTGACTTTACACAATCAGCTCTGGCTTAAAACACCTCCATGTCCCCAGTCTAAAACATCTCTTTTAGTCTAAAAGTCCCAGGACACTCCACCCTGTGTGCAGCGTGTGAATTTGCAGTATGATATCAGGATACGACATGCTGGTAAACCATCATTTCCAAATGCCAACCTCCCTCCTACAGCAACACTTGGACACAGAGCTGAGGGTGGAAACAGGCCAGGAAAGGACAGCCATGCCCCCTTAAAAGTATTAAGTGCAAAGTTTCCCTTGAGTCAAAGGTCCAGCAAACGGAGCTGCTTTAATTGTAATTCCTTCCCCCTCCTTTTACCTCACCAGGGCTCTCTGCCTGCCTGTGTGTGAACATCATCCTTGGCCCCTGACTGGCACTTGCAACACAGAAGGCACAGAAGTGCTCCTAAAAGCCTTCTTTCAGAAATACAGGCACTTGACATATGAAAACTAGATGTAAGCAAGCCAGGAGTTAATCAGGATTTAATGCATCTAAAAGCCAAGATATGGAAGCTGCCCATTAAGGATTTTACTACTGTATTTCTCAAAATTCTCATTAAATGTATGGTTTCACAGGGGATTCAGAATCACATCAGTGTTTAAAAAAATCTATTTGATGAATTTATATTAGTGGGGAAGAACAGCTGAATTAATTTGGAAGATAACCCTCTTTCACCTCCTTTGTTCTGTTCTCTGAAGAAAGGTTCAAATGTAAGGTCAATGAAATATTAAGATATCAATTTTATCTCCTATTATACCTCAGCCCAGAGCCTGTTTTAGTAAAAAAACCACTGCCTTGAGATTTACCCAGTATAGAAAGGAAGGCTTTCGCTCTTGCTGGTTCCTCTGTGCTCTCTCTCAGTTTTGCTTCACAGAAGTACATCCCCACATCAGCAGAGGTTGGGTTGGTGATAGTGAGTCGTCTCCCAAAGCTGCTAATGCCACTGGTTATCTTTATTCCATTTCTCTTCCAGGTCACACTTAGTCTCTCAAGAGGTCTGCCAAGAAATACAATACAAGAATACAACAATAAAACATATATATTACAGAATAATCTTCTGTGTGTGCATATATATGTATATATATACACACACACACAGAGAATACATTATTAAAAATTATAAAACTTCTTAAAGCCTTTCCCTATTCCCAACATTCACTATTAAGAAATAAATGCATATATAATGTCTACACACTAAGACTACAGACTACTCAAGTGGCATTATGCAAGTACAGCTAATTGATACAGCAATAGAACTTAAGTGCTAATAATTTGATTTCTCTAAGCAAAAGGAGTAAATACTGCTATGGGAATCAGCTGCATGGGAAGTGCTTTCATTATAACTCAATTACCAAAACAATATTAATCATATCAAGAACATCTCTGCCCTCAGAGGGGAAAGTGAATCAGTTGGTCTTATCACCCAAGGACTTCAACTATTTACTTCCACTGAAATTCAAAGCTATTCAAGGCCAACTAGATGGAAACATAGAGGAATGCTGTGAATTCTATATTACAGTGCATTATGAACAGTTGAGCAATAATCACTGTAAAATGAGAGTGCCTGAAATAAATTACTTCATAGGAGATCCTCACTAATTTATTTACTAGGCAGCATCAACTATTCAACAATATCACCTTTCCTGTTGACAGGCAACACAGCTGAGATGTTATTAACCCTTACCATAACCTTTTCCTTAAGATAATGTGTGCTGATTTAACACCACTGTACTTCTTTTCCTTTCCACGTGAGGAACGGGTGGGAAAGTACCCCTGACCATATCGTCATTTGGCCAGAAAAATCAATAGGTTTAATTCAGTAATGTTGCACAAACAAGATTATTCATAAGGTTGTGCTGAAGAGCGAGCATTCTGCTTCAATCTCTAAATTAATAAAAAATGAAAATAACTCCCTCTGTCCTTCTCAGTAAAGGACAGTGTGTTACAACGAGTCCCCTGCAGCCCCAGGGGGTGTTTCCATACCTGGCGTTGGCCACACACTCCAGAGTGGCCTCGCTGCTCCCGGCGACCACGCTGGTGTTGCGGGGGCGGATCACGATGGAGGGAGCCAGGGGCTCAGTGGGGTCTGCAGCACCTGCCCGGGCACAAAGACACCTGGTGAGGGCTCTGGACACCTGTGACAGCGGTAACAAAGGCTGCAAATCTCACTCTTCAGCCTCACCACGGATTTTAATCCCCTGATTGAAGGGAGATCTCCAGCACGGCTGTTTCACCAATGCATCTTGAGCTCCGTCAGCCTTGGTGCTGCGACCACTGTTCCAGTGCCCAACTACCCCCTGGGGGAAGAACCTTTCTCTAATATCCAACCTGACCCTGCCCTGACACAGTTCCAGGCCATTCCCTGGGTCCTGTCCCTGGTCCCCACAGAGCAGAGCTCAGTCCCTGCCCCTCCTCTGCCGCTCCCAAGGAAGTTGGAACTGCAGTGAGGTCTCCCCTCAGTCTCCTCTTCTCCAGCTGAACACACCAAGTGCCCTCAGTGTCCTCACACGGCTTCAAATCAAGGCCCTTCTCCATCCCCGCTGCCCTCCTTTGGACACTCTCTGATGGCTTCACATCTTCCTTATCTTGCAGTGGCCAACACTGTACAAACACACTGTTCCAACATACCCAGCCTGGAATCATTCAACACACAGAACTCCCAAGAACTACTCCCAGATGGAGTGCAGGGGCCATTCTCAAAGAGAGAGCAAATAAATTAGGCATCCTAAAGGTTTTCTATTGTTGAGCACTTTTATTTTTATCAAACACTTGCTGACTTATATTTTTAAGACCTTTTCATGTTTTGTTTAATCTTACTCCTTCCATACCATTTCAAAAGAGTCTGCCAATACTCATGTTAGTTCTTTAAAAAGATTTTACACACTGGGGAACAAATATAAAATTAACAAAGCAGCATATCACAGCAACTTCAATCCCTCTTTCTTATCAGGAAAGTAAATAACCCAAATCTGTTACTCTTTTGTGAGGCTTCATACTGTAAATAATTTAGCTTATGCAACAGTCAGCAGACACTTAAAAAATGGTAAAAAGGCAGCTTGTAAATTTTCTCTGTGTACATTTAGTAAGTGAATTAAAATACCCATGTATTCATAGGTACTTTGCTTCAAGCAACTCATTTGGGAAAGAAAAATTAGCTATTTTTTTAGCTTGAATAACAGAGTAATAAAATTTTCTAAAGATACAGAAACCAATAAACAAATTACAGAGAAAAGTAATGAAAATAAAACCAAACTGATGGAAAAGCAAGCCACTTCATCAAATGTTTTCTGCAAAGGAAGCTAGTCCATGCCCATTAAGCAGAATGGGAAACTGGGAAATGCAAAGTACAAATCCTGAATGTTTAAGATAATTCCCTAAAGAACAGATAATGGACAGAAGACTCTTTGCTTGGATCATACCCAGCACACCAAAAGCCATTTCACATAGGATTTCATTTGCTGGAGAGACAAAGCCTTTGGTAATGGGGCTCAAATGTTCACCAGGTTAGCAGATTTCTGAATGACAAATCTTTCACCTTTTGATGTTTTTCTAATTGATAGCAGATAGTGTAGTATGGGAGATGGAAGTGTGGAGTGTAATTTTAAGATTTTAAGAATATCACCCACACTTCTGAATAAATTCAAGCATTCAAGAATAGTACTTCAGAAACTATAAGCACATATTTATTTCTTCCCATAAATATGCTCTGTCAACCTGACACAGATCCATATGCAACTCCCATGGGATCTCAAAAATCAAGCTGTTAGTAGATTTTACGTCTACTCCTCAACAATCCTGGAAATACGATAGAAAATCTATTTTCTAAGATTTCCATGGTGGTCTTATAGGCATTCATGGCAGAAATTTTCCAGACAGTAATCTGAAAAAAAACCCAGAAAATAAGAGTTGATCAGATTAGTAGCTTGTTACTGATGAGAAGGAATGACCTCAGCATCACTGTTCACCACTACTTCTGCCCAAGATGAAGGTCTGTAACAGTAAGTGCTAAAAGATCAACAAACAAGTTACTAATTTGGCAGTAATCATTTCTTATCTCCACCTGGAAAAGAAGAAAACCACTTGTTTGACTTATCAGCTCCCCTGAAGAATGGCTCCAGCCCAGAAAAACCAGCCCAAGAGGAGAATCCAGCTTTGTTGTAACCTCCATCACCACACGAGTGGCCCTGTGTGCAGCCAGCAGATAAGCAAGGAAATAAAAGTGCACATTCCTCCCCCTGAAACCAGGAAAAGGTGAGATTTCTTTGACTTTCTTACTGGCTGTAACAAGAATCAAAACGAAGTATGTGTTTATTTTCATTTTGTCTCATCCCTGAAATGTATCTATTAAAAGCAGGCTGCTGAGTGAACTAATACTGATGTCATACAGGAGGCTCACCAAAATGGTCAGAACTTGGAATCCCAGGAATATACCTACCAAGGTAGCTATAGAGGTAACAAGCAGACAGAGAAAACAACAGCATTTCCAAGTATTATCTAAACAGTATATAGACAGCGTAAACATTCCTATTTGTTATTCAAAGATAGTTTAAATTTCCCTCTGCAGCACTAAGAAACCCATAACTCGCCCTGGCCCCAATCCTGCCAAATCAAACTCAACAGGGATGTTCCCAGAGCTCCTTTTGCAGGGGGCAGTTTGGAGCTTTGTTTTGTGGCTGATTGAAGCATCAAAGGAGGAACTCAGTTTTACTTTAGAGTAAAAAATCTCAATAGGGCTGTAACTTGGCATCTGTGTGTCCATGCCACCCTTCAGAACTTTGTGTTTTTGTAAGAAATCCACAGTTTCAGAGGAGCCAGGATCCTGATGGAGATAAGGAGCAACACTGGGATTTTGTTTCGATGATGCACCGTGGCACATTGGGCTGGGAAAGGTAGAGAGCTACTGCAAACAATCAGATAGTGCACAACTACCCAGACTTTCCAGGTTTCTCATCCTACCTGTCAATAAAGCCACTCCATCCTTCTCCTACCTCCTAATGTACTGCACAGAAGTGATTCTACTTGACTGATGCTACACTAAAATCCAATGCAGAATGTCATTGTTAGTAAACAGACATCTTCTGTGAAAATCCTTCGTAGAAAACAAAGAATTTTTTTCTTCTCCTCTTCACTGTTCCTTTTTTACTTCATCAGACTTTTTGTTGTCTGAGCTTTCTAGGTCTTGGCCGCTTCCTTCTGGTTTTTCATCACCTCTCCCTCCTCCTCCTCCTGCCCTCCCTCAGGCAGCTGCTCTGCACTCATCACTGGCCATTTCCCCTCCCTCCCATCCCATGGTCCCCTATAGATGTCTCACTCTGTTTAAGAACTGCTCAATTTCCAATGTATCTTTCTTTTAATGACCAAGTTGCAGCTTTTCTGAAGGAAATATTTATTAAAGACACCGAAAAGGGGGAGCAATACAAATGCACATAGGAACAGTTCACAGAGAGATAAATTCCCTAATTGGGCAACACCATTCCCAGACATGTTCTATCTTTTTGGAAAGAAGAGGTCTTCTTTCCTTTCTATCTGCTTTCTGAACTCCTCCTCTCAGCTAAGAAAGCAAAGCAACATTCAGGACCAATCCCAACCTGTATTTGAGACACAACTTTGGTAACACCAAAGGCTTGGACTCAGGAGCAGAGGGAGTTTGTCCTCCAGTTCTTCAGTGGTTCCCAACCCCAGCTGCTCCTGAAGCTGGTGGTGAAATGCTGCCATTTACAGCCCAAGATATGAAGTTAAATTGTCACTGATATAATGTTTTCCATATTAGACTTTTTTCTAAAAAAAAGAGGCAAAAAAAAGGGGGAAAATGAGACAAAATAACAGAAAATGGAAAGAAGATCTGGGGTTTTTCCTCTCCCTCTAAACACAAACTCCTCTCCAGACTGTGGAATTCACAAATCTGGCATTTCCACACAAGGCAGATATAAAGTGAGGGAAGAGAGAAAAAGAAAGAGTGAACAACTTTTGCACGGTCTATTTGTTTTCATCACCTGTGGCTGTGTGTGGCTGCACATCACTGACCCTGGAGCTCTCTGAACCTCCCTCCTCCTGTCCAAGTGCTTTATGACACTGATTTTTTAAATACTGATGAGCTGTAGAATTCTAATCTGTTATTTAAATACCATAATTATGTACGCTGCCCTATCATCTCTGGAAAGACAGTGGTTTTATCTCTGTACATATATTGCCATGTAAGGTACAGGGAATTTTAAATGTTGTAATTGACAGTTTATAAAGATCACAGACTTTATCAAAGCCACTTGGGTGCTTAATTTTCCCCAACAGAAATGAAATCTCACTCAGGCCATATGACTAAAGACACAACAGGTTCTTTCCCCTTCAGAAATGTATAAACTTTAGGTTCTTTCCCAGATTTCACATTATGGCAAAGTTTATCTGTATCTGTATTTCAGTGCAGAATATTAAATTCAATTACTTCAATGGATGCTCAAATTCATCTGACAGAGACAGGGGGTAAACCAGCCTTAATAAAAAGTGAGACAAAGTGTTTATCTCTTGAAAAGAAGTATAGTTTGGGTTTGGAATTAAGCAAAATGGTTTTTTTTTTTTGAGGCTTATAGGTCCCAACCCTGTGAAGACCCTTAATCCAAAGAAGGTGATCATGAGCAGGAGGAGGGAGGATTCCTAATTAATCATCCAGATCACCCATCTAATCATCCATACCCCATCTAGTGTAGGGTAGAGCCTGCAACGTGAAGTTGAGGGCTCGTTATCTCTACCCTTAGTGTAAGTTACTACTGCAGTTGCTTCCCAACGTCCAGTTTCCAGTGAAGAAAGGATCCCACAGGAACCAGTGTCCAAAAATGAATTTACCTACTTGTATTATGAAATTTGTCTATGGGAGAAAAACGCTTTGGAGAAGAGATCATCTGCCCTCAAGCTAATGGAGAAATTAGAATACTTTAACAGAACTTTGAAACCATTTATAAATTCTCCTGGGAGGAAAAGATTAGAAAACCTTTACCAGAAACTTCCTACAGACTTTGAGGCTTGCACAGTGTGTAGAAATGCCCCTGCAATTACTATGCAGGATACATACAAAGCTTCATGTTACCAAATTATGGACACCTA